AAAATCTAAACAAATTCCAATCACATGTTTCATTTACACAGTTTGGGGTAAAAATAGAGAAGTCTGTACATTATTTTTGGTTGAGTTTTCGACAACCCCACCACCTCTAGGAACCAATATAAAAATACTTGTCTGAATTAATTTTTAATTAAATATATTTAAAATCATTAGGTTTAATGTGTACCTAGGTTTGTTGCTACTAGGAAACTAATAAAGTGTATTTTTAGTAAAATATTGATAGCTTAGTATCTATATATCTAATTCCGTAAGCCCAAAATTTTACAATGAAATTGTGAGCGAACGGGAGGCGGTAGAAAGCTGGAAGAGGTCTCATTTTAAAGGTCTGGGCATGAAATTTTGGGAAAAATTATTCATTTTTCTTAATTATGCACAAAAAGGTTGTTACGGAATAAAAACAATTCACATTTAAATAGCATGGGAATCTAATTTTATGTATTTTTATTTAGTGCAAACACAGCTGTGATTATATAAATTGAAAAAATATAACCACAAAACTTAAAAACTGTAAACTTAAATGGCTTGCACGGTAACAATGTATAATGTCAGAAGACTACCACTCAGAGGTATTGTTCCTCGAAATGAGAACTAGAGGCGCCAGATTTGGCACGATATTAATGGAAGAAGAATAAATGAGCATCGGATAACCATGAAGTTATTCCTGTGTATAGATTACCACTTTTATGTGAGATTGCATTACACAGCGTAGGGCCAATGAACTATGGGTGCATTCATTGTAGTGCATTGCGCAATTTGATTTGGTGAAATTGTGGCGGAAGGCCGAACCTTCACAAAAGTTGGCATTAATTTGAAAATCTCAGTGTTTACCCATGGTTAACTTTATGTTGCTTTTAGATGGGTAAAGAGCGTGGATGATGTTAATAGTACCATAGATAAAACATACTCCCTTATAGTACTAACAGATCAAAATGGATACTATACAACAAATGTTTTTTCAGAGAGATTTTGTTAGATGAATTAGCAATTTACAATTTGGATGATGACATTATCTCTATATGTGTTTTTCTAAGTGAATTTGTCTATATTTAAAGAAATCTATATATATTTATTTAATAGTCATGAAGAATGTTATTGGAAAATGTTCCTTAGTTGTATTATGATTTGAAAGTTTATATTATAAACACACCACATGTCCTTTGGAATTTTGTATTTTAAATAGAGCAGACATCAAAACGCATTTTGCAGGTATGTAATAACTATTATACATATCATAATAAAAAAAGTTAAATGATAATTCAAGGTAGGTAGGGTAACCCATGAGACTAATAATTTGTAAAAGTAATTACTATAGAATATAGGGGCTATTGCCCCTACAAGCCACTAGTAAAATACATAAATTTGCCGAGTTTTATCAAAATATATCTACAAACAAGCAAACAACAACCTTTTTCAATATTCTCCATGAGAATGACATGGGATTTTTTAAGTTAAAATTTTTTTGAGTTTTCTCCGTTACCAATAGACGTCCAACACTTTTATATACTAAATTATTTGTTTTGTAAGCTCTTTTGAGAAATTTTGTGTTTTGAGGGTCAAAAATTAGAAAACCCAATTTTTACCCCATAAAACCCCGTTCCTATGGTCCGATCATGCTGGTTCACGAACTCATCCAAGATTATCCCGCCTTACTCCTTTAAGCCAAATTTCATCAAAATCTGACAAAAATTACTCAAGTTATTGTGCTCACGGACACATATATATATATATATATACATACAAATTTGAACGAATGGTGTTTTTGGCCTCTGGGGGCATCAAAATGAAAAAGTAAATCGGTCCCGGGCCTAGGTCTTACCGTGCCACATACGGTAATAGCTTCTTTCCTATAGGGAAATTCGCTAATACACTAAACTCACATTAAAACCAGGTTCAGATTGACCATAAGAAGTTATGACAATTATTTAGTTTTTCCCTATTTCAACCGGTTCTACCAACTATCACCTGATATCAGTGTACTTGACCTTTCTATTTCCGAGTTCGTTTCCAGAAGCTTCTATTCTTGCATGCCCTGTTTCTAGGTTCATATTTGTGACGGAATGTTTGGAGACTACGGTACTGGGTGAAGGTTGCCCCCGAGGCTTTCCCGATATAGAAGATTGTCTCTCGGTCGTCTACCCGAACCGACAAATTCCGATCACAGATAAGCAGGGTTGGGGTTACGAGGAGTCAAAACAAATGTTGAGTTTTGTTTAAAAGATTTATGAAATATATTGAATAAATTTGTTTGTTTGCTTGTATATTTTTACGGAAAAAATATAAATCAATTTAAAAAATGTTTTTTTTTTAATTTGGCAAATTCAATAATTTTATACTAAGCTATTATCGTTCCATTCGAAAACACACTTTATTACCTTACTTGTAGAAGAAAAATTAAGTACTCATTTAACCTACTTAAAATGGGAATACATCTGTCGTATCTTCACAAAAATAAGCAGAAAAAATGTATCCAAAATTAAAAATAAATTAACACGTACCTTATGGGTTGCCATGCTGGTGACGAAATAACAACGCAATATAAATACCCCCGCAGCAGCACACCTGCCGACTAAGCGAATTTCCATTTGTCTGAATTGATTTTCAGTTAAATATATTTTAATAACATTAGGTTTAACGAGTACCTAGGTTTGCTGCTACAAGGAAACTAATAAAGTGTGTTTTTGAGTAAAATATTGATAGCTTAGTACAAAATAAATAAATTTGCCAAGTTTGATAAAAATATATCCATAAACAAGCAAACTACAACATTTGACAATATTCTCCATAAGAATAACATGGGAATTTTAAATATACAATTTTTTTTAATTTTCTCCGTTACTAATAATCGAACAAATATACTTTTATTTACTAAATTATTTGTTTTTTTAAGCTCTTTAAAAAGATCTAAAGAGAAATCGGGAAATTTTGTGTTTTGAGGGTCAAAAGTGAGAAAAACCAATTTTTACCCCATAAAACCCCCCGTAAAGCCCCGTTCCCATGGTCCGATCGTGCTGGTTCGCGAACTCATTCAAGTTTATCCCGCTTTACACCTTTAAACCAAATTTCATAAAAATCGGACAAAAATTACTCAAGTTATCGCGTTCACGGACGTATATATATATATATATATATATATATATATATATATATATATACATATATAAAAATTTGAACGAATGGTGTTTTTGGCCTCTGGGGACAACAAAATGAAAAAGTAAATCGGTCCCGGGTCTAGGTCTTACCGTGCCACCTACGGTAATAGCTACTTCCCTATAGGGAAATTCGCTAAAAGAAAATCAAAACAAATTGAAGAAATTCCAATCCATGTTTTATTTACAGCGTAGGGTGAAAATAGAGAAGTTTGTACATTACACATTTTTGGTCGAGTTTTCGACCACTGGACGACCTTTAGTCTTTAATCTTAAAATTAATAGGCAAGAATGTTTCTTTAAAACCTTTTTCTGAGCTCGTGTGCATCGCAGGGAAAATCTACACATACTGTTAGAAAGATATTTTCCTGTAGATGTTAGAATCCCTTAATAAATTAAAATAGGCTCAAAAGTAAGCACAAAAAATAATTTGAAAACTAAAAAACATTATCATTGGCCTTATGGGTTGCCATGCTGGTGACGAAATAACAACGCAATATAAACAGAAAATCAAAACAAATGAAAGAAATTCCCATCACATGTTTTATTTACAGAATGGGATGAAAATAGAGAAGTCTGTACACTACTTTTGGTCGAGTTTTCGACCACTGGACGGACCTCTAGTAAAACATGAATAGTCTGCTTAATGTAAAAGGAGTATGTTTAATCTACGGTATTAGTAGCCATCATCGACTTAAAACCCTTATCATTGACTAAAAATTTACTTTTACGAAAGCAAACGAGTTTCTAAAGCTGAAGAAAATAGGTTTTGTTGTCGAAAAAGAAAGTAAACAAATTTGCCCGTGTCGACATGAAAAGCTGGGGAAAGGTGGTGCCCGATGATAGAACCATTAATCAAGTATCTAAATAACTTTCTATTCTTGACACATCGAAAGTATTTAATTAAGATAAAAGCCTTGGTGAACCAACATGTGTTTACAAACGCTCTCAGTAATGGGTTAATCATAGTTAAATTTGGTTATTGAAACCATTAATGGAATGCTAAGCAACTGCTGGGTAGCTGAGTGGTATGCTCGTTTGGTAACCAGAAGGTATCTAGTTCAATCCTGAGAAATGTCTGCAGCTTTATGATTCCTCAAAATAAGGCACAGCTGTCCCTGATTATCGAGATTTCAAGAGAAGACCATCTCTAAAGAAACAGCTCAACTTAAACTAATCTAGTATCAAACCTACACGAGTCATCAATTTTATATTGACCCTAAATTCAGATTCTAATACGCACCCAAGTGTGGTCACTGTTTAAAACATTGGTTAATTAATTATGTGAGATTTTACACAAACTACCGTTGAATTTTATAAATAGAATATTCAACATATAATGTGTATTTGATTTTGACATTGGCTAAACCATCGCTAATCTCTTTCAGATTTATTATCATTGTAGAAGAGCTGAGAATCACTTTTACGTGCGTTTTTGTCGGGAGACGGCGTTTTGTTAAATCCGGTTTACCATTGTCCATTGTGCGTTTTGATTCTTGTTGTTTTTACAGTTTACAACAATTTACAACAATCTAAATGCAACAACCTATATTATAATCGAAAGATTAAATAAGCGTAACGCGTTTTATGTTAACCAACATGAAACTCACATAAAAACTTCTCAAACCTCAGTTTTGATTAAAAATTTTAAAAACGGATTATAAAGTCTTCTTGAACTATTTAATGCTTATACTTGTGTTCTGTAAAATTCTGACGTATATTTCTTTTAAACAAAACTATGTAACATTTTATAAACAACCATATTCATCTCAAACCAATGGCATTTTTCACTGTTCATATTTTAATTTAATCTATATGTCATGAATTTTACTTCACCTTAAGCCGGCCGATTCTGTTGTCTTCTCGTCGTAAAAAGTTTGTCCACTTTCACTGTCTTCAAAACGGGCGACGGTCCAAAATATGATCAGCTGTTAAATAAGATGTTTTATTGTTGCTTTTAACCATACAATATATTTTCCAATCCTCGAAAATATTACAAGAAAAATTTATGACGATATAGGTAAGATTTTAAAAACTTTTGCACATAGGAGGTGTTTTAATCAATTTATTGTTTAGCAAGTTAAACTTTTTAGTATTTCGGAAATAAATAAAATCTACAATATTTTGTTTTTAAACTTCTGAAACATAAATCGTTTGGGTCATGCAACTCTTCCTAAATACAAACAGTTATTTGGAAAAAATTATCCCCTTTAGTAAATTATTTGCACACACTTAAAATACAAAATGACGTGAAAAGGGGACCTTTGTTCTAAAAGCAACAATAAAACAGCTGATGTTAGGATTTCGGCTACCTTTGACCACAGACTACCGCGATCACTTTCGTTGCTAAGACTAGACTGTCCAAAGTTAAGTCCAGACGCCGAAATGAAAGCGACACCTGTTTGGGGGGGGGGGGGGGGTAATGTAGGTTAGCTACTGCATCGCCCCACTACTGCTCTAATGCAGTGCGGACTGCGGAGTGCAGCTAGTTAGCTAGCAAGTACTTGAGATATGAGATTACAGGACCGGCGGCCGCCTGTCAGTGCCACCATTAAATTTGGACACCTTGCAAAATAATGCTAAGCTGGGAAGAGATTTAAGTAGGCCTAACACTTTCATTGTGGAAAGCTTGTAGAACATTTTTTTTATTTGGAGGGTGGACAATATCCAGCAAGTTTGGGTTATGGACTTACCAAAACATGAGTAAACTTTTTGCATGAAAGTGATTTGTAATGATAATGTATTTAATAAACGGTATCTGTGAACTGACACATACATTTTCCTTTTCCCCCTAGCTTATTTATCTTACTAATATTATAAATGTGAAAGTTTGTGTGTTTGTTTGTTTGAAGTTCAATCACGAATTAACTATGGTCAGATTGGGCATGATCAGTGAAGAATATTTTGTATTGATTGTTTATTATGTTAAGGTTATCAATGTGGACCAATTTTTAGATAATACAATGAAAACATTTTAATACACCTTTAAAAGTTCTTAGATTGCAATAAAAATTACCTGTATCAGCTGTTAACTGCAGCTGCAAAAAGATATTGATGATAACATATTCACTTTCAAGGGTGTAGTGCTGAAACTAGATTTTTCCCAGCCTTGTGACCAACTCTAATCGATTTCTTGTGGCCAAATAAAGAAAAATACCACAATAAAGAAAAATATTAAAAATCCTTGGACCAAAATAAGTTTGTCTGTACATAATAAGTTTGTAATATTATAAATAAATAAATAGTTTAGGATACTAAATGTAGTTATTTCTAACCTAAATACCCCCGCCGCAGCAAACCTGCCGACTAAGCGAATTTCCATTTGTCTGGATTGATTTTCAGTTAAATATATTTTAATAACATTAGGTTTAACGAGTAGGTACCTAGGTTTGCTTCTACAAGGAAACTAATAAAGTGTGTTTTTGAGTAAAATATTGATAGCTTAGTAAAAAATAAATAAATTTGCCAAGTTTGATCAAAATATATCCATAAACAAGCAAACTACAACATTTGACAATATTCTCTATAAGAATAACATGGGAATTTTAAATTTACAATTTTTTTTAAATTTCTTCGTTACTAATAATCGAACAAAAATACTTTTACATACTAAATTATTTGTTTTTTAAGCTCTTTAAAAAGGTCTAAAGAGAAATCGGGAAATTTTGTGTTTTGAGGGTCAAAAGTGAGAAAAACCAATTTTTACCCCATAAAACCCCCCGTAAAGCCCCGTTCCCATGGTCCGATCGTGCTGGTTCGCGAACTCATTCAAGTTTATCCCGCTTTACACCTTTAAACCAAATTTCATCAAAATCGGACAAAAATTACTCAAGTTATCGCGTTCACGGACGTATATATATATACATATATAAAAATTTGAACGAATGGTGTTTTTGGCCTCTGGGGACATCAAAATGAAAAAGTAAATCGGTCCCGGGTCTAATTCTTACCGTGCCACCTACGGTAATAGCTACTTCCCTATAGGGAAATTCGCTAAAAGCAGTTTTGCTTTCAGGAAATGTGTAATTTTGTATTACAAAATGTTTATTTGTAAAATTATTATTAAATTAAATTTGTGTGACATGCTAAAAAGATTTAAACTCATGCTGAAGAAATATTTTTTGTTGTTAACTTTTGATAGGTTGTATACATAACAAGTAGATTACATGTTGTAGTTTCTTTGTGTTTAAATGTCTGTTTGTCAATATAGGTACCAAAACTTTGTGTAGGTACAAATAGCCCATATGCCATTTTTCATAAGGCTAAAAATTAATGATGACAAAAGGTCGACGTTTTGATAGTAACAGGACCAGGGTATGGACCATTACTCTAAAATCTTTAGGAAATGCCAATGCATAGACAAATTAATAATTCTACACCCGCTGTCCTGAATCAAAAACAACTTAAACCAAATGCTTGATTTCCATACAAAAAACAGGACCACAGCTAGTCTCTTTTAATTCAACATTTACCTTACATTCAATGTCAGCTTAAAATTTGCATCCAGGTGTACATTGCTAATAAAAAAATCAGTTGATTGAAATGATTCTACTGAAGTTACTTTTCTTTCTTCAAAATTAAAAAGTTTCATAATGTAGGTAAAACTTTGCACTCTTTTGATAGATTTTTAGGGTTTAGGGATTCTTTAGGGATTCATTGTAACCAATAACACTTCAACCGCAAATTACAATATATTTACAAATATAACAGATACAACATGGATCAAGAAATGTAGTAAGGCTTATTTCTGATCAACAAGGTAACAATTTTAAATACATATGCGATGTAAAAAATAGAATAGTTTACAATAAATATTAAAGGGTATTTGTTTCCATCCAGTTAAAAAAATAAAGGTTGGTAAAACATCACCTGTAAAGGTAATAGCAAAATGTATTATCAACTTTTTCATTTATAACCAAGGGGAGTAATCCCTTATATTAAGTTCTAAAGACCCTATTAACCAAGAAGTCATAGTCTTATAGAGTAGGTACTGTAAAAAAATAATGTTATAAAATACAGAAAACATACAATATTGTCCATAAGGCTGGGCATATACTGAGCGCCATGTAAGGTGAGGCACATGCAGGTGTCTGACACACACATGGTCCGGCATGTCAGTTTGTAGGGCAGGCATAGATTAATCCTACACACCACGCAACTCAAGTCTAAGATCGCAATAACGAGTTGGTGCACGAAATATCTTTCATTTGTATTGTTAACCACTAAGACGCATTGCATGTACAGACTATTAGAATGGTGTTCTGTGAGGGGTTTTCCAATTTTTGACCCTCAAGATGTGACATTTAGCAATTTCTTTAGAAGATATTTTGCAGAGCTTGAAAATTAAATAGGTAGTTCAAAAATTATGAAGCTTTATTAAAAACCTAAATGATTATAAGTTATATTCTATTTTTTTTTTAACTAAAAAATTATGAAGAGTAAGTTAACTGTTGTAAACGTAGAGGAAGTTTGAACTATTTAAAAATATATATTTTGATTGAATTTGGAATATTTATTTTATGCTTAGCTACCGTACGGTATTAATGTTTTACTTGAAATATGTTAAACCTATCGTTTTTTTAAAAGGGAAGGATTTAAAGTTCCATATAAGACTCATAGGAGTAGCTACAATCGCGGATTATGGTGATAGCGTAGTGTGTCCTGCGCCGCTAAACTTGGCTTGCATGCATTCCGTCATCTAGGCTTCAGCATACACCTGCCTTAGTCACATGTTTAAACAATAAACTGCTAACCTTACTAAAAACAACTAAGTTAAAAGGTAAACAATAAAGTAAATTCCAAACACTTGTATTATCTTATGAAATTTTAAGATGCTTGGCACAGAAATACATTAATTAAATGCTTTGATGACAAAAATGCAAGCCTTAGAATCCTTCTAGCTTGGTTAATGGATAGACAATCTATTTTCATGTTAAAAGAAGCAACCAGTAAAAAACTAACATTGTTGAATTGAAGTCAAGGACCATAGACAAAAAGAATTTAATATAGGCCGACAGCAGTGCTGCTGTTAGCATAAGTTCTGGCATTCACCAAGTAGTGCCATGTAGTTACGTAGCGTGTGCGCCTTCACTACATGGCGCTCCTGGCGGTGGAAGCCAGAACTTATGCCAACCGCAGCACTGCTGTTGGTCTATAATTAATTCTATTTGTCTTATATAAGGACATAGTGTGACAATTTTATTGTTGATTTCTGTCAAATACACAAAATTGTAATCCAAACCAAACAGAAAGGATAACTAATTAAAATCTACAGAATGTTTTGTATCACATCAACTATTTAGGCTACCCTAACTATAAATAAGGGAGGAAATAGAAGTCTGAACTGTAGCAAACACTGGGAGTGGCTCATTCAACTGTTCTTTTTTCTGTTGCATTGGCTACAGTTTGTCCTTACAGATGCTACACTTTAGTATCCAATTCAATTCTTTTAATCACTGGTATATCAAATAAAGATTAATCTAAACAATATGTTAAGAGCCACAGCATTTTTACCTAAAGGCAAGAGAGTAAATACTGAATAAGGCGGTGTTAAAATTCTATATAATCTGTAGTGATGATAAAGACAGTGTATATAGACCTACTTACATGACGTATTGAATACATTGCTTGAAAGCTAACGTTCTGCACAATATTTTCTAAACAACCTTTATCAGAAATTATACTTTTTTTATAAAACCTCATCAGAATGTAATTAATACTTCAAGAATTCTGCTTTAAAATGTTCTTGCACATAATGCCTCACTGCATCTTCTGGTGATTCTAGGATTTCGTCACACTCCGTACACTCGTCGTTCCAAATTTGCTTGTTATGACAGGCCATATGTTTACTAAACTGTTTGTCATTGGCGAACCAAAACTTACGGCACATATTACAAAAATAAACATCTACTTCGATCGAATCAGACTGTGAGTCTCTTTGGTCCGTAGCTTTATCCACAGGTGATTCTTCAAACCCATTTTTTTCTGTCGGTTTGTCAGTGTTTTTTCTTGAGGAATTCACTGATGAGGTCTCACTCTCGGCTGTTTCTTCAAACCCATATTTTTCTGTTGGTTTGTCAGAAGAAAAGGGAACATTATGGTCAGTATTTTTCCCTGAGGAACTGACTGATGAGGTCTCAGTCACAGCTGTGTCTGTCGTCTTGTCTGTTGACGAAGGGTCAGCATGGTCAGAGTTTGGCAAAGGGATGGAAACTACTGATTCCTTAAGTTTACGAGCATAATCTTTAAATGTCAAAGGCAAACGACATTCAATGGTGTTTTCAGCACAGAACTGTCCTGGTACGTTCCCAGAATAATTCACTTCAGTGTGCTTCATTCTCATATGTCTTGATAAGCTGTTTCTGGAAGTATAGTATTTGTCACACCCTAGAACAAGGCATGGATGTCCTCTGATTTTGCCAACAATTTTTTCTCGATGCCACAAGCTAATATGGTGCTTAAGGATATCGGATGTTGCATAGCTTTTATCACAATAATTACAAGCGTAATCTCGCTTCCCTTCGTGTGTTTTCATGTGTTCATCGAATTTGGTTTTGCACTGAAGTTTGAGTTGACAAACCTTGCAGAAGAATCCTTCTCCGGATGTTTTTTCTACATGCCACTGTAGTTTAGGTCTGATATTTGTGCTAAAGTCACAAAACGAACAAAAAAATTTGTCTGGCTGTTTTGCATGGGCTGTTTCAAAATGATGCAGATAATTGGACCAGTAGAGGAAAGGCATTTCACAAGTTTCACAGGAGATTTTAGCATAACCCTTGTGTTTTAGTTTCAAATGGTCCAGCAGTCTTGATTTGGATGGAAAACGCTGAAAACACAAAGAGCACTTGTAGAAGTCTTGGTGGCCGTGTTGCATTTGGTAGTGGTACTTGAGACGGTTCTTTTGGGAGAAAACTTTATGGCAGTGAACACATTTCAAATCATTGTGCGTCTTCTGATGATCTCGCAGATCGTCAGCGTTTTCACAGGTATTTCCACAGTATTGACATACAAAATGAATCCATTTTAAATGTTTCTCAACGTTTATCTTCTTCTTAAATCTTTTTTCACAAATGTTACAGCCGTACTTCTCGTAGACATAATGTTTGAAGATGTGATTCCTAAGGGTGTCCTGATCTTTTTGCCGTTTTCCACAACAGTAGCACCGGTATTCGGACCCTGTGTGTCGCTGCTCGTGCTCTTGCAGTCTCTCTTGAAACATGAACAGCTGACCACAATACGTGCACATACAGGTAAAGTTCCAGTGTTCTTTACATAGATGACTTTGCAGTGCGTACGTTTTCTTTCTGCACCTACATTAGAACACTGGTTAAAAAAATGTCAAAAGTAAATGAGTATTCAACAACCTTATCATTGAGATGGCCATATAAACCATGGGGATTGATTTGAGTCAGTAAACAAAATGCACCCTTGAATACCTATGCGGCGAAAGGGTATCTTATAATTGTCACTGGAAAATTCAAATAATCATAAAGGCTATCAAATATTTTTTTTATGAAATTCCACAATTTATAAAATCTCTAAACTAATGTAACATTCTGAATTTCCGAGTAATATTTGAATGTTAGCAATTAAAAATAATATTTTTTTTCTTTTGTATCATGTCAATCTACAAAGTTACCAGTTCAATTCAAGACTTAGAACAATTAGATTTTACCCGAAACAGATACAATTTTAATACAACAAGTCACACTGTATATCTTCTCATTTGAATAAAATCAAAACACTTGGGCCCCCTTTTAAACAATTGAGCTATGACTTTGTATTTAATATACACATAAATAAACTAAAAAGTACGGTAAGTGTGATTGAAAATTTATGATGTCATCACGAATATGCATGATTCTGGTACCGGTATCCAAAGTCACAAATTATCAAGAATTGGTGATATGGAAATTGTTTAGGGCTCAAGGGGGATTCACCAAATTCATAACTCATTCACGGTTAGTGGATATTCTGTATTATTTGATTGTTGATCAAGAGTACAGTAACTTCTAACTTACTAAACAGTATTCTAACTTACTATGAACTGAAAATGATAAAAAACACTCACCATCTACACTCCTCCGGTTCTTTGTGTCCCGACGACTGCCAGTGTTCCCGGATCTCCCACCATGTTGGGAATCTTTCTTTACATTTTTCACAAACCAGTCTTCTTTTAATTAGTTTCGTTTTTGCTAGCAGAGTTTTAGCTTTGATCTTGTTTCTCAGTTTCTGTGAACCCAATAAGATCTTTGGGAAGTTTTTCTTCTGAAATTAAGATAACAAAAGTTAGCAACTTTGAAACACATACAACAAACTGTACACAATTTTTAGTTGTAAAATGTGCAAAACAAGGGTAAGCTCTCATAAGGTTGCATCTCAATTTGCCTTATTTTACAACTAAAAATAAAGATTTTTCAGTTTTTTGTTATTCAATCTTATAAACTTAGTGGGCATTTAAGAAGAATGTTATCCTAATAAAATAGTTCTTGAAATTTGTTCCTTAAAATTAGCAATTTTTCAGTTGGTCTAATTTATGTCAATTGAAATGAAACAACAAATTTTATTCTATATTTGTTTTACTTTGATCCATAAAACCATTTCCCATTTTACTCATAGAACACTCTGTAAACTCTGTAGCACTATGTTTTTGAACATTTGTTATTTTACATAGAAATAAGTTAGACCATGTTTTAATAACTAAAGGCTTTCTCACTAATTACACTTAACACTTATAAAAACACCAACAAATAACTAAGATATGATATCCAGTAATGTTATGCTCTTAACACGGGATAATCAATTATTATGTTAATAATTATTGTTATATTAATAATTATATTATGTTAATATGTTCTTTATGTTAGAAGGAGTGGAGGGTGGGGTGTCGGTTTAATAATCTTTTTATTCAGGGATAAAATTAGTAGGCTATGCAATAATCTTGATTGGTCCTTTAGTTTGACTGGTTCCCTAAGTAGGCAGCGTAATTTGGCATTTTGGTTGTCACAAGCACAATGACAGACAGAAGCTGAAGAACAACCAAATTCAGCTAACGTGGACTCGCCAACAACAATGCCACCCGCATATCTTGTACTATGGATTGCCCCGACGAACCGCCGCTAATGCGTTGTTAAATGCGCTGCGTCAAAAGCGCTCGTATAACAAAGCCCTTTGGCTATAAAATGTATAGATAATGAAAAACAATTCCAAGCAACTTTACAAAGACAAATATATAGGCCTATTTAAAAAATAATACTCTGACACTTCAAGAGTTTAAAATCTCTTCAGTGTTTGTATGTGACATAACACATTTCGAGAACAAGATTTTAGACTTCTTCTTCATTCTGGTAGAGTTAAAGGTGTTACTTTTTACTGTGTTTAATCTGAATTCCCTTACAGCAATAAAAGCACGTTAATTTGGCATCCGATGGTCCAAAACAATTCAATAATCCAGCAATGGTCTTAAGCTCTAAACAATATTTTTTGCATGATCCAAGCCATTTCAATGTGTTTGGCAGAGTGAGTGATCAACAGATGTCAGTCTGATATACTAATAAGGTCTGAAGAACTGATGTGAAACTACAAGGCATTGATAAGGAAGACACATCGGTTGATATCTCAAGATACATCTGGAACGCGTCTGACCGCTTATCAATGATATGTTATAAGATTTCAGAGCTTGAGTATGTCTGCATTGAATTTTTTAAAAAAAAGGAGGATAAAAAAATATATTTGATAATATTTCTTACCAACAACGTATTATGTAAATGTTTCCAAAGTAAATTTATAATATGTTCAACTCCAATTCCTGGTTAAAACCATAATTTTTGCCATTTAAAATCACTAATTAAGCAAAAGCACGATAAAAAAAGTTAAAACACAAAGTAGTGATTCCCCTCTGATGCTCTGTATTTAGCAGTGTTTTAGTCTCAGAATAACAGCTGTTTTTACAAGACGATCAGTAATCTGACATTATCAATCTCAGTCTCAAATTTGGTGGGTAAGTGAGTATGGGCCTACTGTAAAGAGCAAAGTTAACCTTTTACTTTATAAAGCACTGTCAAAATTTAGGAACCGGGTTAACTACTGATTAACCTACTATAATTCAAACTTAGTTTAAAATTAGAAAATAAGTCCATCTCAGGACTGATACATTGTGCAATGTGACTTTAGCTTTTCATACAAAGCATTTTGCTGAAAAAGAAACATAAGATAAGTTAATTAGGTTAAAAATTGTAAAAAATGTTCCCCTTAGAGTTTACTTTTTTTTAAATACCGGTAGTCGATTTTGAACCCTTTCACTGAAGAGCACAACAATAATTTTGTACAAGTTTTAAAATGTGGGAAAAATCCCAGCGATGTAAATTCCTACCATAAACACAAACTGTTAGTGTAGGTGTAGTATTCTTTATACTGTATATTATCAGCTGTTGTCATTAATTAAAAAAACAATGTTTTTTACCTTTTCAATTTGCAGTTGTAAATATTACTTTCAATAAAAGAGTTTCTTAAAATGCGTGCTTATTATGAACTCTAATTCAAAGTCACAACAGTAGGCATATAATTATATATTACCTACTAAAAATATCAAATTCATCCTTACCTTAGGAGAAGATTTTTTAGTTTCTTTAGAGGTTTTCATGATGTAAGTTAGATGGATTTAAATCACGATTTGTGAAGATCACAATATCTTCTGGTTGATCATAACCTGAAAAAATTGCAACAACAAAGTTACCGGTAGTTTTAAAATATCCAGTATATTATTTATATGCCCTCCAAGTAACTTAAATATAGCTCACCATTATTCAATCAATGACATTCAACACCCATCATTTTTTATATACTGTATCCACCCTTACACTTTAGGCCTAACCATATACCTATAGAAATCAGTTGACTTAAAAACTGAAACGTACTTTGTTCCACTAGCTTGTCAACAGCCCTTATGAGTGAGCAGTGGGAGTACTTAACTATGAATATTTTATGGGAAGAATTACAATACCCCCGCCGCAACAAACTTGCAGACTAAGCGAATTTCCATTTGTCTGAATTGATATTCAATTAAACCTATTTAAATAACATTAGGTTTACGAGTACCTAGGTTTGCTCCTACAAAGAAACTAATAAAGCGTGTTTTTTAGTAAAAATATTACTATAATAGCTTAGTATATAATAAATAAATTTGCCAAGTTTGATAAAAATCCATCCATAAACAAGCAAACTACAACATCTATCTTCTATAAATATATATAATACGCTAATCCTGAGTGAACAGAACTCCTCATTTTTGGACCGATTTTGATGATTAAAGTGTCAAAAACCAGCTGTTTCAAATATATCCATATAAATCCCAAAGTAAATGGATGAACTTTTGGGAAAACTACAAGTCACACCCCTATAAACCATAAAAGTGTTCATCATGACGAGAAACCTTGCACAAAACTATCCAGTATTTCATAAATTGCCCTTTAAGGACATAACTTAAAGGAAACTTTCCATATAGGCTACCTAATGTGAAAAATACCTCAGCTGTACTTATTTGTATGTTATTCTTTCAATTTATTACCTTACTAGCTGTAACCCGCGGGCTTTGCCCCGTTTAACTTCTTAATTTTCAAGATTATCTCGTTCGCATGGCTCAATCACGTCCTGGTTGAAGTTTGTTCGCTACGCTCACTCACCTTTAGGTTGGAGCTCGTTCGCTACGCTTACTCACCTTTAGGTTGGAGCTCGTTCGCTGCGCTCACTTGCCTTCAGGTTAGCTCGTTCGCTACACTAACTCGCATGACCTTATGAACGAGGCCCCTAACAGTTCAAGAATAAAAGCCAGGTTCACTATTCCACTACACCTAACATTCCAAAGAGGGATTATAGCCTATTGAAAACTTTAAATACCGTATGTAATTGATAAAACTGAGACAACTGCCATGTCATGGAATTCCAGATTTAACAGTAACCCTCGCGACCAATTTATCAAAATTATTCTTGAGGATTATTCATTGGCACAGAGGTATTAAAATCGGTAAACGGTATGATGACAGACGTGACGAAGGGAAACATAAAACTTACACAGCTTAAGGGTGGGCCTCCCTTTGAAGTAAGAACGTTCTCAACAACCAGATATTTATCCTCAAATAAAAGCATAGGCCTACCTATTTAATCTGCATTACACTCATGAAATTGCGGAAGTGTTTACCAAAGTTCCACCAGTACGATTTTAATAGGTACTATTTAAAGGTTCTTCCAAAAGCATTCTTCATATATTCCTCCAAAAGAAGAGAAACCAGTTAACATAATAACAATAACTCCGATGACATACGGTATAAGAAATATTTTATTCATTGAATGATCAACCATATTTAACTTAGTTACTAGAATGCAGTAGTCATTATTGTTTTTACACTTATATTTTACTCATTTAACAATGCTCAAAATTTTTATAATTTCACTCTATTCATCGCATTTAGACAAATTAGCTTTTAAGCCTTTATGTATCTAATTTAACCTTCCAGTAGGCTACACGCGCGGCGGATTACACTTATATTTTACTCATTTAACAATGCTTAAAATTTTTATAATTTCACTCTATTCATCGCATTTAGACAAATTAGCTTTTAAGCCTTTATGTATCTAATTTAACATTCCAGTAGGCTACACGTGCGGCGGACTCAAGAGTCTGCACATTTGTAAAGGAGCGCTGTAATAAGTGAACCCGCTAGGGAATGACATAATGTGCCATCTTCTATCTAGCCTACCCCCAATACATTTCCAAGGAAAATGGCAGTGTTTTGACCGTCTTAGTGTCAGTTGGCCCTGAGCTACGAGGGGGTAAAGTTAGGCACGTCATGTTTCAAGATAATAATAATAATAATAATAATAATCTTTATTGTCATTCAGCAACATAAAATTACAATAGACAACGTCAGAAGTTAGGACACAAATGTGACATCATGCTTAAATCTATACATCATCCTATGAAACATTGAACATTTTGTTGCATAAACTGTACATACAGGCCTAAATATTTAAATTTAAAATTCTAAGATTGAATGCTTTACACAAATTTATACAAAACTTAAGTAAATAATGCTTCAAAACTAAACAATTTGTAAATATTCAGGAAATTTATAAAAAGATTTTTGGTCATGCAGGCTGCCTCCTAGTGGCCAATAGTGTTAAGAGTTCAGAGTAATTATTTGTGTTTAAAAAATCGTCTATAGAAAAAAAGGCTTTGCTAATTAGCCATCTTGATAATGTTGATTTGAAAAGGTTTATGTTATCAATTTCTCTAAATGGAATGGGAAGTTTATTGAAAAGTTGTAATTGTAAATATTTATGGCTTTTTGTGAATTTTGAAAGTCTAACTGGTGGGATGTACAGGTTGTTTGATTGTCTAGTTGAGTGGTTATGTATTGAGTGGCATTTAGTAAAATTTGTAATGTTTTGTTTAACAAAGACTAAATTATTAAAAATATAAATACTTGAAAGTGTCATTATATTATTATTTATAAAGAAAGGTTTGCAGTTGACTTTATTTGGTATATCAAACATGATCCTCAGGGCTTTTCTTTGCCAAGTAAACACCCTGCTGGCCCCACAGCTATTTCCCCAGAGAATATTTCCATATAATAAGAAGATGACAAAGAAAAAACTGATTGGTTTTTAACAAGACATTTTTAATATTAAAATTTGTAATTATTTTGAAATTTATCTAACTTATATCTAATACTTACCTACCTATTTTTGGATTATATATTTGAAATTTTGATTAGTGATGTGACGAGTCGAGAATTTTCTTGACTCAAGTCAAACTCGACTCACAGTGCAGCCAATAGGGTTATAGTTTGGCGAGTCGGCTGAACTCGCATTCAGCCAATAGCGTTTACGTTTCACGAGTCAACCGAGTCAACTCGTTACGTCCCGAGTTCGTAAAGGTTCGGCTTTCTCCGTATGAGTTCGGTTTCTTGACTCGCATTGAGGCTGTGAGCCAATAGCGTTTAAGTTTTGCGAGTCGGACTCGTTACGTTCAGAGTTCGTGTAGCTTCGGCAATCTCCGTACGAGTTCGTACCAACTCGAGTTGTGAATGAGATGACTCGACTCGGGTCTTGACTCGAGTCAACTCGACTCGCCAACTCAACTCGTCACATCACTTATTTTGATGCCATATGAACTTCATTAGGTGTAGGCTACCTATATAAAATGTACAGGTTAAGTGTAAGAGAGGGGCATGTGGCCCTAACTTTGCCTGATTAAATAAATCATTTTTCATTTTAATTCATAAAAGACCTAATAAAATATTAGGTCTTTTATATAGGCTATCTATCTTACTTACTAACCTATTAAAGACTATTAGCCGCGCCTGTACTGGTGGGTTAAGTTAGGCTATACAAAAATGTATGTATATGTGTGTATGGTTACCTACAGACATATAACCCAGAGCCTAATTTATCTTCGCTTCAAAATACACACTCTCACCCTGGTGTGTTCGTGTTGTGGTGTTCGCATTGGCATTGTAAGCTAATGTAGTAACCCTAGTAGTTCTCTTGACAACCTAACCTCAAAATCCAAAAAGGAAATCACACACAAAATTCCTGTTAGTAAATGAACAATTGCATGATGTGTTTTATGTAGGTTACAGTAAACTTACTGATTATGGCAATTCAGACGGAATACGATATTCATTGAACTGTGAATACATGTCACAATTATTAGGTTTAATAATAAAGTAGGCCTAGGATTTATCTAAAAAGTGAATAAATTCGAATTAGGTAAATAACTATGTAACAAATAAAAGGTATAATGGACAAGGCAAGAAATATGGTAGGCCTACCTTCACTAACGAATTGTGACCGTCTCCCTAAGTAAAAAATAATTAATAACCAAACAAAACTTTGTCCTATTTTCTAGTTTTACAACTCCAACTGCAACTGCAAAGCAACTGAACCGCCAATTCCGCCATTTCAATTCAATGCAAAGCCTGGTTTGTTTTTTTCCATAGAGAAAGGGATTGATTCATTGTCATGGAGCCTAGTATCACGGTCGCACAATTTGTTTTTCAGGATTTATTTTGCCAACAGTGTCATTTAGAGGCTTCTGATTGATAATATAGGTTTACTAATTGAAAAATTAGTTTTGTTCATAGAATAAAATTGTAAATGCCTCAAATTCAATTTTATAGTTTTTTTTTTATTGTGAAATTAACGTCATAAACTAACCAAACCAACCAAACGTGCTGACAATGAACAAATCTAATGAAGGTTTATTAATCGAAAAAATAGTTGTGTTCATAAAATAAAATTATAAATGCCTCAAATCCTATTTTATAATTTTTAATTATGAAACTAAACTATCATAACCTAACCAAACTTGCTGATAGTGAAAAATCGAATGAAGGTTTTATTCGAAAATATGTTTCTGTTCATAAAATAAAACTATAATTGGGTCAAATTCAATTTTATAATGTTTTAATTATAAAATTAAACCATCATAACCTAACCAAACAAACCAAACGTGTTGATAATGAAAAAGTCCAATACAAAAAAATAGTGCTACGGGTGGGATTCGAACCCAGGTCCTTCGGAATATCAGCCCAGCGCTCTATCCACTACACCACCGAGGCCGTTGGCGTAAATCCGTATCGTTGCGGTAATGATGTTCCCTCAGCCAATCAGAAGCCTCAAAATAATACTGTAGGCAACACTAAACCTGAAATAAAAATTCAGCATCACGGTCGGCTTAGTAGTAACTCCAGTCCAAGCCGCGGCCTTCGAAGCGGCAACGTCGCAAGTGGTGTTGTAACAGCTGATTTGTTTGGGAGAAGCTAATGGTATTTGTGTACTGTATTTACAAAAGATTGGTTGATTTACGATTACAATATTAACTCCTCTTAAAATGTAGGCCTACATAGATTTTTAATCCATATTTTTCGGTTTTCAATTCTGTATGTTTTATTTTGATTTTTTTAAATAAATGTATTTTTATAAATTTAAATCAATAAAGTGCAAATTAATGAGCTGGGGCCCATTTCATATTAAGTACAAACTAATATTATTAGTAAATCAGCTGATCGCCCAATGCAAATCTAATGGAAATTACAAGCTACAAGTAATGGGATAAAAATTGGTTTGTCTTATTTTTAACACTAAAAATACAAAATTTCCCAATTTCTCTTCAAACCATTTTGTAGAGCTTAAAAAAGACAGTTTTGTATATTGAAGCGTTGTTGTATGCCTAATGGTTTCGGAGATAATTAAAAAAATGTAATTAAAAATTCCCATGTTATTCTTATGTGGAATAAAAAAAAAACTGTTGTAGTTTGCTTGTTCATGGATATATTTTAGTCAAATTTGGCAATTTTGTTTATTTCATTCTAAGCTATTAACATTTTAATTAATAAAAATCACCTCAATACCTTGCCTGTAGCAGCAAACCTAAGTTAAGTACTCAGTAAAATTAATATTATTTAAATAGGAAATAAATCTAACAATTTTTAATTTTAGTTTCTACAAAAATATTGGTACTGATCCAAAAATACACTGATCTTAAAATAATATTCTGATCAATAGAGAACCCCCACCGCAGCAAACCTGCAGACTAAGCGAATTTCCATTTACCGGGCTGGATATAAATCCAGATACGCTAGAGAAATGAGGGTAGACCCCTTCCCAACACAATGATGGCCGATGGGTCATTGTTTGTTTATTTTGTATCAAATTTACTATTTTTGTCGAACGACGTTTAAATACAGTTGTTTCCAGTCTCCATTCTCAATACAATCTCATTCGGCAAGGCAATCACAGCTATCTTAATACATTTACTTCAACCACTTTAACTTTAAACTTCAAAATAACATGATTTTAAATAATCTCAGCATTAAATTATGTCACAACAAATGACAGATTTAGGACTCAAGTAACAGCTCTAACTCGCAATAATGCCCTGAGTTTAAAAAATCAAATTAAATTTCGGTCTTATTAGAATGGTTCGGTAAATCCTTTAATTTGCCAACTTCTTTCAGCCCTTACCAATTCCAGCGAAAGCCGAGTGTAGTATGCCGATGCAGCTTAGCTTTGAGGACTTGACTTTTCCAGCAAATGCCGAGTTATAAAGCTCGTCCTTCTACCTGATGCGGATTGCGGAATGCCAAAATATGACCCGTTCATAATACAAGAGTACGTACCGAAAAGAAAAAGGTGTAGTTTGTTTTTCTTCTGCTATTTATTGAACCAAGCGGCTGCGGCTGCATTGTTTTTGCTGAACAAAGCCGGCCAATTTTGGCAAGGCAAACTAGAAAAAAGATCATATTGGCATTGGCACTATTGGCAGTATTGGCACAAAGCTACTGCTACTACTTACTTCAAACAAACCAAAACCAAACCAATTTAACCAAACTTTACGTTTGTTTATTCTTACTGTTTGTGTATTTATGAGATTAAACAAACATTGTTGGATTACTTTGTCATAATTATTAATCAATATTTTTATTACAGGAGTAAGTTCAAGGTGTACCCGTGTAGGCCTAGGCCTACCTACCTTTTCTAATCATAAGCGAACTAACTCTTATAAACTAGATTTTTAGGTTAGGTTAACTCATTTAATCTTTACCTTGGATTAAGTAGGCCTACCTTGCGATGTTTAAATTTTGTAAAATGTTATTTAGTTTGTTTGTCAATATCATTAACTAAACTAACCTAACTTCAGCTTTTATGCTGCATCGCGCTGAAATAGAGTGGCAGGTGACCATCTTTTTGAATAGACCCATAAAAATAACAAAGAATTCATACTTAGGCCTATTACTTAGAGTGAAATATTTCAATTAATATTCATAATTAATAAAAAAATTAAAAATTAAAATGTTGTGATAATTTATATCTTAGGATCTCTGTGTAACTGTATCCCTTCATTGTATTAAACTTACAAAAAATAAATAACAGACCAATAACTAACTTACAGTAAGACCCCCTCTTAACCGACCCTAACGGGACTGGACCTTGGTTGGATAACTCAAAAGGTCAGTTAAAATAGGCAATTCCTAAATTCTTTAAAAACTAATAGGCGGATGATAATAATAAGTTTATAATGGGCGGATAATCCAATTATCGGTAAATGCGAGGTCGGGAGGGGGTCTACTGTAATTGGTAAACTTATGTTAACTTACGTTCAATTGTATCAATCTATAACCTGTATCTAATCTAATTGTATCTAACCTGGCGTTATTGGAACTCGGGAACCACACTCTAACTTACCACTCGACATAGACCAGCTCGCTCCCATAATCCGTCATGTTTAGAATCAGGCCTAATTCTTTTAATCTGGTCCTAGGAAATGTTTGAAGACCCTAGTGATTTATCTTCGGCAAGTAATGGCGCAATCAGTGAAGAAGAGGAATCATTTCAGCGCCCAGCTTTGTTCGTTCCAAGTATTGATGAAGATGAGGACCTTTCTCAACCTCCCATGGATGGATTTGAGTTCCTCAAGAGAGTTGTGTAAGAATTCAATGGTTTACATTTAGCCGAGTAATAAGTTAAGTATATACACTCTAGCCTATGTCCAATAGATCAGCATTATGCCAAAGAAGACAACTGACCTTTATGTAAGCTTAACTCAATAAAAAAGCCGCAAATTGGTCCTGACATTTGACAAAACCAAGAAGACAAGTGCTTATAACTAATTTGCTAGTAGCCTACATTAAGTTCACTAGCATGTTGAATAGAGAGATCATAACGTTTTTCGAACCCATATATCGAGTTGCTTCAGTCTGTTGAATCTTGTCTCGTTTTTGGTTGGATTGTTGTGTGGTGAATTTTTTAACAATCTGTATCATAGATGCAGCACTTAAGGATTAATATTGAATGTCTATAAGAATAACAAGTTATGTGTGTTGTAATGGCTGTAACTCTTCGGTTAAATCATCATAACAACTATTTAAAAAACTCAAATTCATATTTTAAAACCTCATTAAGGAGTTGTAAATTAGCTTTAATATTATCTTTAATATTTTAGACTACCTACCTAACTTACCTATTCACTTTTAGTACCGTATTAACTGTTGAGGAGAAAACACATGAAAATTTACTACCGTATGTATAATTCTACTTTTATGGAGTGTTCAAATCATAATGCTAATTCTAATTACGGTATGTTTTATTATACTATACAGAGCAGAGAGAAAAACAATAGATGATGTGGTGATTAAACCAGTGGATGCGGAGAAGATAAAAACACAGACCAAATTTGCAGATAACATTCTGCATGTAAGTTTCTACTTTAGTAAACATTTATCTTAAAACTTCCATTTTTGAAACCTTTTGTTATTTGAACAGAATGTGTATTATACAAATCTGTGAATGTGTGTGTGCATGTTAATTTTTTAATGTATATTTTAACTAGCTGTTACCCACGGGCTTCACCTTGAGTTACTTCATATTAATAAAACTAAATGGTTTATATTACCTGTCCGTCAGTGATCCTATTGTCATCATTGCCTAAGACAACAATAGGATCACTGACGGACAAGTAATATAAACCATTTAATTCAATAAATAAGTGATCCTGGGCCACTAAGCATAATTAATGAAACTATTTATTGGTTAAGTTAAGCTGAAATAAACAAAACAGAATACAGTAGGCCTAATACTTCACCCCTAAAATAATCACCCCTGATTTTGATAAGGTAATAAATTGAAAGAACAACATACAAATAAGTTTAAAGCTGAGGTATTTTTAACATTAGGTATATGGAAAGTTCCCTTTAGAAAGGAATTACGATCTTAAAGGGCAATTTATGAAATAATGGATAGTTTAGCGCAAGGGTTCTCATCATGACGAACAATTTAAGTTTATGGTTTATGGGGTTGTGACTTGTAGTTTTCTCAAAAGTTCATGGGTACTTTGGGATTTATATTTGGATCAGCCCAACACTAGGTATACAAATTGAGATTATAAATGCAAATATTTAATTTAGTTTTACTTCTGTGGACTCTTATGTTTCTAAATTAACTTTGACTGAGAAACAAATTTACATCTTTTTGTCTGGATGATTTTTTGTTTATGTGTGGTAAAGTTTATAGTCAGATAAAGTTATTTATCAACAATATTTTTAAAATTTAGCTTATTAAAATCATGGTTTTACATTTTTAAATCTGACTAAACCTAAAAAGGGCTTGTGTTGTACCCGAAACATCGGTTTGATTATTTTATTTTTAAGTACCGGTAGCCTATTAAGGCACATTATGAAGAAATTCAGTTCTAAGCACATTCCGCCAGGGGGGAGCCAGCTGCTCTAGTCATAGAACCTTAAATAGGAATTCCAGCCCCAAGGTTCCGGGTTCAAATACGGCAATTGACTAATATATTTTATCCAAGTGATGATGCCGTGACTCTCTAGGCTTAGCCTGATGTAATGTCAAAATGGTTCTGCAGTCTTAGGATAAGAAGGTAGGACATGAAAAATATACATCCCTCCACCATAAACAAACTAAAGATTTAAGGCCAAACAAGATTAAAATAAGTATTTAACAAAGTTCCAGTTGTCGTTAAGACTTCGACAATGTTCATGGTTGTTATACCAGAGACACCAGAATATAAATTATTATAATTATTATGATGATGTATGTATTTTATGATAAGAGAGATGTAAAGCTGTTCTGTGCAAATTATTGATGATGATTTCACTTTTATTTGAATTATATTGTCAGTTTTCAGAAGTGGAAAATAAATTCTGTCTGGATGAGAAAACTCAACGCAAAATAATATCCGATTTCTCCAAGTTGCGGAAGAAATGTGAGGCCATTCGAAATAGAATGTCGCATACTCATCTAGATAAACTCAGGAGATCTTTGGTATGTGAATAGTGTTTTTTATAATCATTCATATTAATCAATAGCTGCCTGAAACGACCAATAGCCACAATATGTGGCTAAACTGTAGCCTCGAAGGGGTTAAATCAAAGTTTAAAGACCTTGCGAGGCTACATGATCCGTCAACACTTAAAAACACACTCTTTTGGCTGCTGCCTAATTAACGTCACCGCAATGATGGTGTCCTATCATCAGTGGTTGATGTATATAATTTTAGGCATTGGGACTGTAGCCTTCCTGGAGATATATTGTATCTCATTTCTTTCACATCCTTCTTCTTCATAGAAAATGATGCATACAAAAAAATTTTTGTAAAAGACTTTGTCACTGATTGATTTTTATAATGAAAAGGTTAAAAAATATTCTCTTTAGAGAGAGGGGACGCGTTGCAGAAAGTCAACAGTCCCGGAAGGTCAAATAATTTATACCTGTGCCGCTAGGTCAAAAACTACAATGTTTGCAGTGTCTGTAGATCAAAAATCCCAGTAAGTCAAATAGTACAGTCCGAGCTAAAAACGTGGTCTAGGTTAAAGCAATTGACTTATTGGGAATTTGACCTAATGCAACAGCAGTTTTAATATAACGAAATAAGATAAAATATAAGTTCAGTTTCGCTGAGTCAACAGTGCCGGAAGGTCAAAAGTATAATCTGTTAAAAACAACGATAGTCCTCTCGACGCATGACTTCAATAATTTCGCGTTTTGGTGTACTTAAAGTTGTGCTAAAATTTTGAAAATTGGCACAGAGCTTCTTGGTTAGTCCTACTCGATGACTATTTTGTTGGAACTTTAAACTATTTACCGATCTAATTAATAAAAATTGATATGTATGGTGAAATAGTTTTAAATCGTGATTTCTAACATGAAAAAGTTAGCATGCGAGATTTTTTTTTGTTTTTGGGTTAGAGAGGTTTTGTCTGTGGCAAATTTGTAGCCAAAAGTGTGATGCGTAAAATATATGTTTTTGAATTTTTTACAATCAGTGGTTCAATAGATAACTTGGGTTGAAGAGAACGGCAAATTTAGCATTTCGCAACGCATGGAAAGAACTACATCGTACGATGCGACTGCTGAGTGGACTTATAATTTACAGTTCTAAGAACAAAAAAAGATGAATATACAGATCACCAGTACATTCATATTATTTATAAAACATCTTTCTGTATTACCAGCTTACATTTTTCACTTATAAGAATACATCATAAACAGGGTGTTAAAAATAAGCGGGGAGATACTTCACCTAGTAATTCCTCGGGTCAAAATAAACAGAAAATCAAGGTTAACATTTTTTCCGAAATCGTTTCGTTAACCAGATATCCACCATTTTGAATTTTTTACATACAGATATTTATCTTTGCACTTTTCCAACCGATGTTTATGAAACTTGGTATGTATGTTAAGGTAGGAGAGACCCATGTTATAAAAAAAGATTCATCTCGATTCACCCTAAAATTTCAAAATTTAACACTTAACTACAATATAATATACTTTACTACACCACAATATTTACGTATCACCATAAATCTTTAACACAATAAAACGTTAACATTTTTAAAATCCAAAGTAAATCAATATAATCTTTCTTTTTTGAAAAATATATTAAAAAAAAGGCGATGGTAAAATAACGACAGGCGAGTTTCGATCTGGGTGTTTCAGGTTTGAATCTAGGAGGATTTAACATTAATTAGGTAACATTAATGTTTAATCCTCCTAGGTTTGAACTGATTGAGAGGAATACATGAAACCGAAGGGGGGAGGTAGCAACAAGTGCACTAGTATTTACTAGTGTCCAATTACAATTTCATGGATTTAACCAAAACCTTTTCTATTTCACTTATTTTCAGCTGTTAAATTTCAAATGATACGTTTTAGCGACATCATTAACGTTATTATCATCATCATCGTTTGAGTTTGGGTTTGCGGCAATGTATTTTTATGAATAAAACCTTTAATTTGATACCAAACTTGACCTCTGCTGCTATTAATTGACTGTATGCACTATTAATTAACAGCTGTTTCTAGGATTATGTCGGCCTTAGTCACAAACAGGACAACAAGATCGCTCCACTCATCCCACACTCATCTCCATTCATACTTGGCTTAAAATGCATACATTTGTATGGTCGCCATTTCAAAGCAACATGGCTACATTATCAATGACAAACGTGGAAAACCTTATACGAGTGTGAGTAAATCCGAAAACAGTGTAAGTCCGAAAACAACTCTAAAAAACAATAAGCAATAAATTGCAAGAACCGTTGCTTATATCATTGGGTAAACTTATACACGTATGTACTGACGTGTATACTCAATGCTTATATCGAACGAATGTACATCGTGAGAATTTCCATTAGTTGTTCCATTTAGTTGTGTGTCCATTAGTATAATAGTTTAGTTGACTCTTTTAAAGTCAGCGGAAATTGTGACTGTTATTACCCTTGAAATGATGTTTGTGTAGTACTTTGCAATCCTACCAATGTTTTTAGAATCATACGATTACAATTTTCTGGTTAGAATATGTCGCATAGAGTGGTGACTACTGTATCTTTTTGGTTTGCTTGTAAAACAGGATCAACAGAGATTTTCCATCGACTTAAACAATACGATACTCTCAAATTGTTCATTGCTATAACAAACTATCACACAGTTTGATGAATATTTGTGTGTAAACCGCACCTGTATTCTATCTATTTTACCTTTTATTTTTCCAAGACTTTATAGAAAATCACGCATCAGTGAAGAAAGGCTGTATCCCATGTGTTTTATAGGTAAAGAAGACAAGGGTGGTCCTAGACATATATTTTGGGGGGTCACCGGGGGCCTGGGGGGGTCCTGGGGTTCCCCCCGGGAAAAACATATAAATAAATAAATATAGGCTATACAGGGTGATCAACTCAAGGAGGCCACCATTGGGATATCGGAAACGGTAAGAATTAGAGAAAACTTAAAATGGAGGACATTCCTTTATTTTTTGTGGCAGTTAAAAATATGATTTTAGTTTTTGAAATTCAGCCACCATTTTCCAAAATGGCGGGCAAATTTGAAATTTCTTATGGAACACCCTATATTTTATCATGTTTTCGGATAGAATAGGCAATTTAAAACTTTTTTAGCCTTGACATTTTTTCGATAAACCCACTCGTTTAGGAGTTACAGCCTATGGAAAAATGACTTCCGGTGTACATTTTACATCATGTAGCTCCTAAACAAGTAAGTTTATAGCAAAAATGCGAAGAGTAAAAAAGTCTTACAATTGCATCCACATTCCAAAAAGACCATACAATTCATTAAAAATACGAATTATATTATTTAAAAAATGGCGGCAAACTTGAAAAGTGGAAAACTTTTTATTTTATAGTCTTTAAGGAATGTAGATGCAATTCTAAGACGAATTTACTTTTTGCAATTTAGCTCTAAACTTACTCGTTTAGGAGCTACATGATGTAAAATGTACACCGGAAGTCGTTTTTCCATATGCTGTACTCCTTAACGAGTGGGTTTATCGAAAAAATGTCCAGGCTAAAAAAGTTTTTAAATTGCATATTCTATCCGAAAACATGATAAAAAAACTAAAATTATATTTTTTACTGCCACAAAAAATAAAGGAATGTCCCCCATTTAAAGTTTTCTCTAATTCTTACCGTTTCCGATTTCCCAATGGTGGCCTCCTTGAGTTGATCACCCTGTATATATGAATTTGAACCCCATGATATATATGAATTTGATATTTTGTATGTGTTTTTGGCCTCTAGGGACCTCAAAACGAAAAATTAAATCGGTCCCGGCCCCCGGGTCCAGGTGTATAAGTACTACGGTAATTGGTAATAGCTTATTCCCTATATGGGAAATTCGCCAAAAACCTAATTGTTATGTAGAACAATATTACACTCAACCAGCTGTTAGTTAAAACAACTTATATGGGACTAAAACAAATCGATGATTACAAAGATTCCTTTAAACAATAATTTGAACATCCTACTATTTTACTATGCATATTTAATTAATCTGCCATCCTCATACCTAAATTGAATGTATCGATGGTCAGCATTACACATAGTATAAATAAGTCAACTCTAAATATGTCTTTAAATTTGTTTCCAAATGCTGAATTTGTGTCACAAATGCTGAATGTTTACAGCTGTTATGTTAAGCAAATTATATTGTACTAAAAGCTAGCTTAGAAGGTTAGCGTCGGCTGCTAGACTTTTTAAAAATTAAAACTTAATTTCTAAAAAAACTGGGACCCTATTTATAATTATGGCTTTGACATTCCCTAGTTCTCAAAATGATCTTTCTTTCAACACAAAAATAATGAAAATCCGTCGACTGGTTGATTCAGAATGTGAAAAACCCCCATTTACGTTATATGATAGTTTGGACAGGTTTCAACCCTTCCGAGGCGTAATACATTTACACAGTTTATATGTAGACTACATTAGAGCTCATAAAATAGTTCTACAATTAAATGGATCTCCTTTTACAAAAGTATAATAATAACCAGAAATTTTCAGATCGTCCTTGCGGGTATTTTATGCCACAAATTTTGACGAAAGGCTATACCTATTTACAGTGTTGACGAAACAGTTGGCAAGAAGCATTAATAGATAACCTATATACCAAATATGATAATTTTAGCTCTATTCTAATTATGACAAAACACGAAGTAACTAAAAGCGAGTTTTGTTTGTGTAGTAAGCGTTGCAGGAGGTCTACTTTACACTGAATCGACGTTCACTTTTATTGCTTTTGATCTTCCGGCACTGTTGACTCAGCGAAACTGAACTTGTATTTTACCGTATTTCGTTATATTAAAACTGCTGTTGCATTAGGTCAAATTCCCAATAAGTCAATTGCTTTAACATAGACCACGTTTTTAGTTCGGACTGTATTATTTGACCTACTGGGACTTTTGATCTACAGACACTGCAAACATTGTAGTTTTTGACCTAGCGGCACAGGTATAAATTATTTGATCTTCCGGGACTGTTGACTTCCAGCAACATTCCCGAGAGAGGCAGTGCCGGATTTACGCGATTTTGCCACGGCTGGGTGTGCCAATGAGGATGTGATGGATTCCCGAGGGGGGTGTTTACGATTTCGGTAAGGCCGCGGTTGACAATGATGATGTACTCATGATCGCAGTCCACGGTAGATGTTTTAACACGACTTTGCCGCAATCACGAGTGTCGATGATGATGATGATGTCCCCGTGATTGCGGCCAGCGGGTGATGTTCACGATTTTACTGTGGTCGCAGGTGACGGTGATGATGTCCTTATAAGGTCACAGCTCACGGGATATGATTACGATTTTGCCGTGGTCGCAAGTGTCGAGGATGTAGCCCTTTGTTGCAGCCCGCGGGGGATGTTCATGATTTTGCCGCGCTCACGGATACCTATGATGGGTTTGACTTGATTTAGGAGAGATGTCTACGATTTCATCCACGATCGTGGGTGTCAATGATGATGTCCCCTTGATGCATAGGAGATATTCACGATTACTTCCGCGATCGCAAGGAATTTCCACCACAGGGGGAAGGCCACTCAAGTAATTTGGCCTAGGGCCGCAAGTACCCTAAATCCGGCACTGGAGAGAGGAATCCTGGATTGACTTTTAATGTTTTAAATATTGTTTTGTTTTAAATCAAGCCCTGTCTATAACCATTGTTGTTGCACATTTAAATTTCAATGATGCTGCTGTTTTTCTTAATAAGTCAGTTTTACTATCTGGCCTTAACTGTGATTTTTTACTGAAAACATAGTTGTGCAAATTTAACAGTGAAAATCTGTTTATTTTCAGCCCAAAATAAGTAAAGAAGATGACTGGCTTGTACTTTTGTCAAATCACCCCATCAATTTGGCAAAGGCAATAGATTCAACCAGCTCGAATGTGGAACTCTGTATAGCTATAGCATGGGTTTGTTGAAACTTAGTTAGGCTAAACCTATTTGTTTAACCTTAGACGTTACAAAGGATGTTAAATGTTCATCATTGATTCAATTGAAAAATAATTTGAAACTTGTGAGTTGGTATTAATGTTCCTTAAAAACATGTGTTGTTTATTATTGAATAATCACAAATTATTCTCTTTCTACTCATAACATGGGCTTTTGTTAAGGTAATAAACTAATTTCTTTCATCCAACTTTTATTGTTTTTTTTTTTTTTTTTTTGGGCTGCAGATTATATTATTAGAATGGATTTAAGAGTGAACTAGTGTACATGTTGCTCGAAATCGAGCAATTGCGAAGAAGTACAGGAGTTATTTATAAACAAATAACTTGTTTAAAAACTAATAACACTAACAGTCATAATTTCCGATGATGACGGGAAAAGGTAAGCTTACAATTTAAGTCAACGTAAAAAGGCTGTCAGCTTTTATAAAGTACCGTACCTAAGCTATTTAGCAAATTTTTAAATAATAAGGTGTAGGCTACTTTAAACTCGACAGGACAGAGTTAGGCAAAAACTGGCAGAACTCTGAAATGGTGTTATTTACTTTACCCAGAAAATCAGGTTTGAAAAATCATTAAAAACTGCAAAGTGCCGAAAATGCCTGGCCCACTCCTCTACTAAACTAAATATAATAATTTAACCTAACCTAACTTAACCTAACATAACCTACCCAACCTAACTGGACCTTCGTTTAACAAAAAATCTGTAATTTTCCTCATTCTAACCTAAGCATGGGTTAGGTAATGTTAGGTTAGATTATAATTACTTTGGTGGAGGAGAGGGTTACCAAACTAAATATAATATAATCTAACCCAACCTAACCCAGCCTAACCCCACCTAACCCATGCTTAAGTTAGAAAAATGCCGAAAATTACGGTTTATTGTTAAACCAAGTCTAGGTTAGGTTTGGTTAAGTTAGGTTAGGTTAGGTTAGATAATACTGTATTTGGGAAAAGTGTCATAAGTAATTTTTAGCACTTTTTGGCGATTTTCAAATGCGATTATCAGGGTGAAAAATGGTTTTGCCCCAAAAGTGCCAAATGTTAAAAGTGTTCAAAATAGGCCAAATAATGGGAAAACACCGTCCTAAAGTAAACAAATACCTTATAGTCAATGTACTTCCTTAAACTCTTTGTGAAATCAGGAATTTTCAAAGACTTCTTTTTCCAGGCCAAGATTAGTTCAGTAATGATTCACATTAGAGATTTTATATCTGACGGAAAGTTGGACATTCCGCTGGCTTGTCGGTGGATCCACATACTCCTAGCTTGTGCAAGCCAACCACTAAATCCAGACTTGCACTCTGTACTGCGAGAAATAACCAGGATTTTGATATCTCTTAGATCCAAGCTGGTATGTGTTTTTCACACCTATAATTAAAAATTACTAGTAAGGAGTGAGGGATGTTTGGGATGAATATTAATTTTGACAGAGCCTGTGAAGTACTGTGATTACACTCAAGATGGCGGTTTATCTTTATCACAGCATTTTAGTAGGCCTAGAGCTGACACTTAATGAATCCATTTATTATTTTCCTTTATTTGTACCTTGTGGGATGATACAAATTTAAAACGTTAATAATTCATCTTATGGCCATTAGTGTTTCTAAACTGAATCTCAAATCCTACAACCAATTTGAGAGTGATTCTGGGATTTTTGAGATCCCAAATTTCAACAAGAACAAATTGGAGTTTAATTAATTTCAATGTTTTTTTTCAAATCGTGTTTATTTTTTTTAGGGGGAGGGGTGATGTTTAACACGTTCACTGCGCTACGAGATCCCAAGGTCTCGTATCGTACCTAGCCCGTAGTGCGGGACCCATAATTTGGCTTCTTTCCAAAAATTACGACATCGATATTTCGGCGTACAGTTATCGTAAAGAAATGAAACTTGTACATGTATAATGCATTTTTCTTGATGTATCAACTAGTAACTATGAAATGAACGAGATAAATAGATCTCGTAACGCACTGAAGTAATAAACTTTTACTTTATTACGATACGAGACCCCTGGGTCTCGTATCAAAAATAGTTGTTCCAAGCACTACATGAGGCTAATGGGGTGATTAGTAACCATGGTACTTTGTTGAATGCTTGGATGAAAGAAGGAAACCAAAGAAATAATTCAAGAACAAAGAGAAAGAATAATGGCGTTTTTTTACTGATATTAGCACTAACGGATGCGTAATAAAGGTCACTGGTAAATGACCTAAAATATCACGATTGTGCAATGTTGTATTTTGATGTAAACAAGCAAATCATTTACATTAATTCGAATATTTCTCCTGGTACCTACTAATTCATACAAAAATCAATGCTAAATAATCGTCAAACCGGACAAGAAATTTCCGATAAACAACTTTGTATCATAAGTTTTTGTTTTGCGATTGGGATCCCTTTCCCAGCCCTTTAGGGAAGTGGTGCAAGTCTAAATATAGCTTCAAGGTTGCACCCATCCCTTCCCCCCGCCCACTCGACTCACTGTTGGCACGCACTCATTTCGAGGTCATAGCCCAACCCCAAAAGTATAACGAAATAAATACAGTAATTTGTAAACATATTTCATTTGTATTTTATTTAGCCTGAAATCAGCCATAAGGAAACGCATTAATATAAAAAAGTGATAAAAGAAAGATAAAATATATTTTTTATAACGGTTACGATTATAAGGAATTCGTAAATAAACAGGTAACATATATTTTTCTTAATTTGTTATTGTAGGAAAAGAATAAATACAAATAAATAATGAACTATTACAGCTGTGCGGTACGAGATCTCGGGGTCTCGTACAATGACGTCATATTTACTTCCTGGGCTGGCTGAAGATTGTCAACATTGTACTGGTTCAGATAAACAAACACTCAGCGCTCTCTTGCCTTTCTTTACGAGGTTATGATGCGCAAAAGATTACTGCGCAACGTAATCTCGGGGTCTCGTATCGCACCTTGGTAATCATAGCGGACGAGACCTATAGATCTCGTAACGCACCATTGGAATAATGGTGGAAAATATGCAACGCAGTGAACGTGTTAAATTCTTGCAGTCACATATTGCGATATCAATATATCAGGATCATAAGTTTTTGGTTTCGGTTTAGAGATTTGAAATTTTTGGTTTTTACCATCACTAATGGACAGTTTAAGTAGCTGTATGAAAAAAGCTACATGTTAAGTGTAGGTGCAAAAAAAACTTCAAAGATAGTGAACAATTTGTTAAGTTTTTTTTTTTTTTAGGAACGGGAGGATTTTGAGGACCTGCCACCAATCTTCTTGATCATCTGTGTGATTGGACGATACTTTGGTCAGCAGGATCTTGCCGATCCCATAGACTGACCGCTCACGTTACCTCATCTTTGTTCATAGTGTTAACTTTTTGTATTAAAGTATTTATGCTGGAAAAATGTATTGTTAAATAAAATCCTTTATGCTCATTATAGAAAGGGGTGCCCCTCTCTAAAATACTTTTGGCTATTGGAATATGGATGGAACTAAACATTCTATTCCTTCGTTGAAGTCGTCACTAGTTTTAAAAACAAAATGGTCATAGTTGATTGAGCCCCAGCAGAGTGTGCTGATGCTAATTACTGATTTCTGCCGAGGCCAACTTTTTTACTGATAGTACACTTATTGTGAGCTATAGCATGTTTTATGTCACATAAACTCATCAGTAACAAAAACTAAGGAAATAGAATTTTAGACTGTAACATATTCGGAGAGTGGCTCATTCAGCTATGTTGTTTTTTATAAGAAATTGGTAACAGCTGGCCCGTACAAATGGGATGTCCACTTCAGTCAATGTTAGTACACAATAGTCCTTGTAGCAGAACTCATTACTGTGCACCTCAGTGCTGTCTGGGTTATCGACATGGCTTATTTCATCCAGAGTAAGGTAGTTGTTTTTGCTGTTGTGTCGTTTTTTGAACAGAGTAAATAATTTGAGCTGATGATGCTGTAGAAGAAACTCAAGCGTAAGTTGTTCACTTAGTTAATGGGGACATGTTAATTTACAGCAATCCTCATCTATTGCTGAGTGAAGACAATTAAGAATAATTCCTAATATGTGGCCAGACCATTGATCAATTTATTGTCAGATTATTGAGATTTGTAGTTCTATTCAGTAAATTTTAATGGATAGTTTGAGAATGGAAAAGTTCCTACCAGGTATAATCCTGGTACTTTGAAGATAAATAGCAAACCTTCAAACTGAGCGAATTTCCATTTGCCTTATTGGATTTTCAAATAAATTATTTAAATAACCCAAGTGAAGACTTATCAAGTATTTAGGTTTGCCGCTACAGAGAGGGTATTAAAGTGTGTTTTTTTAGTAAAATATTAATAGCTTAGTATGAAATAAATAAAATGACCAAGTATGATTCTATAAGAATAACAAGGGAATTTTTAATTTAACATTTTTTATCAAAACCGGACCCAAAACACATATATCTACTCGAAACTATAACTCAAAAATTGTGATAAAAACAATACTTTCTTCATATACTTATGGTATAGGGGGAGAAAGTAAAATGTATTTATTTCGTACTATATTATGAACATTTAACTATAAAAAGACTTTATTCCCTACCTGTAGTCGCAAACCTAAGTACTCGTTAAACTAATGTTATTTAAATAGGGAATAAATATGTCATTTTTAAGGAGATATTTTAGTGAAAATTGCAGATTAAGCGTATTATATTGCTAAGATTTTAACATTTTGACACTAAATAAACTAACAATTGTCGTTTAAAGACAATTGAAATTTTCACAGAATTTCAACATCGCTTATGTTTGCACAGCTGAACACTGTACAATTGTAACAAAAGTCTGGCATAAAGGTGTTATTTGCAAAGTATTGAAGCTCACAGATTCTACTGCTTTTTGTTATCATGCAGATTGTGTTGTTCTTAATTGTTACAATATTGGTTTCTGTGAGTGGCTTGATAAAGGTTGAGTTAAATCCTTTGTTGAATGAGATTGTTGATAATGCAGTACGAACACTGGCAAAAGGAGTGGACAAAGTGAGTGTGGACAATAATTTAGATGACAGTCGTGATCAACAGGCTTACGTATGTGTGGAAGGAATTTCTCTCAAGGGCCTAAGTAGGTTCCAGTATAAATTAAATGACGAAGAAGCGCATATACAAGATGGTAAAGTAATCGTAAATGTTAGTTTATTTTTCCACGCTCTCTATCTTGAAATTAACAAGGCAGTCTTGAATACAAATAGTTTTCTCTATCACAATACGGGAATTCACAATCAATTAGAGCAGAGATTGGCCACCGAATCTTACCACATGATAATTTCGTACAGTGAGCAAAGCGATCATTCCCAACTTAAAGATTGTGTCATAAAACTAAAAGGTTCTGAATGGCCAAGACTAAGTCCTAACAATGTCATGCATAAAAATGATCAAACTGGCTATTTGGGATTTTACCTTAGCCAGATGGTTACCAACAAAGGTCAATTCTTATATCCAGTATTTTCCGATAATGTTCGGGAATCTTTAAAATCTGCATTGACGTCTAACAAAGATTGTGCTGTTCAAGAAATCTTAAATGAACCTGTCAAAGGGAAAGCCATATCAGGGGACTACGATATCTACTGTGAATCAAACACTTTTGCAGAAATTGAAAGTAAGAGACGTTCAAAAAGCTGGAAAAGTTTGTTAAGTAAGTTTGGTATCGGTAAAGGGTAAAAGATTAATGCATAGCTAGAATTTAAAAGTAAATTTCATCTGTTGCCAGAAAATATTTAATATTACTCTGATGCCTAACAACTTACGAAAAACTTGTTAATGTTCAATGTGGCAATAAATAAAAAGAAAACCAAAGGTAATTTTTTTCCTGAGTTAATCATAAAATTGAATAACATGAGGAAATTAGCAGTTTTAATACTTTTAAACTGCCAAATAAAAAAAAAATTCCAATCAAACACATTTCCAACCAAAGGTAGATAAACACAAAAATATATAAAACATAAACATATTACTCATATTAGTTTAGTAGTTAGTATGTCCAGAGGGCACGCCGATTCAGATTTTTGGTGGCACGAATGGCACTTGCATTTAAATTCAAATAAGTAGCCATAGTGGCTGCCGGTAGCCGGTAGCCGAACCCACGTGCGGCACCTGCTTACCAGAATTAAATCTTCATTCTAGTTTAAGATTCCAATTCAGATAGTGCTCGTACGCATAAATTAAGTTGGTTTTATAGTTAAATATTTTATTTTTCATCCTTACCTTAAGGTATTCTTAAACACTCTTAAGGAAAAAATCTTTCTTTATGTAGGGGTTCCTTACAAAATGACTTTCAATTTTAGTAATTAGTTTCGGGCTCCATTCAACAATGTAAAAAGAACCGTGATCAATTATTTCTAGCTATAGGAAAAGAGATATATAATATCATGAACACCATTTTCATTGGCTGGCTTTCCTTACATACATTCACCACTGACGCACGGCCACGGCGCCACAACCGTCTGGTCCAGTGGCAGTGGGAAGCTGCAAGGAGTGTCTACTAAAGAATTTTTTTTTTTTAATTTCTCTTGCTCTTATCCTTATCACTACTAAAAGAATTTACCTGTATTGTTTTTAACTGGACAGCAAAACCCGTAGGCCCAAAGAGTGTGGGAATAACCCACATCACGGCCAACAATTAAAGAATAAGGTAAGAGTCAACCCCATCAGCTGATCTGACGACAAGCAGAACTGTAGTCAGACACCTGCGACACTAGCGCTACTGCCGGGAAACGAGGAATGGACCGGCCTGCAGGTTTGTCTTGGCGGAACCGTGATATGGAAAGGAGCTAGGAGCTAAGTTGTCTTCGTTTGGTAAAGTACCGTAGCCATAATGTATTATTAGTTAATTAATCTTTGGGGGATAAAGGGGTTAGGGGGAATCGTATCTTTTCTAAATTAGGCCAAGTTCAACCAACAATAAATTAACTGACGTAACTAAATTAAACTTTGCAATTATCGATATCATGTTTAGGGCAAGTTGCTGCAGGCGTGTCACAACGGCGAGGAGTAGTTAGAATAAAATAAAACGTAGTTAATCTATTTATTTGAGACCTATCAAAGCTGGCTTACGCTGAGCAGGGTTTTCGTGAGTGCTATGGGGAAGTGGAATCAGCACGTTTTTCATTAAGTGTGGATCTGGCTGGGTTTATTCCAGTCACGACCACACAACAGTGAAAGGAGCGCAAGTCGGACATATCCGCAAAGAAACTGACAGATCATCCTCCATAGTAAATTCAAAATTGATAGCCCATTTAGAAAGGCATTACAAAAAATGTTTGCGAGTGGTAATAAGTGGTTTTGTTACACACCTGTTATTTATATTAGTGCACCTGTTGCTCGAATTCAAGCAATTGCAAAGTATTACAGGTGTTATTTCAAAACGAATAACAGTCATAAATTCCGATGACTTAAAAGAGTCAACTTAAAGATTGTAATCTCTTGTGTGTATCATGTGTTTACTATGAACAGCTGTAATTAATACAAATTATTCATCCGGTTAAGTAAACAAAATATTTCTTCATAAGAAATACATTGGGATTTTGATGGCCTGTGGGGCAAAGCCCGAGGACTTTTATTACAGGAAATGTTGAAAGGGGGCGTCTACACAAACAATACTTCATTTTGACACACCGTTTGTAAAAATTCGTCCATTATCAACGGAGGAGTAGTGTTTCGTAGAAATCGCCTTCACTTATTATACATAAGGATTTAATATTTATCACCGACTACTCAGGAATTTCAATACCAATAAAATGTAATAGCCAAAAAGAATCAAAATAAAATGTATTGAATATAAAACAATATTTTAAAATAATAAATATGAATTGTATAACATAAGAAATAAATACTGGGAAGCTACTGTTGCGTCTTGGTAAGTCTGCGGGCTCCGCGCCCAGGCGGTCCCTTAGGTTTCTCAAATTTGGGTCGGTGAAGGTTAACCTTTGGATGAAGCTCGTCCTGGAGGTAATCTTCAGTCAATTCCGCTCCCGAATCAATTTCAAGCTGAAAGAGTAAAAAAGGGGTACACACTTTTACCTACAACGGTTTTTAAAAGTAGCCGTTTCAGACTTAGAATTAGAATACTTAGAAACTGAGAATTGAAAAGTTTCTCATAACAGCATTGTTTACTTTCATAACAGCATAGTTTTACCCATAACAACACAGGTTAACACAGGTCATAACCAATGAGGTTCAAGGATTGAGAGAAAAGAAATAAAACTGTAAATATTCTAACTTTAACTAATCAGCTGTTCAGGTCAATTTAATTGTTGATTGGTGCTGGCTGCAATTAGTGTTTATGTACAATGTTTTGTTGCATCGGTCAGTGACAATAAGAGGTTATAAACAAAAACATAACCTCTCTTAGAAGTTATGAGGAGTAATTTTTAAAAATTAAAACACTGTCGTAGGAAAGTAGTGTACGCAACTCGCGTAAATAGTGTTAACAACACGAGTAGAAGTTTTTATCTCTACGCAATCGTTACGTACTACAATAACATATCCTTTGTAAGATTATGAGTGAGAGATGGGTGTTGAATAAAAAGATAACCTCATAAACGACTAATACTAGCAGGTTAGTTTTCAGCCACAATTGTTTACTGGGACCAATAGAATTTGCACTAGACGCAAGCTACAATGCTAGGCACGTTTTAAGTGTAGCATTTAATGTTTCCTCTGTATCTTACTTCTCTATGTAACGGCTCAATGATCAGGGATGACTGTATTTTTTAACTACTTTGAACCATATAAAGCTACCGACTTTATTCGGAATTGATCTGGCAAGCTTAGCCTATCTCATAAGACCAGGACTTAAACCACTCAGCTAAACCCAGCGATACTATTAAACCAGCCATGTCTAATTCAACATGACAAGATGATGTAAGTGATCAATCTTACCTTTTTTTCAACCCTCAGACCAATGCTGTTTTCAATGTAGTCTAGCAGGGGAGCTTTGCAGCTAGAGTAGAGCATTCTCTCCTTGATACTGCACGAATAACCTGGCATTGAATAGATGAACACTGCAAACAAATAAAGTCCGTGCAAACATAGTTGACCACTTAAAATAGACATTTTATTTGTATGTATTTTGTTTTGTGATGTTATGGGATGGAGATACAGTTTTAAAATTGCTTAGGCATTTGAGTGTTTGAGTTACAATAAACATCCAAAATAAAATAGTAGGAGATACAAATGAGGTTCAATTCTGCTAATAGATGGCACTGGAGTCTATACAAAATATTGTAGAAGAAGCTCCTGTCAAGAAAACAAAAATTTAAATACACAGGTGTCCCATTAAGTAAACAGCCAAACTTCGGGAAATAGTTCAGGTTCTATATGTCAAAATAAAGCGAAAATCAAGAATAGTATTTTTCCCAAAATAGCTTCGTTAACCAGATATCCGCCATTTGTATTTTTCACACATTTTTATCTTTATATTGTTCCAAGCCATCGTTATGAAACTTTGTATGTAGGTTGGTAGAAGCGACCCATGGAAGGAAAAATGTTATCTTGATCCAATTCAATTAGATCTTTTTTAACTTGGTGTCGTTCGATAGGAAGATTTAAATGCTAAATAAGTGTTCTTGAATTTTTTTTCATAAAACCAACCATTTTTTTGTAATTTAAGCTAAACATATTTAGATTGTCCGCCATTTGGAAATTTTGAATTGGATCAAGATAATATTTTTAACATGGGTCTGTTTTACCAACATAGGCCTACCTACCAAGTTTCATAAATACCTGTCAAAACAATCTTAAGATAAAAATGTAGGCTATATGTGAGAAATACAAAACCGCGAATATCTGGTAAACAATGAGATTTTGGGAAAAAATGTATTAATAATTTAATCAATAGTTTAATGTTTACATGACAATGTAAGGGACAGTCTTACAAATAAATAGGGTAACAGCAATAAATATTTGACCACCAAGAGCCTACAGTATATAGAGGCTTTGGAGAGGATCAGGATGATAGCCAAGAGTCTACTTATAGCCAGGTGCCATTCAGGTGTTATGCTATACTTAACATATTCTTTTTGTTAACTTACAGGCAATAATGTAAACTTCAACGCATGCAATGCGTAATCCTTTGGAAATTGGCCTGTGGGGTAGAGACCGAAGATGGTGGATCGATGAGTCGTAAATCATTGATGAGATAGAGACAGATGGTAGATGGCGGTGGAAAGGGAACTGTGAAGAGGTAAAAGATAGAAAAGCGTAGTCCACCTAGAGATAGTAATAACCAAAATGTAAGATTATACAGCATAAAAATAGGCCTACTCAATGAACTTACCATTAGATTCCAAGTATTCACAGTCATGCGTGTGTTTGAAGCAGTATAGGTGGTATCTCGCCGTGTCCGTAGGCACCAGACTTGGCAATTTGGCTACACTCACCGTATCACTCTTGACCAACAATATCTTCTCATTTTCTATGTCTATCTTGAGCTGAACGTAATCACATTTCCGACTGGCTAGATCGCGTATTGCACTAACTGCGGCCGGGTGAAGAGGGAAGGCTACTCCTCCTAGGGTCTGCGTACGAGAGTCGATGCTGACGTCGGTCAAGTCCTGGCTCAGGCTTGCCAACTCTTCTTCTCTCGACGTCAGGGGAGCCGGTGACTTAGCAGCCTGCCTCGTTTTCTTCAGTCCAGAGAGCGTAACATCAGTCTGAAACAGCAACTCCAAAAAATAGTTGCAAATCAGGTATTACTTTTTGGTAATATTGAGTTTGAATTGAAACTAAACTATTACGTGGAAATAAGTTATAACAACACATTATAAAGAACAGGGAAATCTCTAAAGGATGTTTTCTGTTTTTAGTTTTAGAGATGGCAGTGGTGTTGCACAATTCAGTTGAAATTAATTCAATTTGAATGAATTAACCCATTCCTGACTGAGTTATTTGTCTAGTAGCATGCAGTTAGAACTGAGTTAAAATGGGCCAATGGGCAGTGTTTTAGTAAAAAATCCATAAAAATTGTAATTTATGAAATAAATGGCTAACACTTGTGTTTAAATTGATCTACATAAAATTTCCTTTTATGTGACACTAATTTCCAATCAAAAAATTTTTATCGCAATTTTAAAAATATATATGGATTTTATATATATTTATAAAAAAATATATTTTATGAAAGCATACCTAAAAAAAGTATTTTTAATTTTTTTTTCAATCAATTTCTTGGCCAAATTCATAAATAGTATTCAATTCCTTACACAAAAAACTTTATTTGGTTTGTTTATATATAAAATCCTTCATTTTATAGCTGTTTTTGTAAAACTCTGCAATCAACAAAATAGGCCTGAATAGGCCTAATAGAAGCTTTTCACAAAAATTGCATGTGTACTAAGTTATGGTGTTGTGAGTATTGAAATAAATGGTAAATTATATTCTTAGCATGATTATATTAATTTTTAACTATAAAATGGGTAAAATTAGTTGTCAGGGAAATTTTAGGGAATTTCAGGGAAATTTCCCGGAATTTCAGGGAATTTCCCCGGAATTTCAGGGAAATTTTAGGAAATTTCAGGGGAAAAAAGTTTCGTTCCAAATATCATTGTGGGTACTCAAAGTGTTGGGGTTTTCATTCTCAATATGATTATATTATAATTATTCTTACCACCGGACAATTACCAAGCATATTATAACCAAAAACGTGATTCGTCGAATACTCAAGAAAACCTTATAGCCTAATATAATAAATATAAGATTGATCACTTACTTTTTTTGCTTATTTGTGAGCTCCAGACCTCTCTGCCACAATATTATATACAGTTTTACACTATTTACACACTATTTACACTCTATTTACAACTTTTTTCGGGGTTTCAAAAGTTTGTTTGGGTGTGAAACACCTCGAAACATGTTTCTAAGTGCAGAGGCACAAGGCACTTCCTGCACTCGTAAACGGTTTCACTTCTCCTGCCTTGAGCACTACATACTCTACACTTCCTTGAAGGCCTTTGCTTAGAAGTGGGCAAAATCTTCCTTATAAAATGACCCCAATGCCTGGCCTGTAACCGCAGTGGTGATTCAGCTGCAACCGATGGCCTTCCCCCTACTGGTCTGTTAGTTAGATTGACACTTTCCAAAATCTGTTCAGCCAAATTTATCCTAAATTTTGACATAGTAGACTTTTTCTTTGTTACAATCTCATGAATCACTCGGGCATTGTTCAATGTAACATCGAAAAGATAAAAAAACAATTTCTTGTACCCTTTCATGCACTTGCGCATCACTGGGAAGCATGAGAGTCGTTGGTCTTGTTTGTCCACACCGTTCATATTGTTATTGTAGTTTATCACAACATTTGGTTTGAGTTGTGGTTGAGGATTTGGACGTCTTCTCTCTCGTTGTGGAATGACTTCCTCATATTCCGGTCGGGTATGGATGGTTGATAGCATGGCTACATCCTTTCTGTCCTTCCACTTTAGGGCTAAGATTTTCTTAGTGTGCAAAAAGGTAAGTTCACCTAATTGGAGCTGTCTGTTTTTTATTTCTTTTGGAAAGTTTGTTCTATCAGACCTCACAACTCCTACAGCGTACGTATGCCTGTTCAAAAGCTCTAAAAAGAGTTTAGGTGAACTATACCAGTTGTCTAAGTATAAAACCCGGCCTTCATCCAACAGATCTGCACAAATTTCTAATACAATTTTTTCACTAAGTAAAAAAGATTTCTCCGGGGTTGCAGCATTTTCTGTCAGATTTTCGCCAACCTCAAGATTTTCTCCATTTTCAGGATCATCTACATTCTCCTCATTTTCTTCTTGGGGCTGTATATCTGTCTCTTTGCCAGTATAAATTTTGAAGTCATAACAATAGCCAGTTTTAGAGTCATTCAACTTGTATATCTTTATACCAAACCTGGCTCGTTTTGATGGGTTGAACTGTATATAGCTCAGTCTGCCTCGAAATTTTATTAGGCTTTCATCAACACAAATTTCTTTCTGAGGAGTAAATACTTTCTTATAGGATGCAATCAACTTCTCAATAATAGGCCTAATTTTTCTTAGTTTGTCATTAGGGTCCACAGAAGATGAGAAATGTAAAAAACGAGAGATAGTTTTGAATCGGTCTCGTGACATCGTTTCGCCAAAAATAGGTTGATGCAAAACCCTTCTCGTCGACCAGTTGTCATGGATATTAGCTTTCACATTTTGTGCCATGAGTACCACTAAAGCAAAATAGGCTTTTAGTTCATCAATGGTCAAATCTACCCATTTCACATTAGGCATGCCCTCATCTAGGTATTTGTGAGCATTCCTGTTTGTTTCGTCACATACCTGTTCCCAAAAATTATTTCCCAAAAACTGATCTAGCACATCCAGTTCATTGCTCTTGTCTGTCAGTTGTCTAGATATAACAGGATTTATCCCGTGTTTCCCTGTAAAAGGAATATTTTCTACCTCATTTTCACCCTCAAACCAGTCCCAGGGCTTTGGTTTTGTTTTGCGTTTTCGAGGCCTAGGCCTACGAACGGGTTCATTACGGTTCACACGGTTACGTCTGCGAATAGGTTCACGCCTAGGTCTACGCCTATTACGACCAGGATTCAGAGCTCGATTTTCAATATTTACATTATTTGGAATATTTACATTATTTGGAATATTTACATTATTTTCAATATTTACATTGTCACTTTCTTCAACATTCGGTAAATCAACGTCATATTCATCAAGAGTAGGATTCAAGGTTGCTAGGTTAGCCGAACTACAACATGGCAGACTAGACACACTTGGAACACTTACGTCTTCATCACTGATAATTCGTTCGTCCTCTTCATCACCACTCACTTCACAACCACTTTCCGCTAAAATATCATCAACAAACTGAGCAAAACGATCACTTTGTAAGAATAAATCATCGCGACGAAACGCCATAGCAACAACAAAACGAACCGCTGTTGCACAACTAAGGTTAGAATACAACGTCATGACAACAAATCAATAATACAACAAAAAAAACATTACAGGCTACCAGCAGACAACGCATAGAGTATAAAAACAAAGTATAGTAGTGAATAAAACATAGTGGATGGTTATTGATCGTTTTTAATCATGAGAACAAAATATAATAATGCATTATGCGTGAGGACGGGCGCTGCCCGTCTTTAGTCTTTCGTAACCTGGCGCGCTAGGACGGGCGCCGCCCGTCTTTAGGCGGGAATGGGTTAAGTGCTTATGACTCCGTTCCTAAATCAGTTTCCATTTACACACTAAGTGATTGCCTGAGCTGTAGTCATTCATATAGGCTACATTTGTAAACAATGTAAACTGGTTCATTTTGATTCCTAAAGAGATTATTCTAGTAATGAAAATAAGCAGAAAGTGAGAGATGGGAGGGGAGGAGATGAATGGGGGAAAGGGAGAAATAGTAAGTAGGACAAATCATAGATGGCCTAGAGTACAAAGGTGTGAATGAACTAAATTATATTGGTTCTGAAGCACAGCAAATAATAAGAGACTGCACACTCGCACTGGTAAATTTCAATAATTCAAACTAAGTGTACAATACTGGTTTATTTATACAGTTTGTTTACAGACATATTACTTTTTATTGTGAGTAGGTCTACAAGGATTAACTGCCCGACAAAACTAATTATCATTTTACTGGTTTGATTAAACTCTATATCTGCAAACCAAATGCATTGAATATGCTTTATGTAAGGATAAAGCCATAGTACTGGTTCAAACTAGGTAACTCATGAGCGTTCCTCGAGACAGAAAAAGTGTAAACTAGTATAATGAGTCAGTTTAAAACTCAATTTTTTGGACCATAGACGACTCAAGATGAATCAAAATTCAGGACATTGGCAAAAGATGCTTACATGAACAGTCGCATGGACTTCTTCCTTGATTTGTCCGCTGCCGAACTCCTGCTTCAGCGTGGCTTTGGTCGAAGCATACAACATCTTTTGTCTCACAGGCGAGTCGTCCGGTGACCAGCTGATCAACAACCAATCAAACCCTCCCGTTTCGTTCTTGCTGTCTAGCCTACAAATTTGATCAATTTTAAGAAACAACTAGGCCTACAGTACCTATACACGTGATATTTTCACTTTTCTGTTGGATATACCTAGATGTTGAACTAAGGGACTAAAAAACACTAAAAGTTGCAATTTGGAAAGCACAACTTTATTAACACAAGGTTTGCATAATGCTAGAAGTGTCTTTAATAATTGCTGCATATTGTTAATAGGCATAATCATTACTGTGGACCAAGGCACACGATATAAAAGACTTACTTCAAGTAGCTTAAATAACTGTGGTTCAAATCTTAGGTATGCGTACAAAATATCTGGTCTGGTGAGCAGCTCATAAAGAGTTAACCTGTCTGAGGCATTGTGTTACTTTTTGTTTAATTTTAACATATATGTTCTAAAAATGTTTTAAAATAATTTGGGGGTTTTTGTGTGTTCATAGGATGAGGGAAACCCCTCTCATCCCCTTTGGATGAGGATATAGAGTAGTTAAATGAAAATTGAGATTAGGCTACATGATTAGCCTACTGTTAAGAAGCAACGTTTGTGTGAGTTTATCCTACCTGTAGAGTACATAGCACGGCTGCTCCTCTTGGACCAAATGAGGAACACTCAAGTCATAATCAGTCTCCCAGCTTCCCTCTGCGTTTCTGTGGTCCGACAGAACCAGCTCCTCTGAAATAAAAGTTGAACACAGATGAAACACAGGCCAATAACAAAGCCTAAGGTTAGTTTTACAAATGAGGAATTTTGTTTGAAATAATTTTTTAAAATAGCATAAGTTACTTTGGTTACTAAAATACATCAAAGCGCAAACTGTTCCTGTTATGGTTCTTGTTTTTAAATTTCTGGATCCCATACAAAACTAGATAATAGGCCTAATTAAATCCAACTGAAGAACAGTCCTAATAAAAAAATGCATAAATAAAAAAACATAAGTTAAGTGAACATAAATTTGAAAAATAGGATTAACTTAAATAGTGTAAAAAATTTAAGTTCATCTTACCATTATCAATTGAAACCTTAAATGCTCTGATTTTTCCATCACGGCAGTTGCCAAAGAAGCGAAGTAGTGCTTCATTTGCTGGAAAACATAGGTAGGCCTAATTTAATTTTTATTTTTTTAACATGAATAATGTACACTACATTTAATATTTCAGATAAGAAAGGTAGGTAGCCTATGTTGTTCTACGGATTGAAAAAAAACCAATATCTCTTACTTGAACTCAATCACTCCACCTTTGACTAAGTTTTGGGCAGATCTAAAAACATAATTTGACAAGAGACATGACATTTATCCACGCATAATGAGGGATTTTACAAAGATTTGGATTTTAGTTAGCTATCAATGATATCACTGGTAAAATAACGGTAATTGATGTTCAACATGGTTTTGTAGAGGGCGTTCCACAACAACTGCTGTTTTATCCTTGGCTTCCAGAATAACCGACACCTTTGAATGTGGGAACTCGCTGGCTCTCACCCTCTGTGATTTGAGTCGTGCGTTTGATTGCGTGCCACACGTCATTCTGCTCAGCAAGCTAAAATCATATGGGGTTCAAGGCACCACGCTACAAACAATCTCCAGTTATCTAACTAATAGGAGGCAAATTGTATCCCTGGAGGGAGCAAATTCGGCCAGTAAAGAAATCTCCTACGGTGTTCCCCAGGGCTCTGTCCTAGGGCCTCTCCTTTTCCTGATATTAATTAATCACCTAGGTATAGACGGGCAGGCATTTCTATTTGCTAATGACACAATATTGGTGACGGAAGGTAGATGTGTTGAACGGGTGAAGAGGGAGGCAAGTGCATTGCTGGAGACAACAATGGAGTGGTTCGCTTCAAACAAGTTAAAATTAAACGAGGACAAGACCCAACTCCTGATCTGCACTCTTGGGAGACAAATTGCTGCTGAAGAGAATCAACCAGTAAAGCTGCTTGGTTTCTGGCTTGACCAGAAATTGAACTGGGATCACAACAACACACTATAGCAAAAAACAACACTATAGCCCAGATCTGCACCAAATTGTCTAGAGTTATCTTCCTCCTCAGAAAGCTATGTCATGTGGTCACTGAGCAGTACCTTGTTACTGTTTACTACTCTCTGTTCCACAGCCATTTTTTGTACGGTATACTCCTTTGGGGTCACGCTCCCGCATGCTGTAGATTGTTGATACTCCAAAAGGAGGCGTTGAGAGTGATAACCTCTACTGAAATAACAGGCAAAAAGATTTTACTCATAGTCCTATCTTTCAACGTCTCGGCATCCTGACTGATTATGGACAATATGTACTCAACTGTCTGATACACATATGCCAGAACATCTCTATGTAACCTATGAAAGAAGACAGGATATACATTAGCATAACATCAGGAACGCTAGAAATCTCGACACTCCTCAAGGCAGACTGTCAAAATCCCTGAATAGCTTCCCAGTGACCGCAATTAAACTCTTCAATAGTCTGCCTGAAGAAGTCAGAAGTATGGATGTGGCTGGGTTTAAAAAATCAGTGAAGGAAAAACTTCAAAGTAGGCCTAGACCTATCTACTCATTCAAAGAATTAGATGACGTGCCACTTTTTTTAACTCGCTGCCATCTCAGTTCAGTTTTTAAATTAGCCTAAATTTGAAGCAGTCCATCCGGAATCCCGGTCAGAGACGAAGCCTTGAAGTATTCAAGTAAGTTAAAATTAACTTAGAATGATTAGGGCAAGCCCAGATAATTTTTTTCATACGCAAGCCCTGTGGAAAAGAATGACACTTAGTTTCAGTAGGTACTGGTAAACGTTATGTCAAGATTCAGCAGTAAACATACCAGTAAACATAGGCACTGACATTAAGTATACTGAAACTATCACACTTAACTTAGTAGTACGGAAGACGCTTTAAAAAGTAAAAGACGGATTAAATCTACACTGTACCATTTACAGCAGACCTTAAGTTGGCCTTAGTTGCTTGTGTGCATACAAGCCTAGGCCCCTAGATGCAGGCTAGGGCTTTTTAGGTATAACCTTAAAATGTCAATTAGGCATCAAAAGAAAATCCTTATAGGACTAATTCTACATAGGTACCGTAATTTAAAAAAAATGTAAACTGCCAAGCAGAAGCTTATGCTGCAAAATAACAATTTTACCTCTGATGCCCGTTTGATGAGACATTTATCCGATGGGTAGGCTACCAAAACGTACTAACAGTTGGATATAGGCTATTTTTTCCTGATCTATTTTACTTTTTCATGAGATACAAAACCAAGTATGTATTCGATCTCTTTCAGACACAACCAAGCACCAACATAAAATTGTAGCTAGTATGTTATAAATTACTAGAAGAATACTAAAAAATATATATCTTTCTTTGATCAAATAGGTTATGTTGGCTTTTGTTTTCTGTAATATTGGAATTTCTGCTTTGTTTGCTTGAAGTTGGCAATGTTTTTGACATGCAACCCTGTAACTTTTTGATTGCATGATCGTTCGTAGGTTATTATTAAATGCAATTTTTGTTTTTTAAAGATTTCTTAAATATTAAACAAATTTACAGTGTCTAGAATAAATATTTTGCGTTTGCATACTTAATATATATTTAAATAATGCATTTAACCATACTTGTAAAAAACAAACTACTGTCATTTTATAAAAATGTAATAATAATAACTTTCTATGATGGAAATTGGGGGGGGGGGCTTTAGTCACTATAGCCCTTTAAACCGCGACTGTAGTAAATATTGTCACAATTTATCAAGTATTTTTGCAAGGCTTGTCGATGGGCAGTTGATTGTTCCCCACAAATTTTTAATTTCTTCCCCTATACCATAGTATTGGAGAAAGTATTGTTTTCAACAAAACTTTCGAGTTTGAGTTGGGTCCTCCTATGGACCCAAAACAGTGGGTTTCAAAGTGACTTCTGTATGTGTAGAGATCTACAAACCACGCCTGTTTTCCAATGTTGATGAAATTTGATATGTAGGTACTAATCCATGGTATCTCCAGGTTTTTTTCATTTTTTGAAATTTTGATTTTTAATGGTGTTTTTTTTTTTTATAAAAACCAATCAAATATTTTTATGGATTTTTAAAAAAATGGGCCAAACTATTTTAATAAAATTTTAGTATGTTATAAGTTAGTCCTAATCTGAAGAAATCCATACAAATCCCATTTCCGTAAAAATTGCGGTTCCAAAAGTTATTGCAACTTATTTTATTTTCCCATAAAATAATAGAGAATTCAAATTTTCTCAAAAACTGCCTAAACAATTTTGATAAAATTGTAGTATGTTATAGCCATTTAAATTCTAAACAAAATTGTATAACTCCAATAGCTGGAAAAATTACGGCTCAAAAATGATTGAAGCTTATGTTATTTCACCATAAAATAACGGAAAATCAGATTGAAATAAAGCCAGTCTTGATTAAAATTAGTATGTAATGGTTTTTGTAATTCTAAACAAAACAGTGCTACCCCCATTAGTAAATTAATGTGATTTTCCCTACAAAATTATCATAGTTACTCTCACTGCTCACCCATGATAGAGGTTGTTGACAGGCTAATGGGAGAAAGTATGTGTCAGATTGCTGATACCATTTATTTTGTTAAGTTTTTTACTTATTGTTCTAAACTAAACAAAAAAGTAAATTGAACAGATTGTAAAATAAATTCAGTTAAAAAAAAAATGCTTTTACATGGTTTCTGGACCACTTTACAACACATAATTTTATCACTCAGCCATGCTTCATCCATTCAGCTTTGAACATGAATAATTATTGAAGTATATGTGTAGCAGTCTAAACAGCTACTATAATGTGTATCTGATTTATTCTTATTAATTATTCTGTGACCGTAAATTTTTTCTGAACACAGTTTTTGAGTTTGGCTTAGTGGAGGAGTTGGGATGAAAATTCTAACAATGAATACAAAACCATATTCATTGATTCTAAACATACTTCCAGTATATGCTTATACCTAATCAGTCATTTGAATATCAAATTTTTACCTGACAAAATTAATGAAAATCTAATGAAAAATGGATTGGCTTTACTATTTTCATATGTTAAAAACTCTACTTGAAAAAGCTTTAAAACATTAGTAGCTAGCAAACATGATAATATAGTATACTTCATAACAAGAGTAGAAAGTGAGTCATTACATATTTGAGACCATGTTTGAAGTGTGAGATTTATCGAGCACTTTAAATGGTCGAGAATATGTATAGGACCCACTTTCACTCGTGTTTTGAACCAACAATGTTACTTTCAAACAATAGACAGCTGTTGAAAATATGATGTTTCACAGGCTGTAAACACATAATGAAAACAGCTCAACTCATAGTAGTAGTATAGTGAAAAATATTTTTGTTAAGAAAAATTAGTTTAAAATTAAATGAAACTGTAAAATGAAAGACAACGTATTTAAAACCAATTTATTACATACATGGTTAAAAACTGTACAGTTTATTTTAAATAAAATGTAGTAAAACAATGAAAATAAACTTAAACATCTTTGGTCTAATCACTATTATAACTTACACAAAAATTATGCTACATTCTTAAAACACCTTCTAGGATTCCTAGTACAGTAGTTCTTGGTATGCAAATGCTGAAGGAATATATATTGTACTACATACATTCAACATTTTACAAATAAAACATAATATAGCTCAAATGAAATAAAATGTTGAAATATAAAATACTGTTTGGGTCTTTGAACTCAACTAACACAATCTTTGTCGCTCTAAACACAGAAAACGTACTACTATAACCCAGAATGCCAACCGCATGGTAAAAAGCATTAAGCGTTTTGAGAGAGCTGCGGTTGGCATTCTGGGTTATAGTAGTACGTTTTCTGTGCTCTAAATAGCAAAAAAATCTTGTAAACATAAAACAATGAGCCTGTTAGTAGTTAATCTTTCTTCAGATGTGAATTAGACATACTTTTTCATTAGCCTATGTAAAATTTTCCTCTTCAAAACAAAAGTTTGATTCAATTGGGTGTTTTTGACATAGCTTTCTTCCGCTGTCTTCCTAACCCAGAGGGAGGTTTCCCAGGACTTGAAGAGGAATCTGATGTTTTTAGTTTTATATTCTTTGTGGGTCCTTTTGACGTGGATGTTCCATCATTTGATATATCGTGAGTTTTATCTTGTATTTTAGCAACATCATTTTTAATTATAGTTGACTCATTTTTCAACTCATTGTTAACCTTTGGTGAAACACTCCCACTTTTTTTATTTAGGTTTTCTGGGGTTTGTCCAGTGGATTGTTCTGTAGAACCCCTTGTGGGATTGTCTGTTTTTATAGGAACACTTGACGTTTTTGAGTTAATCTTCTTTCCTTTTTTCATTGCCAAGGGTGATTTAAGATTTCGTGATGCGGATGATTCTTGTGGGGAGGAAGATGGATTTGAGGATTTACTACTGGTTTTATCACCTTTGGATTTCTCGCTGGATTTGTTTAAGGAATCACTTTGGATTTTTGATGTGTTACCCATGGAAGTTGTTTGACCTTCCGTTTGACTATCCAAATACTGAAATTCCTGTTCACCAACTCTCTCTGGGACTTTCACAGTAACAGGTAGCAAAACCACCACTGTTTCACTCGCTGCAGCACCATCAACACTTGGTCGACTTTCTTCACTTTCAACTTTCTCTTCCGCCTGAACAGCAATTTTAACAACTAGGCCTACTTCTGCCCCTGATTCATCTAGGTGACTTGATTTGGTTTCAAGCATCCCCTGACTTTTGGTAATAGAATCGGCTACTTTTGAGACAAAACTTTCATCCAGTTTCATGCTTTTTACTTCCACATCTTTCTCTGAAGTGGACAAAAAGTTAGACTCAGGTGATGTGTTTGCATTGAAGAACTCTTTGCGGAGTTGCTGCGAGCTCCGAGACACTGTGAGATGAGTGTGGTCCTCTAGTGGGGTGACGCTGCCCCTCCCTCCCTCCCCACTCAGCCGACACACATCACTGCTCTCACTGCGTGCGTCACTCTCTGGGATAACCTCCAGCTCACCCGACCGAGGTTCCGGGTCAAACCCGTTCATCTTCGGACCCGAAGTCTTCCAGTTGTTTGTTTCTGCAATTGTGTAGTCTTCGTTAGAAGATATTTCTGAACCTGAAAACATAACACATTTCATGAATTTTAAAACAAACCTTTAATTTGTGTTCCTGTGATGAGTAATTTAATCACTTAAGCTACAACTGACAACTGTTTTATATGTTGAATTAGAAACGTTTAACTTAACTTCCTGAATGTTATCTACAGGTTAGTAAAATGAGAAGAATAAACCAAGCAAATAAAGTGTGTCATTGCCGCACTAAGCTTTAGCTGAGTGTGGCCATACATTTTGAGAGCGGCAATGACTGTTTGTGCAAAGATTTTTCTTGCCACAATAATAAATTTATCATAACACACAGGTTCACTTTTTATATAAAATGTTATTTAGGTAATGTTTGCTTTATTTTAGCTTACCGAATAATAGTGTTTTATGGAACCGCCAACAATGAAATCAGCTGATTTAATGGGCGGTAATTAAATATTTGTGCACTGTTTACAGGTGTGACAATGTGACCATTTCTATGCAGAGGTAGGACAAAAATCATATTTCTATCTATCATAAAAGTTCAATTCTAATAACATAAACAAATGATTGCATAATCTAAAATTTCTGTTGTTTGGCCTGTTAGCTGATAAGCTGATGACCTTTGAGCGATCAGCTGATTTGGAGCCCCGCAATCATTACCTGTGTAGTCACATATGTCCAAAAGGGTTAAACAGTCATGATTTAAAAAAAAAAAAAAAAACTAAAGCATACAATTTAATATCTGCCGAGTGATTGTATAACCCATTTTCAACTTCCAAGATATAGGTGTACATAAAAATAAATGACTACTTCATAGAGTTTAATTAAATCGTTATCTCACACACACAAACACACACACCCATTAGACTTACCTAGTGACACCTTATCACCGCAGACACCTTCATCATTATCAGCGTTGTTTTGATTATTCAGCAAATTGTTTGGCTCTTCATATATCTAAAAGAAGAGTAAAATTATTTCAGTGCTTCTTCAATATACACTTAAAATCATTTTGTAATACAACTATGCTTTACAATTCCAACAAACTGATGCAATGGTTTAAAAACCTTTGGAAATAGAGTTGCCTAAGTAACACTACAGAGAATTAAGGTACAGAGGAAAAATTAAATGGTACACTTAAGTTGGAGCTGATGTTTACGACAAATTCCAAAAACAGCCCCCTCACCCTCATGTACTACAGCGCTTATGGTGGAGGAAGACCCTGTGCTCTGTGCGGTAGGAATTTCAGCATATTTCCTAATAATTTTTAGGAATTCGCCGCTATGCCTCTTCCTTGCTTGCCACAAGTATATTTCCGGCACATCATACTAGAGCTGAAAGCGCACGATCGTCCCATTAGCAAGATTCCTCTGTACCTTACTTCTCTGTGGTAACACACTGCACACAGAACTTGGTAGCACAAGCACATAATGAAAAAAAAAATGCTCAATACAATAGTTACCTCCAGAGTAAAAAACATTAATGTACAGCTTTTAACAGTGGGAGTTCTTCAATACAAAAAGTTCTCACATGATAAACATATTCGTTTTTCTGTTTTCAAGAAAGGCAGACAAAAATACAGCTTGAGGTGGGATTTGAACCATCAGGACGACGCAATATCATACATTTACAAGTGACTGGTGACTGGCAGGATTCATACCCAGGCCTTGGACAGTAAGCCTTTGCTATATCCACTATACAAGCTCCATTGTGAGATTTTTGAGAACTAAGTTAAGTTGGAATAGTATGCGTATAATGACAGCCATCATATCAACAATTTACATACTTTTTTTGTTTATTCAAGCCAGTGGAATTTTTACTGTTTTTTAGGTAAGGGAACAATCTAAATCAATTTTGACACATGAATGTTTGACATTGAAAAGGTAAGATTTCAGCTCGACACACACTAACCATTGTGCCTGCTTTGGTGAACTAGATCAAAATAGGATAAGAGCAATTTTCATCTACCTCTGAAAAAGGAGCGTCAAGGAAGAGCTCTTGTAGAAATCTCCTGGCATACACACGGAGAGAGGTGGAAGCCATAACAGCGCAAACATCCGAGTAAACACAGATGTCGTTGAAGATATCACTGTACACTTGCTTCAGCCTGGAAACATAGTGAATAGATCAGATATTATTAATACTGTATTATTATTTTGAAAAACCAACACATGTTACAGATTAAGTGTGTGATCTTGATAAATTGACTCTTTGATCCAAGTAGATTTTTTCTCAGTTGTGATTGTGTGATGACCATTAAACCAACATGACACAAGATATTAATACAGTAGACTTCCTCTTATCCGGACACATTTTAACCGGACTTCGCTCGGCGGAAATAACATCTCTTTAACCGGACAATTTTTATCAGCGCATCGGTTTAACCGGACTAGATTGGCAGGAAGTGGGTGGTACTGAAACGTCTGTTCTCATGGGAAAGATTTGAAGCCAGTGATCACGTGTCTAAATACAATGCTCTCCTAAATTTAAGTCAAATATGTATACAGTATGCATTTAAACGGTCCGTTTTAACGAGCTTTTGGGGACGTCGGTTTAACCGGAAAAACCATTATCCAGACTGGCCTCAGTCCCGAGGAGTCCGGATAAGAGGGAGTCTACTGTATCAGCAATCAGCATCGACTACCATGTCCATGAATCGGTGGTATCGAGAACCGACACATCCCTACAATTAAGTATTATAAATCCTGTGTAGGGCCTGTGTGTTTACTCTCACAAGTCTCGTAATTTACTAAGCCACCTACTGTAACAGAGCCTGTTTGCAGCTCTTGTAGAGTATAGGATTGCAGAGTTGTTCAGCAAGTCGCAGTATTTCCTTCCTCACCATTGATCGACTCTTGAAGCTCTCTCCTAGAGACCTCTGTGCTACACCTGTCGAACATGGACAAATGTTGAAATTTCATAGTGATGTTAGCCTCCGGATTGCCAAATAATAATAAAAAGGTTTACCTGCTATTAGGCAATCCATTCAATTGCAGTAGCAACTAGTTTCGGACCCTATTTGGATCCATCATTCGGTACAAGGACGTTTCCTTTCCTCATATGAAGAGCATCGCATTTAACACACATAAATAAACATTTAAAACGACACGATACGAACACGAAGAAAAAAACATTTATGGTAACTGATCAGTTATAACAGACGATGTTAACCTGGTGATTGAGTTCAGACTGCGGGAGGACCACCCCAATTTACAACCTTGCTCAGACTTTGGAAAAGTTTGAAGGCAAGTAAGTTGAACCAGTAAAGAAAATAGGTAAACAACATCGATAAGCTAAAGTTAAACAGTAAAATGTAAATCTACAACATTGTTGCCGAAGTTGTAGTGTAATTTAAATGATTTTCGAAGAATAGAGACTATCCTAAGTGATCACAGATATTCTATTGTCAAAGGTTATTCTGTTGTCAAAGATTATGACTTTTTCCCAAAGACGATTCCTGAGAGAGTAACTGGTATCTCATACAAGTACTAAGAACGTGCAGAGTGAGCTTAACAAGTATATTTTTTATTTGATTTTTTTTTAGATTTTTTAAAACTCTAAAAAGCCATATTGTAATTTCATTAAAAATATACAAGCTAATACGTGTAATACCAAAATATCCTGAAAATACTTTTTAACATAAATTCTAAAAATGGCTTTTGGATAACCCCTTTATTTCTCTTAATGAACTTTTTGATATGCCCTGTATTAATTTTTAAGTGAAGTAAATAAATTGTAAAAAATATACTGTTACTGTAGTTAAAAATAGTATTCACTTCCATTATTCTGTGTAAATCCCACATTTCATCAATTATTGCCAATATTTCATAATGACTATGTCAGTCTCTCTCTCTGACTGTATTGTATTCGACTTTGTCAATGCGAATTGTTTTACGAAAATAAAAAGATAATTATTATACATACTTGTGATGTCGGTGCTGGAACTGTCGACACTTGTGATGCCCTCCAGCCCCACTTTGTTGTGCCATTGGAGCACCACTGGGCTCTCTCCCTCCCCTCCATAACTGCTCTCCGTCTCTGCACCAACACAACGTTCAGTTTCAGTTATTGCTTGGATATTAATGTTTCACTGCATTCATTTAATTTTTTTCTAACATAATTCCAGTGTTGGGAAGTAGCGCGCTACAAGTAGCGACGCTACAGTAGAGCGCTACTTTTTTTGTAGCGTTAGCTGTAGCTACGCTACTTTTTAAGATTTTGTAGCTTTAGCTGTAGCTAGCTACATTTTTAAAGTAGTTGTAGCGGAATTTTAGCTACTTTTCTCGCTACATTAACATTGTTTGAGATAGTGATTTTTATCATAACCTCAACCTTACGTGAAACCTTTCAAACTGAGATTTTCAAAAAATTAGGCCTACTTTCTTGGCTTCATACAGCTGGTTGCAGCCGTTTCATTCCCTATACACCTTTGTGTGGACATGGAGGCCATTAAATGAGTGCTATCCACATTTTTGGCTCTCATTTCCTTAATTTACTACTCTATGATTACTGTCAGATTAAATAAAATCGCTAGATGCAGACGACTTTTAAACGTTACCGGTGGGCGGTGACAAGAGAAGCTATTGAATGCTTGCAAGTGATTGACAGGGAAATTAGTAATCAATTTAGTTTCTTTATTATATCGATAGTGTTTCAACTTGGGTTTTAATGGAAACCAACACTAAACCTTAAAATAATGAGAAAGCTGGTCTATCAACCTTTGCTTCAGCTGTTGATTGTGGTTCATCATCACAAGCCCTTCCTTGGTTAGATTACGAAGATTTTTCAAAGGTTTACTAAATTAACAAAGAAGAAATTACCTGATGTGATTTAAGATATGCCTAGACTAAATGATAATTGTAACGAAAAATCTCCATATAACATGAAACTTACAATGAAAAAATAGCATAGTTTGCTCCTGCTAACACCTCTTGTATAGGACTATTCCTAGGCTATGCTATGGTTTAAGACGAATACAGAGTTCCAAGTTCAATTATTAGGAATATATCTGTTTAGTCCTTGCAAGAACAAGCCTACTATAGCCAACTTGTTACATAGCCAAGTAGGCCTATATGTTATTTTTACTTTACAAATTTCCACATGTTTAAATTAAAAGCCGATTTTAGGATAAGTTGCTGAATACTGTTTTCTGTACCAACTAGGTTGAAGCACAATTTGCAATTTGCCCTATGCATAATGACAATAAAGGACGATTTCTTGACATTGAAAAGTGTTATTCATAGAACAAGTAACTTATCACTATGGTTAAAAGTTGTAAAAATGTCGTTTTTAACATTAAAAGTTAAGAAAGGCAAAAAACTTCAATTTCAGTAGGCTAACTTAGGCTCTGTAACACCAACAAGTATTTTTAAATAATCGTTTTACAGTTTTATTGGTCTTAATTGTTTATACAAGACATCTATAAATGAATCTATATTAAAGAAATAAAATGAGCTTTTAAAATATAGTTTGGTTGTAGGCCTACCTATGTCCTTTGAACTTAATGAAATTTACATATAAGATGCTTAAAAATAATGCAATATTTGAAAATAAGTACTAAATATGATGGGAAACCCAACTATTTGGTTCTGTTGTTTTAATGTTAGGTATATAATGCCAACAAATTAAATACAATCTAGGAATAATTTGTTTTCCAAGTAATGTTAGACACAATCATTGACTATATATACCTGTAGGTATACAGGCCTAATAGTCAATGATACAATACTGACATTTTTTGTTTAAATGTTTGTTCAATAAAAATGTAGTTGCAATTAATTTTACATTTACCTAATGTGCGTGGAATAAAAAGTAACGTCTTTGGAAAAGTAGCTAAAATTGTAGCTGTAGCTACATTTCATTGTAGCTGTAGTTGTAGCTAGCTACTTTTTCGGAACTGTAGCTGTAGCTGTAGCTAAGCTACTTTTTTGGAAATGTAGCAGTAGTTGTAGCTAGCTACATTTTAAAAGTAGCTTCCCCAACACTGCATAATTCTATACTTTAAGATCTTTGACACTAAACAAATATATATTAGGGAGATACACAATAAAAGGCCGTGAAACACAACACGGATGTATACTTTAATACACTTTAGAACTGCTTTAGAGAGTAAGTTGAAGAGATATGAGCTAGTAGGCCATAATACACTTTTCCTAAAACTTTTACTTGAACTAAAGACTTCTAAAAGAGATAGATTTATAACAAAACACCATGTAATGATTTTTAAGTATTCTTCACCCGGATATCTAAACAATTACACAACATTCCGACACCAAAACCACCCACTCACCTGTACGAGTCCTATGCTGTGAACTGGCTGACACCTTGCGCCATCGCGGCTGTTGTGTTTGGGCCACACGACTCACGGCGCACAACAGACAGGTGGCTCGCTCGTGACGCCGACGCCGTGGCACGCACTTGGTGGCTCTCTCCCCCTCCGTGTCAGTCTCACTATCACACGAGCTCACATCCATCCCTTGGAAATAATTTTTTTTTACTGATAATTAGACAGGGTGTCTACCAGGTGATCAAACTGAATTTCAGTTACTATAGGAGGGAGGGACATAAAAACACATAAACACACTCTTTGGTACCGATAAGACAACAGTTTCCAGGTACTTAAACATGAGATAAAAACACAGTTACAATATTTGGCGCTATATAGATTTGAGCTGGTTGCCTGTTCCAAAAATACGCTCTCTGATTCTTGTTTAATTATTGCCTGCAGCAAGGTGCAAAACAAAAGACAGGTCTGGAGGACTTTATTTCAGTTCAACTAAAAAGTTGCCTTGTGAAATGTTTTCCTACCTTAAAACTCCTTGGTTGACAATGCTGTGCCAGTAAAAATATTCCAATTTTTTCAGTATAGTGTAAAATGTTTGTGTCTGGACTAGTTTCCATACCTGAACAAAAATCTCAAAAAATTATGCACTAGTGCTCTAAGAACTCAGTCTGTTACTTCTTTGATTTAGGCTATGTTGTTATTCTTTTAACTACTGACAATCCCCTATTATTATATTGAGATAATGTTGTTAGTATACAGGGTGTAAATTAAGTCTGGCACACATTTTTTATCTTTTTTTCTATAGTAGATAGAAGAAATCAATTTGCGGGAATGATTAATAACAAATGTTAGGCACTTTTTACAAATTTTGAAAATAAAAATTCCCTTAAGGGCAAGGGGGGGTGGGGGGTAACTAAAAATTTTCAAATGACAACCCCCATCTTGTGACCCCTCATTTTAAAGGTCATTGGAAGACAAATCCAAAGATGTGTCTAAAAAATTTTTTTTTGCACCCTATCCAAGATGGCGGTTTAAAATGTACTTAGGGTTCAATGGGTAAATTAGGTATGGCACACATTTCTTATCTTTTTTACTCTTTGTAGATAGAAGGAATTAATTTGCGGGACTGAGTAAGAACAAATGTTTGACACTTTTTCATAATTTTGAAAAAAAATCTTGTGACCACTCATTTTCAAGGTATTTGGAAGACAAATTTAACGATGTGTCTGAAAAATTTTTTTTTGCATCCTGTCCAAGATGGCGGCTTTAAATGTGCTTGGGGTTAAACGGGTGGGGTCTGGAACACAATTTTATCTTTTTTGCCATTAATAGATAGAACTTATCCACTCGTGGGACTGAGCCAAAATTAGGCACCTTTTTATTTATTTGAAAAAATCCCCTAATGGTAAGGGGGGGGGGGCAACTAAAAATTTTCAAATGACAACCCCCATCTTGTGACCTCTCATTTTAAAGGTATTTGAGAGACCAATTTAACAATGTGTCTAAAAATGTTTTTTAAGCACCCTGTCCAATATGACGGCTTAAAATGTGCTTAGGGTTGAACAAGTAAATTACGTCTGAAACACATTTTTATTTTTTTTTTACCAAAAATAAAGTTATAATAGATTTGATAGTTTATATCAGAAAAACTTGGACAATAGGACGAACTGCAATAAACAAACTTATGTAGCTCTTATCACTTAGTAAATAAATCTGATAATTGAGATTCCAGGTTTGGACGTTGCACTCACTTGGAATTCCTATCCTCTTTCTTAAGACTGCAGGCTAATCAGGTAACAATCTTATCAGTTTTTCCTTATTCCCCTTCAGTCTGTGTAGGTAGTTTCTTTGGAGTAGTCGTAAGTACATCTTTTATTATTTTTATTTAACATGGCGTTGTTAACAACAAAACAGAAGATAGAAATACTTGTCATTGTTGGCTATGGAGATAAAAAACGGACTCAACTTGAAGCGTGTGATATTTTTAACAACTTGTACCCTGATCGCCAAATTAATCGAGCTACAGTATCTAAGATATGTAATAAGTTTGCTGAAACGGGGGATGTTGCAAGTAAACCAAGAAGTGGTAGGCCAAAATCTGTACTCACTGAAGAAACTAGACTGAATATACTTCTTAGCGTTGAAGAAAATCATCACACATCGACACGTAGGATTGGAAATGACTTTGGGATAAGTCACATGTCGGTCCACAAAGCCCTTAAAGCCGAGAAGTTTCATCCTTTTAAGGTTCAGTTAATACATGAATTGAACGAGGACGATTTTGACCGCAGGATTGAATTCTGTGAACTCATGATGCAACGGTGTACTTTGGATCCAATGTTCAAAAATAGAATTGTATTTTCAGATGAGGCTTCATTTAGTCTTCATGGTCACGTGAACAGACAAAACTATAGGTATTGGTCTCCTGAAAATCCTCATTGGGCTCAAGAATGCCATACTCAAAATCCCCAAAAAGTCAATGTTTGGGCAGGCATTGTCGGGACCAAATTAATAGGGCCATTCGTGATCGAAGGAAATCTAAACGGAAACCGTTATCTGGAGTTACTGCGAGAGTCGATAGTACCTGCCATTGCCCATGAGTTTCCTCCGGAAGACGAAGAAAATGTTGTCAACGAGAACATTTGGTTTCAGCAAGATGGCGCACCACCTCACTATAATGCTGAAGTCCGAAATTACTTGGACGAAGTTTTTCCAGATCGTTGGATAGGGAGGCGGGGAGCTATTGAATGGCCTGCCAGATCACCCGACTTGACGCCGTTAGACTACTTTTTGTGGGGCCACCTAAAAAGTAGAGTATTTGTTAACCGCCCAGAAAACATCCAGGATCTCACAGCAAGAATAATAATGGAAGCACGATCTATTAATGAAGAAACGCTGTCCAGGGTGGTAAACGAATTTTACAATCGGTTGGGGCTCTGTCAAGTTTCTCTTGGGCATCAGTTTGAGCATTTGTGAATATTAACAAGTACGTAAAGTTGATTATTGCAATTACATTTATTATTTAGTTTAGGAATTCTATTAATTTTGATTGCTATTGTGTTTTTGTTGTTGTAGGGTTGTAGTATTATTGTAATTATTTGGTTTTCTATTTTATTGTATTGGTAATCAATTTTTACACTATCAAACATTAGAGTATAAAGGAAAAAAGGTGTTCCAGACTTAATTCACCCGTTCAACGCTAAATGCATTTTAAGCCACCATATTAGACAGGATGAAAAAAAAACATTTTCAGACACATCGTTAAATTTGTCTTCCAAATACCTTTAAAATGAGGGGTCACAAGATGGGGGTTGTCTTTTGAAAATTTTTAGTTGCCCCCCCCCCTTACCATTAGGGGATTTTTTCAAATAAATAAAAATGTGCCTGATTTTGGCTCAGTCCCACGAGTGGATAAGTTCTATCTATTAATGGCAAAAAAGATAAAATTGTGTTCCAGACCCCACCCGTTTAACCCCAAGCACATTTAAAGCCGCCATCTTGGACAGGATGCAAAAAAATTTTTTTCAGACACATCGTTAAATTTGTCTTCCAAATACCTTTAAAATGAGGGGTCACAAGATGGGGGTTGTCTTTTGAAAATTTTTAGTTGCCCCCCCCCCCTTACCATTAGGGGATTTTTTCAAATAAATAAAAAGGTGCCTGATTTTGGCTCAGTCCCACGAGTGGATAAGTTCTATCTATTAATGGCAAAAAAGATAAAATTGTGTTCCAGACCCCACCCGTTTAACCCCAAGCACATTTAAAGCCGCCATCTTGGACAGGATGCAAAAAAATTTTTTTCAGACACATCGTTAAATTTGTCTTCCAAATACCTTGAAAATGAGTGGTCACAAGATGGGGGTTGTCATTTGAAAATTTTTAGTTACCCCCCACCCCCACCTTACCCTTAAGGGGATTTTTTTTCAAAATTATGAAAAAGTGCCAAACATTTGTTCTTACTCAGTCCCGCAAATTAATTCCTTCTATCTACAAAGAGTAAAAAAGATAAGAAATGTGTGCCATACCTAATTTACCCATTCAACCCTAAGTACATTTTAAACCGCCATCTTGGATAGGGTGCAAAAAAAATTTTTTTAGACACATCTTTGGATTTGTCTTCCAATGACCTTTAAAATGAGGGGTCACAAGATGGGGGTTGTCATTTGAAAATTTTTAGTTACCCCCCACCCCCCCTTGCCCTTAAGGGAATTATTATTTTCAAAATTTGTAAAAAGTGCCTAACATTTGTTATTAATCATTCCCGCAAATTGATTTCTTCTATCTACTATAGAAAAAAAGATAAAAAATGTGTGCCAGACTTAATTTACACCCTGTATTGTCAATCCTGTTGTTTTACCTGTAGTGGAGTTGTTGTCCTGCTGAGGATCCTGAGCTTTCACTGTAATCCCTTCATTAGGAAACAGGCTGAGGAGGTTTTGAGGCAAACAAATTCCTTGATAGCACGGCCCACTATTTTCTTCGTCTGCAATAAAATTTAGAAACGTTTTACTGTAAGAAGTAAGAACATAGAACACTGTTACTGCTAGGCATGAAAAACAGTAAATAATGCAAATTATATTTCTAAATGTACCACACAAAAACAAATACAAATAAAATAATAAGGAGCATAGCAGCTAGCTTTTCTTGAAGAAGTACATATAGGCAATAGAACATAAAGGAGAGACACTGAACACACAATATCTTAGTTACTCAGTGACACACAACTGGAGCTCTTTGCCATCATTAAAGCACTGTGCTGTCATCCAAGTATATATTTTGATAAATAAAAAAATAAGTGAAAGCCAATTGGAGGTCTGGCTGCACTGCAGGGGGGTTGAGAGAAGATCTCTCATTTTAATGATTAAAGAAGACCTTGAGTGCAATTTTCCCTGTCAGATCGGGCATTGTCCAGCAAAAACCAAATTTTGGACTTTTTGTACAGAATTTTTATTTATTTTGTTGTTCCCGTACATTTTACACACTTGACCATAATATTTCTATAGGTTTAAGCTTTAGGCCAACAAAACCCGTATTACAGACCACACTTTAAAACCAGCAGAATTTTCAATATTGTAGCACACTTTTTCAACTTGAACATTGCATCAACACTTTTGCTGTGGCAGCTGTACAGTCACTGAGCAGAAGAACACATCTGTAATTAAAATTGCCCGATCGGCCATGCATAGCAGTGTCAGACAGAAACATGACTTACTTTCTGAAAAGCCCACGTAAATACAAAAATATTCCACTCAACCGTGTTCTGTTTAAAAAATTGACTACAGCTAATTGATGCAGATGGGGCAACCTTATCTAAACATTAATGGTTGTAGCTCACCAACAACGTCTTCCGGAGGCTGAGCTATGCACGCTCTGCTGCTCTCATAATGTAGACCTCGGGTTGATTCTGCATCACTAGGTAAAGGGCAATGTACACCAGTGACTTCAAACTGAGGCTCACTAAAACATAATCACATCAGCTAGATTTGTGACGGTGGTAAAATTGAGCACTATCAAATACTACCTACAGTAGTTGCAAACTGCTTGACAGTATCCAGTAGGTAACGTATAGTAGCTTAATGGTGAATAGTGTCTATCTGCAAAACACAAAAGGAAATACCCCTGCCACAGCAAACCTGCAGGCTAAGCAAATTTCCATTTGCCAGATTGGATTTACACTAAAATATCTCCTTAAAAATATCACATTTATTTCCTATTTAAAAAGCATTAGTTTAACAAGTACTTAGATTTGCTACAACAGGGAGGGTTAAAAAGTGTTGTTTTGTGAAATGTTAATATGTAGTTTAGTATGAAATAAATGCATTTTCCAAATTTGATCAAAATACGTTCATAAACAAGCAAACTACAACAGTTTACTTATATTTTCTATAAGAATAACCAACATGGGAATTTTCTCCGTTAGGCCATTTTAAGGCATTAGGCGCATTAAGACTTCAATAAACTAAAGCATTTGTTTTTTTTAAGCTCTACAAAATGGTTTGGAAAGAAATTGCAAAATGTTATGTTATTAGGGTCAAAAATGGGAAAAACAAATTTTTATCCCACAAAACCACCCATAGTACCTCTAGTCCTACTGGTTTGCAAACTCGTTTGAATAAATTTAGGTTAAAGAAAACGGTATTTTTAGGCCATGCGCGGGATTAAAAGGGGATACGGAAAAAGGTAAGATTTCAGGCGCTGATACCTGATTTTTTTAATGATTTTCAAATAAAAATTAGCCTATTAGTTATTTACATTAGTTACATTAGTTATTTTAGCATAGTGTCATAGCAAAGTGAACGGAGCTATTTTAAAATTATACACCAAAAAAGATCACTCGGTATGAACAGAGATTTAACAAATTTGTGTGGAATAAAACAAAACGAGATTTTTCATAATATTAAAGTGGGATTACCATGATTTCTTGACTTGGTACGAGGGATTTTGGTTTTGGCCATGTGGAAAAACTGATTATGACACATTATCTTATCTGCAAGACCAAAAATCCTGCTGAGGTTTCAATGGCCATGCAGGTAACTAAATAAAAGATCTTTCCAGAAAAGAAACAACTTGCAATCAGTACCAGCTCTGTCTAACTATGGTACTGAAAACATGATCAATTGTTCAATGTTCAATCTATACTAAATCTAAATTTGATAAGTGTAAAACCACAAATTTTCAATTAGTATTTTACAAATTTAATAATTCAACTCTTTGAGGGGAGATGAATCAATTATAAAACAAAAGGCAGGAAACCCCAGATGGAGGAAGACCCCAGGATGCTTAAAGAAAGGGAGGAAATAAGGAACATGAGATTCTTGAGCCCACGAAGGAGACAAATGATCAAAGGATGTGGGAGGTTGGTCGGTAAGGCCAAATACCTTGTAAATGGACATTGGACAAGTACGGCAAGTACTGAGTTGAAACTCACATCGGATGGTTGTCAGGATGTTTTGGCCGAACTAACGGAGACATCTGTTTCCAATCCTGGAATGCAAAGAGCTCAATGGGCGAGAGAGGGGAGAGGGTGAGCGACGCTGCGGTGGGAAAGTGCGGGGAGCTGAACAATGTCGGTCGTCTGCTGCGTTGAAGATTGCGGAGTGCTGCGTAGCCGACTACGTCTTGAGGGCTCATATGACCTCCTACAGATTTAAAAATATTTTAAAAAAATAAATCCGAGTTTGTTAAGTTCCAATGTTCTTCTGGTTTTGAAAAAAAGTACTGGGACAAGTTTTGAAAAAAAATAATTTTGTCAAGATGTTTTACTGAAGTTAAATAGATCATTACTACAATTAACTGGAACTCTCAACCGTCAATCTCTAATCCCAGTCAAAACACAAATATGTTTTTTCTAAGCCGCTGTTTGAATTTTTACCAAAGTAGGCCTATTCTGAATCTAAAACATTATAAAAACACGAAAACAACATTAAAAAATTATTTACCTAGAATTTCGTCGAGGTTTCTCTAATGGTTCGGTCATATATGGCTATACCATAAGCAATAGTAATAACGTTGCTAATAAAAATAAGAAATAATTTAATAAAGAAGATTGCAAATATAGGTCTACACCGTTGATATTGCCGCAGGGCATGCAGACTCGAAGAAATGTCAACATATTTGTCCCTAATTAAGTGTTGATAAATATATTATTCTTCTACCCTACGGTGATATTTCCGCTGTGTGATAGTTTGCTTACCTTGGGACGAGGCTACACTCATCCTGCGGTGAGACTTCATAGTGGACAATGAGTCTGTGCTGGGTATTGGGCTGAGGGTATGCATTATCCTCTCACTAAGACAAACACAAACGAACAATATAGTGAAATGTCTACAATTTATAGCAAAAGATATTCAAAAGAAAATTATAAATAACATCAATTTACTGTGACAATAAATTTTAAGGGCTCAATAATTGAATGCAAATATTGGAAATGTAAAATTTGAAATTTTTTTACTAGGCTTTTAAAATTTCAAACATGCCTGATATATGTGCGGGGTTGGGATGAGTCTCCACAGGAACTAGCACCACTCGTGCTGCTTTCCGAGTACAGTCTGGTAGAATGGTCGTGACCTCTGCTAGAAAACAAAAATAATATTTAAAAAGTTAATAATTAAAATATTTACACAGTAACATAAGTACATTATGATTATACTACAATGGAAAGTAAGCTAATGGTTGTGACCTCTGCTAGAAAACATAAAAATAATATTTAAAAAGTTAATAATTAAAATATTTTCTAAGTACACTGTAACGTAAGTACATTATACTACAATGGAAAGTAAGCTACCTGAAGTCTGTGATGTCAGAGCCGCTATCCGCTTTGCTTTCGCTGTAGCTGCGGTGGTGGTAGCCGTAAGCGGATGCGGACGAGCCACCTGGGGGTAATGTCGCCGACTTGCGCTCCCTCACGACTCTCTCGCGAGCTGAAAAATTTAAGTAGCTGAGTAACTGAGAACTAATAGTTTCAACTATGCACTGTAGTCAGACTAATATTTTTCTGGAGACAAAAGTTGAAGATTAAGTTTAGGAAGACTCAGACCTTCCCTGGTTGGAAATTCTGTCAGAAAGAGAAATATTCTAGCTTAAGTAAGAAGTGTAAAGTTTCTTGTGCCGCAAAGGACTCATTCACTTACAGGTAAACCATCCTAACAAAAATATTTAAGACCTATATGCTTTAATACATCCTTAACCTGAAATTTTCAAAAGAGTTTGTTAAATTAAGAGAAGTGCGAGTCAAAAGTACCGTTTTCAATCCTTTAAAAAATTGACCACACTTTAAACAGGTGCCTTCAACTTCATTCACAGATAGATGTCAAGAAATACCTGTAAACCCTGAGAATGAGTGGTTGCCCTCTGCCTCCTCTGATGGGTCCTCTCCCAGGATGAAAAGTCCATTTCTTGTTGTCTGAAAATAATAAAATAAAATCATGCTAATTAATTTGGCAATGGAAACACACTTGTGGTGAAATCATTGTTGGTGAACTCAATTGATGCTTCAGTTTTAACTAAATGTGGGAAAGGTGGAACAGTCTTAATTCCCAGGATTTGTCTAATTTCATCCGAATTTGCTGTTTCAGTTTAGGTGAATTTATTTCCGTCAGAATTATCTTTGCGATGACAGTTATAAAAGCACAGGGCCAATTACTTGAGTAAATGAAAAAAGAGCATTTTCTCATGGCCAGCTCCAGGATTAACTCATCCAACAACCTTGTAATTCTTTAATCAGATGGTCTAACAGACAACATATTTTGAGACTTTAGTGAAGTAAACTACATTAAGTCACTTTTGGTTAATCAAATGATTTTAACAATAAAAATAACCAATAAATTATTATTGCCAAAATTATATTTTACTATCAAAACGTTTTCCTGTGTGAAGGGCGGAAAAACAGCTAGTGGTAATATAATGTAGAATACAGGGCTCTCACAGTCAAAGATGATCAAAACTTAGTAATCGGAAGGTGACAGCATTATTGAACTGGCAAAAATATTAGCCGACCGACAAATATGTTGACCTTCGGAGCCAACCTACAATGCAACCCATCTGAAATGTCGGCTAATATTCCCACAATTGACGTCATCTAGAGAAGACCAAGTCTGGTCATGTTAGGCAGTGTATCTCACCGTCTCCATGTTGGTAGCATTGCTCTCACTAGAGTCCCTAGTGCTGTATCTTTCCTCTTGGTATTGCAGCAAAGCATCCTCCAGTAGAGACAGGGGCGCCACCACGGGCCACTGCTGGTTACGGTTGTGTCTCACAGTGTGCCAACCTTGACAAAATAAAAAGCATTTCTTCAAAGTTGTAAACAGTATTAACCAGGACAGCAATCTAGAGACGAACCTGTATGTGTGCGAATTAGCCCTACCTAGAAAGTACTTGGTTACTTAATTGTTCATCAAAAAGTGTAAAATAGTCTAACACTGAATTCTTACAAAAGACAGTTTACAAGATTATCTGTGTAGTTGTCCCCAAACTTATATAGACATAAAAAAAAATCCTCAAAACATTTTGGAAGTGCTGGAATGTTAATGTTGATGAAATAACGAGTGTATGGGCCTATTCTGATCAATTCATCAGTCTCTGACAAGGAAAAAGGACCTTCACTTAACTTCAGGATAAAATTGGTAAATTGAGCTGTCTACATAGCCAAGAGATTATACTGAGTTCTAAGTTAATCCAACCACGGCTAGTCTGACTTCGCTTCATCTTACAATGCCATTGCCTATCGGTGTTTGTTTGGAATTCCGGAGTATCACTATGTTTAATGTTCAGGATTTTTCTGTGATCGTGGGAGACGATCATTATGTCACCAGGATTGCGAACTGTGTTAATGATGTCTTTGTTATCACGGAAATGTTCACGATTTTGCCAAAATCATGGCAGATCATCGTGATTTTTCGCCACTATTGTGGGAAGCGATCATGATGTCTCTGCGGACGCAGAAGATGTTCATGATTTTCTTTAAATCGTTGGACATTGAGATTAATAATATTATATTATGTTTCTTTAGAATTAAGGCTGTATTCTAAAAACAGAGGCTTGTGTGTTAAGTAGGAAGATTACTATCAATTGAAGATGCTGTCTTACAAAAGGTTGACACAAGATGGTAAACAGATGGTTTACAATAATTCTGCATTTTTGGAAGGAAATAAAATAATATTCTTGCAACCTTATAATTGCTATGATCTCTAACATCATGTCTACATCCCAATGAGTCTAAAATGTCAAGAAATACCTGTAAACCCTGAGAATGCAATTTATTACATACATTTTTACACTTTTGTGACATAAACAATGCATTTTAACACACACACCAAACTCACCAAGAGACCTAAGTGTGTCGGCGCCCTCCGTGTTGGTAGCCGTGAGTGCGATGGTTTGGAAGGCCGTGGATCTGACTGAGTACACAGGGCTGCTGCAGGCCAGCTGGACCATCGCCCTAGTCACGGACTGTGCCCGCGCCCACACTGCGCCTGCGGGACTACTGCTCAGGTGACCCAACGCCCACAGCGCCGCCTTTAGGTCTAGTATCTCTGCATCCGTACTGCAATGACCCGACAGCACCACCTGGGAGCAACACAGTTTGTATCTACTAAAAATATTGTAAAATTATAAAATCCATATGTTTGTGAAATGTGTAGAGCTATAACTTTTTTTCACAAATAAAGAAAACCAAAAAGAGTCTTTTCTAAATTTCACTCAATCTGTATGTCTGTCGGTGTGACAACCAAGATATATTTTAATGTTGTGGTGTTGTAAATGTAGTCCCTGAAATAAAATATAATTGTATTATATCATCTAATATAGGTTTAAATTACCTGCTTGCTGTCAAAATGATCCTTGATGGTAGTATGATGACAATATGCTATCCTTAAAAAAATATAATCATATTCAAACATCTTTATTAGTCATAACTCATGTACATTGGTGGTTCAATGCATATTGTCGAAATACATAAAAAAACTACTATTTCTATTTCAGGGAGGTGGAAAACTCCCATATGTATGTATGTACTATCGTCATATTACCATCAAGGATTGTTTTGACAGCAAACATGTAATTTGAACCTATATTAGTTCATTCAGACGGATCCAGAGGCCATGCCATCATGATATCATGAATAAGTTTGATATTTAGTCCTATATCATGATACGCTGCACCAGTTCATATTCCACCGTGTGTGTGACTGTATCACTCCACTGTGTATACCAGAGACAAATTCGTAATATCTTTCCCACCCTGGATATTTTCTCAGTAGTTTCAGGTATCAGCCAGCTCTTCTAATGGTCTATTCCGTTGTATCACGGAATGTGTTGGATTCTTAAGCTATTGATTGAATATTCGACTGACCTGCACCAGTTTGTTGACGTTGTCGTCAGCCAGCAGTGCTGTCAGGCCTTGCGTGTGTTGCGCTAGCTGTCCATACAGATGCGGAGGAACATAGACATCGGAAGGAACTCGCTTGCTGTTGCTCAGCCTAGAGCTGTAGCGACCGTCCTCGTTGCGTTCCACAAGTGTGAGCCCATCGGCTAACTCCCCTTCCACTATACACACGTACTTGTAATTGAACCTGTAGGGAATCAGATATGTTGATTATTTTATTTACATGTTCTATGTGTCATAAGTTATAAGGCGTGCACTATAACTACTGTCCACCTTCTAAATAGCTTCGTATTGGTTTTTTTGACATAAAGCTGTACTGAGTAATGACAGCCATTCTCACGTTGTGTAAGCCGTTTTGTGGAGTTAATGGTCAATGATTAGTTACCTGAACATCAATTCTCAATACAGATGCAATTTTTTCAAATGATAACATATTTTCTGTGTGGGTTGGTTATAATACATAAAGCCCTGTCTTTATGTCCTTGACAAAGCAATTTTAATTAGATGCTTTTGAAGTAGGGCCTACATTCGGTTATAGTAGTATACACTACTGATCCACTAATATAAAAAAAGTACTGTACAAGTTTATTCAGGTCACCAAAAACCATCCACAATGTAACACTTGGACTTCACTACGGTTTGTAGCGTTAAAAGTTAAAACCTCAACTGATTGAACAAATGTGAGAAACTAGGTCAATTTTACGGAACTTTTACCATAATTTTAAATTTAGCTGGAATGATTTTTATTACCTGACCCACTTTGCCAGTTGATTCGGCACAAAGTTTGCCTCACTCATGTAGTGGAATCCCTTCTCTGTGGAGAGGAACCGAACGAGCAACAGAAGTCCTTTGTCTCCCAAGTGAAGCAGTGACGGCCGCAGATCTATCAAGGCGTCCAGGTAATCCTACCAATCGGACAGAAAAGAATAATTTACCTCTCATTCACTGAAAGTGACCAGCGTTTTGTACACTATTTTTATTTATGGACTTTTTAAGCCGTTATTTGATTTTTTTATGGGGGAAAACCGTCTAATCTGTGGTCCTGTTACAATAAAATGCCAACTTTTTTATAGCTTCATTGGTTCAATGACAATTGGCATGTGGGTCCTAAATCGACTCTGTTAGGGATCAAACCAGCAACCTTTAGATTTGAAGGCAAGCGCTGTAACTACTCAGTTATGATGGTCAAAACCATAAATAATAAATCTCAAAAAGAAACCTAAACTTAAAAATCCAAACTCAAATGGTAAAACTCAATCTACTATCCTGAATATGGTTAGTGGTTATGACAAATTTGCTAATCACATGATAACTTATTGCAACAAAGTGATTTAAATCTAGACCGAGACTCAACAGTGCATCTGTATAGTTTGGGTAGTAAAATACTAAGGGAATATAATTTGTTTACTTGTTAAGCAATAATTAATGGATATTATAACTTTGTGTGGGGGAGCGAGCTGGTCTAGTGGTAGAGCACGGGGCTTCGGTCCTTGAGGTCCAACATTCAAATGCCACAAATCACCAATAGATTTTATCTACATGAAAATGCCATGACTCTCTATGCCTAGTCTTAATTAATGTCTAAAACGATTCAGGCTACAGTCTAACTTCCTAGGAAGTACAAAAAACTCAGAGTCATACCTTGCAGTCGCAGGCCTCGTCCAATGCTGCCACCGCGCACAGAGAAACGGCCCGGTTATCGTCACTTAGTTGATTGGCCAACAGCTCTATCACCCACTGAGCGTAACCTTCGCGCTTGCCGAGAGGAGTGCGTAGCAACACTCTCAGAAACTTTGTGGCGTACAACCGCGACGACACTTGCTTGCTGACCAGCGTACTGGCCATTATATTCCTGTAACAGAGTAAAATGTATACTAAATAATTATTTCTGACAATCTACAAAATCGGTAAACAAAACTAACTGCAAAAGGTAGTTTTGTTTGAGGAAAGGCTCTACTCTAGACCTAATCAAATCATTCATGAAAAAAAAACTTAACATCAAATACCGGTACTCACAACAGTAGCTGGTGTCTCCTCAATTTATAATGGCTTTATCTACAAACATTTCAATGGAATAAAAATGTTATCTAAGTAGATTACATTTTTATTCAGCTGAATAAGTTTTTATACTAGGCCTATGGTAGAACAAAGTAAAAAGACATTTCAAAACAACAAAGAACTTGACAACTACAACAACAAAACAGATATAGGTAAGATGATTACCAAATAACTAAGGTGGTACCTGCTTAAAAGTCTGGGATGGAATAATAAACATTTTGCTGAAGAATTTTCTTCAATGGAATAATAAAACATTTACTGCCAAATATTAAAATTAGAAAAAAATGTTTATACAGCTTTATGCTTATATATGGGACTTTATTTTGAATTTTATTAAACTGTTTGTAGGACAACTGTAGAGGTTTAACACTTAACTTAATCTGTTACTACAGTATTAAAAATTAAGCACAATCAAGTATATTTTATCTTTATGAGTAGTTTTAACAAACCTTATCCTTTCATCAGAAGAGTAGTCCAAACTTGATATTATCAGCTTCACATAACAATCATGCTTGGATGTTGTTGCCAACACGAGGAACCTAAAACATAACACATGTAGACAGCGATGTTATCCCAAAGTGAGGAAGGTTTGATTGTCATAACATCTGTTGAAACGAGAGATATTTTGTAAAAAAAAAATGCATCTCAACCCAATCTAAACCTTGTATAAGTGTCATTCAATTGAAGCAATAGTTTTCGACACTTGGTAAACGTTTGCACGAGTATATTATTGCATATGTTAAGAAGAGACTAGACAAACATTTTATAATATTACTAGCAGAGTACCCGTCCTTCGTACAGGGTTGGCGTTGGCATATAAGTATCAAATGCTTATAGCAGTTATGAGTGAGGACATGGTTTAAGAAATTTCGGTTCTTTTTGAAGTTCGTTCGCTACGCTCACTCACCTTTAGGTTGGAGCTCGTTCGCTGCGCTCACTTTCCTTCAGGTTAGCTCGTTCGCTACGCTCACTTGCCTTCAGGTTAGCTCGTTCGCTACGCTCACTCGCCTCCAGGTTGAAGTTCGTTCGCTACGCTCACTCACCTTTTGGTTGCAAATTAGCTGTTGTCATAAATGTAAAAGAAATAATAGTGCTAGTGCTGCACCCTGTTGGTAATCCTTGTAACTTAAATGCTATTGAACATCACAGAACAGAACCAACTTGTTTAATTGAAACAGCTGTTAAGATTCAATAATTTCATTTCTCATAAGGTTAACATGGGAAACTCCAGAGCCACTGGGGCGGAGCCCGAAAGGATTTTTGAAATAAGAATATGCCTATATGTTAATCGGGAATGTGAGCTATCATCATGCCAAATTTCAGCCCAATCCGACCAGTATTTTTCGAGTTTGAGCCACTGGGGCGGAGCCCGAAAGGATTTTTGAAATAAGAATATGCCTATATGTTAATCGGGAATATGAGCTATCATCATGCCGAATTTCAGCCCGATCCGACCAGTAGTTTTCGCGTTTACTTTTCCCATACACACAGACACCACCTCTTTTTTATAATAGTATATAGATTTATTTATAGACATAATTTATTACTTTCTATCATCCACCGAACATACGTGACTGATTTATCCAGCTGTAGCTCTGAGAAATTCAAAAGGAAGGGAACTATGAGGACAAAGAAAATAGGTGTCTCACAGCTAGGAATCAATAGCGTAAGGCCCTGATGAGTGATGAGCTCATATGAGGAGTGATACAAACGGCCATAAGGTTGAAGTGAAAAAAAATATCTATTACCATTATAAATTAAGATGAGAACGCAACAAGGTAAATTTTTCTATAAAGTAACAATGAGTGTAGATGTAGATGCCTTGTGTATCTTTGTTACTGACTATGATCAGACGTTTTTTAGCCAAGATTCATTTGAATCCCAAGTATCAAGGTCAGTTGTCAGACGTTTTTTTAGCCAAGATTCATTTGAATCCCAAGTATCAAGGTCAGTTGGATCCAGTTTCGAACCATAGAACATATTTAAATTTAGCTCTTGATTGAACTAGCAACGCTTCCACTCAGCTCAAATATTAACACTTGTATGGCTTACACTTGTATAATGCCGAGCCTTTCCATCAGATCACACCCTTGCTTGGTCCTGGTCAAGTGTCCGGCCAATAGGAAGTAGTCTTGGCACAAACTGTTGCCGACAGCCTGAGGACTGAACATACAGTCGTGGGCCGACTTTGACGTGACGATAGCCTCAAACTGAGTCTTCACATTGGTCATCAACTCCACCAATAACCGGTCTCCTTCCGATTGTGGCTGAAACAACAGTTGAAGGTGATGAAATCAAGGTGGTTCTGGCATAAGATATGTTTTTATGGATACTTTAATAACTACCATCGGAAGTTTTTTTACTATTCAAGGCTTCTAAATACACATTTTATATCCATACCAATCCTAACCCAGCTTAAGTGAAAAAATGATATTCAAATTTGCTTATACAATCTTGTCCCTTCTAAAAACAAGAAAATTTCACCCTCTTCTACAACCACTTCAAAATGTGGAACAAGTAAGTCGTGAGTCAAGACGCTTTTATTTACTTTTGGATAAATGTTTCAACTTTTTATTTGAAATTATTTTCCATCCACTCAAAATATTTTTCTCCTTTAAACTTAGCAAAATCAAAATCAAAATGTTTATAAAGAATCTAAATCTTTATTTTAGGAAACTTGTGATCACCTCACCTGGACCTAAGGCCGAGGTGCCCAAAGGGTTTATTCCCCCCCCCCCCTCAATGAGACCATGTCCTCGAAGGAAACATTTGACTAAAGCAATCCACAAACAACCCATCCACCGATCAACATAAAGCAACAGTCTTCTGTAGGTCAGCACAACCCAGCCTAATTGTTCATTGCCAAATACCACCTCTTTACGATATGAAACCTCATATTACATATCACTAAAGCCATATTCTGCAGTCATAAAGGTACAAGATGAATTTTAATCAAGGGACCTCCCTCTAAAACACCCTTCTTTACACAACTGACCTTAAAACAAAATTAAAAGGGGAATTAATTATCACACCCTAACTCTGCTGATCAAAAACAAAAGACGCCAAACACACCTCATCAGCAGCCAGTAGTACATTGAGCAGTTCTATCGCAGTGAGTGTGTATGCGTTGACGGTGCGCCGATCACTGCTGAAGTCCACCTTGGACATCTGGCGTGACGATGGTTGTACAAACTGCACCAGCCGGCGCAGGAACTGACGATGCTGCGACTCCTCACACTTCCTCAGACACTCCGGGCGACTCTGAGTGACAGAAGAAAATTATTTGAAGTGAAGCAGGGTGAGGAACAAGTTAAAGGGAAATTAGGAGAAAAATTGGATCTAAAGAAATTTCATAGTAAACTGTAAAAATTGATAAATTTGGTATGCATATCAGATGAAAATTATTTTCCAGATGTTTTGTAGAGAAACGTTTTGTCTTTCCAATAATTAGAAAATAAAAAAAAAACTGAGAATTCATACTAAAAAAACACTGCTTACAAAGGTGCGCTTAAGTAGTTAACTTTTTACCGGCATATCATAACAATTTATATTACAGATGTTATGCAATCTTAGAATAACAGTAAATAATCACTTCAAGTTTAAGTTGTAATTCAAAATGTTATGCAAGTTATTTTATAATTGAGCATTAAAACAACAAAATGATCATGCAATTAAATGCATGTAGTCTTTTTGCCATAAACTGCCACTCAAATTTAGTGAGTCGGTGGCTCAGTCGGTAGCGTCGCGGACTTCGGGCCCAAGGCAGCGGTGTTGTGGGTTCGGATCGTGGTCACTGCCGATAACATTTTATCAGTCTAGTTCACCTTTGTACTGTACCGGCTCACTCCTTGCTTTGCTGTAAACGATCCACGCACGGGCGCTTAGTCTATGTGGACGGGCAAATGCAAGGTTAAAAGAGGCCGCTACCTCTTAAAAAAAAAAAAAAAATTGGAATAAGAAATTAAAATTATTATTATAATTTTTATCAAACTAACCTATTTTTATCAAACTAACCTTTAGGATGGACTTGATAACGTCCCAGTTCCACAAGAAGCAGTCTTTGTTCGAAAGGACTTGAGACTCCTTTATTGCCTCGTCACATTCCTTTGTCAGGGCCTGAACAAAGCAAGAAATAACAGTTAACCTTAGGGAGTTATATGACAAATATGTAATTACTCCTGAAATAAATAGGTCATACAATTGATAGATTTAAATCTTTTTATTCACATAGCTACTTACTAACACTTTGAATATTGTAGATTATTCTGTAATGCAGTTAATCCCATTTTTATAATATTTTCTTATCTTCTGAACAAAAAAATTTGAATTTGTTCATATAGTAAAACTATTTGTTTAAAAAAAACCTTGTTTAAACCCCATCAAACATTTTGCATGCATCTTCTCAATTAGACTAAACAATATTCATAAATAAATTTAAAGGTAATAGTAGGGCCTAATTTAAAATTTGAGAAAAACAAAAAAATTGAGATTTGAAAAATGTAGGTAACATATTCATGTTGTATGATAAATTAAAGGTAACTTTAAGTAACTAGTAATATTGTCCAAATAGTATTACATTTAAAAACAAACTGCAATTCTGACAAAAACTTAATAATAACAATAGGCCATACAAATATACAGGGTGATTTGTACTCAGTGTGACAAAAATTTTTTCACCACACTATGATGTTTTTGGCTGTATTACACACGTTAATTGGTGGCTGAAAGTTACGTTTTGCTGGCCATGCCAGCTGTCATCGTAATTTGGGGACCGAGCAGGTTTTTACAGGCCGGGGCCGCAAAATCAGCTGTCCGCTTACTTGCATAACATGAATGCATTTTAAATACAAAATCAAAATCCATAGCATTGCAATAGAATTGTGTTATTGTCACTGTTGCCTAGCAACTATTTATTTTTATTTTTGCTGATTCCTCAAATTATTTCTTCACATAACCTTAAAGTTGTAGTGTTGTGTTGACTATCAGTGTCCATTATTATAGTGGTGAATAGTGGTAATAGGTTATAGTGTGGTGAAAAATAGCGTTCGTACCACGGACCGAAATGGTTTTGCAGCTCTCGATCGATTTAAGTTCTCGACTTCGTCTCGAACTTAAAAACTATCTCGAGCCGGCAAAACCTTATTTTCGGCCCTAGGCACGAAATATACTATTTGGTGTAAGTACAAAGTAAATGAAGTGTGATGATGCATATCAAATGTTCCAAGTCTCAAAATTAGCTTCCAAAAAAATTATTTTATGTTTTTAAAAAATAACCATGTTTTTAAACTTAATACAGCGATTTCTCAATTACCTGTATATGGATTTGAGTAGATAATGTAATTTTCGTGTTCTACATTAAATTTTGAACAAGAATAATATAAAATGACGGAGGATCAGTTGTAAAAACTCCATAGTAAATAGATTCAAAGATAAAAATTAAGATGTTTGATAAAAATTAAAAAAAACAATGGTCTAATGCATTTTTCACACCCTGTATACAAGAAAGTGTCGGACTATGTTAAAAACTGCGCCATTTTATAAGCTTTCCAACCATATGCTACACTATTGAGTTTTATGTCTGCTAATGTACGCTTTAATGGTTTGAAGACTGCAAAGCATGGTGTCTTTAACATTTAAAACATAGAAAGTCGGCATGTATTAAGCAAATGTTGTATTTTTGTTTGAGCTTGAACAGTAAAACAGTAAACAATTTCCCGTTTTTCTGGTATTCAAACCACTAAAACAAACAAAAACATATCTAAACCTCAATAGTGTAGCATATGGTTGGAAAGCTTATAAAATGGCGCAGTTTTTAACATAGTCCGACACTTTCTTGTATACAGGGTGTGAAAAATGCAATAGACCATTGTTTTTTTAAATTTTTATCAAACATCTTAATTTTTATCTTTGAATCTATTTACTATGGAGTTTTTACAACTGATCCTCCGTCATTTTATATTATTCTTGTTCAAAATTTAATGTAGAACACGAAAATTACATTATCTACTCAAATCCATATACAGGTAATTGAGAAATCGCTGTATTAAGTTTAAAAACATGGTTATTTTTAAAAACATAAAATAATTTTTTTGGAAGCTAATTTTGAGACTTGGAACATTTGATATGCATCATCACACTTCATTTACTTTGTACTTACACCAACAAATTTTTGTCACACTGAGTACAAATCACCCTGTATAATTTTGATACAAGCTGGTGTTAGTGCGTAAAATACATGACCACATCGTCAGCCGAATTTGGAATGTAAAAATTCTAACTGTTTGTTGATTTACGATAATAGGTACCAATTTATTTTTTAAAACATTAAATTATGGACCGTTACAACCCTATTTCCTGATAAACACTCGATTCAGAACAGTACCTGATTCAGTTTACTCCTGCTGAGGGTTTTCCCCTTGGCCCGCGCCAGTTCGACCCCGTCTAGCGCCTGCGCACCTGTGACTGTCGCAAGGATGTGATCCAGATGGATGCTGGCAGGCGCAGGACGCAGACGTAGCAGACGATGCAGACGTGACAACGCCATCACTGCGGCCAGCGCTCGCTGTTGGGCTCTCACACTGGCCGGCGCCTCAGGAGAGTTAGTAGGCATCGATGTGGGGAGGGACGTTGACATTTGTTTTGTCCTGTAATGGAATGGTATCTTATGATTAATGTAACACTAAAACTTAGAATAGGTTGGCTTACATATATATTTGGGATGTGTCAATTCTCGATACTGCCAGTACTAGGACATTGGTATCGGTATCAAACTTCAATAGACAAAAAAAGTTCAAGCCGAAACCTAAACCCAACAAGTCAGCAAAGATTGTAAAATTACTGATTTTGTCGCAACTGCACATAACGGCGATGACATTTCCAGGGGAGACAATTAATGATGTCTACACGGCCGCGGGAAATGATAATAATTTTGTTAAGATTAATGATGGTGTCTGCACCATAGAGGAAGACGATAATGATGTCTTCACAACCATGAGAAATAATCAGAATTTCGCTGCAAATGCGGGTGACAGTGTCAATATCCACATGACTGCAGAAAAATATCAGAATTTTGCCAAGATCCCAGGGACGACGGTGATGTCTACACGACCGCGGAAGATGATCAGAATTTTGCCGTGATTGTGAAAAACAATCATATCGTTTCCGTGACTGCAGGAGACGATGATGATGTTTAGTTAATATGGTGTTTTAACCTAAGTTGAACCAATGACATTTGTATGCTAAGGCAAAACATGCCACTATATTAGGGTACAGTTGGCCAGGTAGCTAGAACATGGCACTTGTGGCACATGGTATAGAGGTATGTTTTCAGATCTCGCAAAAAAAATTGCTTATAACTATGTGACAATTACACAATCAGGGATCCAGTGGTTTGGACCTCAAATTAGGCTGTAGGTCACTATGAGACGACTCCTTACAATAAATACTAATGAAATACCATACGTACTGATAGATAAAAGCTATACAGTTATTTAAGAAAGTGGACATTTTATTCAAATGCACAAAATGGTTCTTAGAAAGCTAATTTTAATTTACAGAATCAACTCACCTTCTGGTGGGCATTCTGACGTCGGATAAGTTTGTCATGTCAGCCAAAACCTCATGGACATCTCTCAATAAGTGTGATGTTTGATCCAGTCTGCACCGATCATAGAAACATGATATGATATTATTGTTACTTATCAAAACAGGATTGTAACAGAGAAAACAAACGTTAACGTACCTACAAGATTAGGATTAAGTTTTTATTTATCAGTTTGTGCCATTTGTGTATTGTGATAGTTTTTCAGTCAGTAAGCTATTCTGTGATAATGAAAGTGTTTAATTTATCAATTGATAAATTAAATTGTCACAAATCACATGGCCAAAAAAGTTTTTTTTTCTTGCAAAAGTAGTCTTACAAACTTTTTGTAACTCTTTTAAGGGAAATCGGTCCAAACCCGTTCAAGTTTTTTTCCTATGATTTTTATGCAATTTTTTTCCATAGTTAGGTTTTGATTTCCGTATTTTTTATAGTGGTATCTGAGCGGCTTAGTTTTTGAGCAGAGCTATCCTAGCCTAAATGCTCGAGTGATTGAGCAAGTCAGAAAATCAAGGCATGCAAATCTTTTATTCTTCACAGGCTTAAGAAAATTACTAGGCAGTAATTAAAAAAAAATTCCTACATGAAAAAAGTAGTAAAATATTTACTTGTAAAACACAGCCAAAATTGATACTTATTACATACCTTGATTTAGAATTACGCCTGTTGGTATCACCAGTATCTTTCCTATCAGCGTTGTATGGAGATTCTTCTTCATTTACTGTCCGTTTGTCCAAGTTGATAGTTACGTCTTGTCTGGCAAACCTGTCGGTGTTGGAGCTCTCAGACACTGTTCTTACAGAGCTGTGTCCACTACGGATACCCATTCTAAAAGTTAAAATCGATAAGAGGTTAGCAAATAAATTAATGTCAAACTTAATAAGGTAATAGGATTTTTTTGTCAGGATGTTTATGGGAATCTTTCTCATTCTAGTACGCCTGCTATCCTCACTAAAAATACTAATAATGTAGGACAAAGGTATTCACCTCGTGCTCTATTAATCTAATAAATTAACGAGGTTCTGGTACAAGTTAAAATTTATCTGGATAAAACTGAGGTTTAGAAAGGTTGAAGGATTTAAAAGCTAGTTTAATTTTGGGCAAGTCTAGAATTGAACTTGTAACCCAGTGGTTGTAATGTTTGCCTTCAAATCTGAAGGTTGTTGGTTCGTTCCAAGTGATATTGAGACCCACATGCCATTTGTCATTGGGCTAAAACAAAATGTGTGACATCAATGAACATTCATTCCGGTATGTTTTTTCCTTCGTGATGGCATTATTAATGTTATTCTTAGGTTGTCGGTTACTCATCACTAAAATAAATTAATGTTGTTTGTTTGTTTGTTAATAAATAATTGACTTGATATGTTGTTACTAGAGGCTGAAGATGAGTTTTGATGTAAACTTGAAATATACCTCGACATTTTTTAGTAAATTGTGATTAATTTATTTTAGTGATGAGTAACCGACAACCTAAGAATAACATCAATGAACATGTAAATAAAGAATATCGTCCATTGTCTATAGAGCTGGTATCTAAGAAAAGGCTGACTTTAGAGTAAATTGAAACTGGACCCAGCTGTCCTTGTTTATTACGCTTTTATTTAATTAATATTTTTCTGGGATACATGTTCCTGGCTAAGAATCAGCTGACCTTAGTCAGTAACAAAGCTACACAGAATCATCTCAACAACAGTCTAAGATACACACAGCCTACCTAGATATCAGGTCCTTCTTGTTAGTGATGTCCACACCAATGTCCGACTGCAGTGATGACTGAGGCGTGACGGGTGCGTCGATGTAGCCCGGTGCAGTGTAGTGGGGCCGACCTCTGACAGCGTAGGACAGCAGGTTGGGCAGTGAGGGGGTCAGATTGCAACACTCCGGCGGCAACAGCAAGTGTATTAGATGAAGCAATTCACCTAAACATTGACAATCAAAATTATTATCATCATTTGAGATGGGGACGCCACCTAGGTGTGTGTTTTAACCCAAATATGAATAAAGGATGGGTGTAGAATGGAGTGAGATCTGTGTAGCTTTGTTATTGTTACTAAGATCAGCTGTTTCATTAGCCAGTGTCATTGTCTGTTCCACATCCTATTGGCCAAGCTTACTTAACCAACTACCTATACCAGAGTTGTCAGTTTTTATTTCCTTGCAAATTTTCCAATGGGTTGAACTGTTTACTAAGATTTCGGCTAAACTGAGTTTAGGTTTAACGGGGTTTTACCGTGTTATGCTTGGACATTCGGTTCACCAATGTCAATACAGTAAGCTATTAAAGCGATGTTGTCTATCCAGCCAGGAGGCAGTACAGTAGACTCTCGCTCATCTGGATCGGCCTTGTCCGGACTCCCGCTAGTCCGGATCGGCAATCGTGATTTTCTTTTAGTGGCACAGCACTCATTATCAAATAAAAATGTAACTAACTTTACGTTTCAACGCCTTCATTTATTGTGCAAGCAAGCCCGCTCTAACCTAATACATTTATTTAAAAAAGAATTTATAGAGAAAATGTCCTGAAAAAAATATTGTTCAAATCTGTCTTCTAACTGTCTGTTGTCCCTATTTAAAAGACACTACAATATTACGAATTCTTCTCAAAGATTTAACTTAATAATGAAGTTTTTCATCAAGAAAATATGGTTCAGGGGTAGGATTCACCTGAGAGTTTTTTGAGTTTATAGAGGACCCACTTATAAAACATTAGGTAATCTTCCCTGTGGATTTAATGTTTACGAAAAATAAAAATGATCTATCAGACATACCTAGTAAAATTGTGGCCCGTACAGAGAGGAACGTGTCTTCTGCAATGATTACCTCCACAATGGCATCCAGTAAACCCACCTCTAGAAAACAATACAACAGCAGAGACAAGTGAAGCTCTGATAGGTTCACCCTGAAACATGGAACATACAATTGTTAAAAAAAAAAACACTTTACTTTGTAGAACTAACTTGTAACCTAAGAAAAGGTGGCCATTGATGGCACACAATCAAGTTAACAACACAATTTGACTTGAAATTCCGTACATCTAAGGGGTATTTTACAGAAGAAAGTAGTAGAAAGACCAACGAAGTTCCAAAACCAACACTTTTTGATTTGGCTATCTTAGATAATTCAAACTGAACCAGTTTTGTAACTGTAATTCTACTATTTCCTTCTAAACAAGGCCCCTTGAGGGGACAAAATATGGACTAAATTAATTTAATGTGAACTCTTTATTTACTATCAACTGCCTGGAAAGTTTCTCTTAAGTGAGTTATTTATTCATTGCCTCTTCCATTATGGATTTAATAGTAGTGGATAAAAACAATAATAATTCTTTATTACCTATGATGATCCTACTTACAGACTTTTGCCAAATAGCATTACATTTACAGCCAAGAAAAAAATTTTAATCGTAAATCAGGTAGGTATAGGTATTTATCTCGTTACACCCACTTGAAATATACCTACTGCTGTTTAGTGTTTATTCAAAATATTTTTCAGTTACTAGACTTTCGAATCGTTAGCACCAACAAATTCATACTGACACAGTATTGTTACCTATAAAAATCAGCAATCAGTATCCTTAGTCAGCGATCCACACGTTGACCACTATTTTCACACCATACACATACCTGCACTTGGACAGATGAGGCAGTACGGCTTTTCCCTCGGCCGCAACAAATCCCTCCGACAGTTTGAAGGCTTCTTGTGATCTGGACGGATCCACAGCTTCCAAGGCCACACTCATCTCATCACTCCATTCTGGTTGAGCCAGACATAGCAATTCGTACAGCAGATCTAGTACGGCTTTCTGTAAAAAAGGAAAAAAGTGTCCGTATTATTAAATGAATTTAACATATTCCTTATGGATTAGCAGACAATTTTAAGCTATGTTTGAGTTTCAGGTGGATATGTCCGTTTTGAGCCCCCTGGACAAGAACAGTGGTTTCTAAGTGAAGTCTGTGTCTGTTGAGTTCTACTCACCCGCACGTCCAGTTGATTGAGGTACAGAGTGGCCACTATAGAGCGCAGACCGTCCTTGAGAGGGTGACAGAAGTGCAGCACCCCCGGCCATGACCTAAGGGTGGACAGTAGAGTAACGTGAGGCCACTTGAGACTCTCCGACGACTGGCCATCTCTGTGAATGGACAACAAATTAACAGTATAGATTGTGTCAATTAAAAAACAACACTGAGAGTTACACAACTAAACTTAAGTAATATTTAACACCAATTAGATTTTAAGATGAGGTGCAACATTACAAAAGCGGCGGTGGCGGGAAGGGTTCTTGTGTCCTGCTCGCCACTCTAGTTCACACAATCTATAAGTTACCTGATATTTAGGATTTTCGTTAGGGTATCATGTTTATCTGAATGTGAAATAGGCCACTATGACACTAGAATTGTGAAACACTTTCCACTGTAAACAAAAATAAGAATATTCCTCTGACATTGAATTTGTAGCGGAAGACATCTCTCTTCCCAACTCAAAACCTTTGGTGGGAAATGATGATAAATTATTGACTGTGAATACGTTCTACTTATTTGTTATTTATATACTTTATTGTATATTTAAAGTATTTTGTGTTTCTTCTGTCAGAGTGGACCTCTTCCCTTTCAGCATTTCAAGTTGGAAAGTTGGCAGTGCAACGGATTACAAATTCATGCCAGTTATCCCGTTGCCTAGTATGTTTATCTATAAAGGTTATAAAGTTGATTCTTGCACTATTCCAGCTCACTCCATTGCCCGATCTACGCAGAGCTGAGGCTCATATGGGGACAAATGCAAGGGTTAAGAGACCGTGAATCTCTTTAAAAAGATTCTCTGTTTTAGCTGATAAAACCTATAGTCCAATTTTCTTCAGACCCAATAGACTGAAGATTTAAGAGTTTGACACACTTGCTAACAGCACTAACTTAGTTTTATCGGAAGACTGCAGATCAGTGTATGGAGCCGCTAGACAGTCCAGACTCAGCCCAGCTCGTAGCCTAGTCTCAGGCTTGTTCTGCAAGTAGAGGAGTGAGCCGACCAACGCCTCGGCCATACGAGCGGACTTGACACTGGCGAGACTACGCAGGATTGTAGTCACTCCGCCTACTGATATCAACAGGTCTGGATTCAGCACACCTAAAAATTGCACAAACATTAATGGAGGAAGTATTATTAGGACTTTAACTATGTGTGCAACAAAAAACAGTAAAACTCAAATGATCAGATTTTTTAATCATCCAGATGGCCAACTATACTGATCACCTCAAAATTAATAAAATTAATAAATTAGGCCAAAAAATTAAATTTGTTGCAGTTTGTGGTCTTAAGCAGTTCCATATTTTAGTGTGCCATTTGTGTTCTTCAACCAGCAGGTGATGAGTTATCAGCCTTGTCCCATTGTCCTGAATACTTTTATCTTGAGAATACTATCACCCAAATAAGTTTGGTACCAATTGATGTGGGTTAAGTTTTACTGAAGGGTTTTCATTAAATAACCGAATACGAAAATATTATTTTAAAAAGTAATAGAATATATGTACAGACAAAATAGATCACAAGAGCATAGATTGTAGGGATTATTTTTAGAATAGCAGGCTAACATTCTGGCCACCATTGGACCATAAGAAACCTCACTCACTTCCTCAAACATTGGTTATAAATGCTGTCAGTGACAGTGAAATAGCACATCCTTATAAAGGCTCAATTCAATAGTTCAAATAGTTTATTGCCATTAAGTATACATGTCATACAATAGGCCAGGTCAATGGAGATAATTCAATTACTTATGTTATAATTTTGTTCTAAAACCAGCTACAACTGCAATAAGAATTGAATGACTACGTACATAGTTCTGCGAGAGCGCCCAGCGTGAGGTTGATGAGGCGGTCTTCAGTCCCTGAGGCGATGGCGACTAACGACCTGGCCACACAGATGGGGAAGTTGTCCACGACTAGACACATGAGTTTACGCACCACTCTCAAGGCCTGCACTCGCTCATTGTCATTGCCTGTGATCAGGTCCATGCTCCTGCGAGATCAAACATAGGCATACAGAAAGAGTAACTTAGTCGTGTTAATTATGAAATTAAATAAGAAATAGCCTATATTTTCAAAACGTTAACTTGTTTTTAATTGGTCAGTTACTGGCTAGGAATCCATAGCAGTCATGACATGAGTTTCAGTTCCGCCACAAAACTTCAATACAGTTCATTCTTGTATTGTACCATCTCACCCCTTTGCTTAGCTTGATAAGTTTCGTGCTCTGAGCTGAGGCTTTTGAGGGCACTATAATGGAAGGTTAAAATGGACCTAACTGTCAATAAAAATAATAAAAAATTGTCTTAGTCAATCTATTGTTTGTAAAGACTTAACAAAGTCAAACCTCTATTTGTCTAGTTGATGATTTTGAACGTTATTTCTAGAATTACATAAGACTTAAAGGTAGGCCTAGTCAAAATTACAATTAAAAGTTATTAATAACTTTAAACATAATTTAAAAAAATAATTATATAGCGAGGTACAAATTCAAAGGTCAATATTAACTTACATTACATTTAAGAAAACACAAAACCAAACATATAATAGATTTAATCTATTTATTTTATTCCATAAGCAAATCGGTTCCCACGAAATATCTCGAGCTAGGAAAATGGTAGCATGGCTCCTTTCCCAGGTCCAAGGACGGTGGGAAAAACATCAGAAGTGTCAAAACTTACCCCTGCTCTTCCCCACGAGCCAACAAAGATCCAGACATTTTCTAGTGGAAGTACTGCTACAGTGTTTCTATAAGCTGTTTTAAATGTACCAGCTGATGTTTTTAAACATTGCGTACCTGTTTGTTTAGGTATTTACTCAGGGGAGGTATAGAAGAGGCTACGATGACAGCTGAGATCTTCTTATTAGCTGAGGGAACGCCATTACCGTAACAAAACGTTCAACAGCCATCGGCCTCGGTGGTCTATTGGTTAGCGTGCCGGGCTGATATACTGTAGGTCCCTGGTTCGAATCCCGCTGGTAGCGTTAACTTTTTGTCCAAGATTTTTTTATTATCAGCAAGTTTGGTTTGGTTATTACAGTTTAATTTTATTATTAAGTCATTATAAAATTTTAATTGAGCAATTTCTAGTTTTATTTAATAAACGGAATTATTTTTCCGATTACTAAACTTTTGTTATATTATTTCTTTATCAGCAAGTTTGGTTAGTTCGGTTAGGTTATGATAGTTTAATTTTATAATTAAAAAATAGTAAAATTGAATTTGAGGCATTTATAATTTTATTTTATGAACAGAACTATTTTTGCGATTAGTAAACCTTCATTGCCAAAGTGCTCTCTACTACAGCGCTGTTCGCGGAGGAATTTTGAACTAAATGCCTCATTTGTACCTCCCCTAAGTCAGACCCGTTTGTTTATTGACTTTAGTGTTCTGTTTTTAGGTTAGAATGATAATGCAGTGTTGAAATGTATCATGTTAAGGGAAGACCGCGACTACGAAGGAGAGTATTTAGGAATGGTGCACAGCATAGGGAATGGCTACAAATTACAACGAAGGTGAAGGGCAGAAATTACTGCTATGGTCCCATAGTATTAAGCCTACTTTAAATCAACTCAACTAAATTTTGAACAAGATTGACACCTACCTGGCTATCAGGATCGGGTATTGCAGTTTGTAGCATATCAGCGCCTCATGTTTACTGTGCAGCATGTACCGCAGTGCTCTCAACCCTCCGGAACGCACCTGCGTTGTATCATGCAGCAAGGCTGGCCGCAAGCTGGAAAGAAACACTTTGTGTTACGCCTTGCAGACAAATTAGACGTGGAACATTAGTCCATGGCTTAGGCCAATTGATAACTTCATCTGACATTGGTTAGTCTAAAAGGGATCTGACTAGAAGAGAACCTTGATAGTTTGACACTTTATGGATTAAAGGGTAGCCTACTTATCAAACTATGGAACCGTCAAACTATAGGAAGTAATTTTAAACTCATACCATATTTGTTTTAAAAGGGGAAAAAAGGAGGTAAATAGACATGGGGTAAGGGGCAAGAAAAAGTTATTTATAGAAATTTAATAAGCCGGTTCTAGTCACTAACGAGCAAACCCGTCAAGGACACTATTGGTCCGCTCCTGTCGTATCATGTTGTCACGGCCTGTGTCAAAGTATACATACTTTCAAGCTATAAAAGTTCTACTTTACTAACAAGGCTATGGTTACGTCTTTTGCCAAAAGCTTTTGAAGACAAATTTTTAGAGAACAACACAAAACTTTTGGAGCGGAATCATATGCAGGTAAAACAATTTATTATGTTAAGATTTAGTATGAATGCGATGGTATGTATATAGCGATGGATTATTAAGTGAAAGTGGATTTATTTTGGGCTTTTACAATATTCAATAACTTCAAATCCAACCAAATTGTTTCATCGGTTCAATCGTTTGTTCTTGTAATTTTACCATGTTTAGTGGGTAGCAAATCAGACACTGATGCCAGTAAATGTTTTTACGTTGAAAACATAACTTAATAAAACTTCCCTTTATAGAACAAGTCATTGAATTCTTTAATCAAGCAATTGATGGATAATAAAAGCAACTGTATTCAACAGAGATTTTATGATAGACTACGGTAGGTACGGTACTTAAAAAATATATGCAAACTGTATTGAACAAAATCAGCATGATACTGGCTAGACAATCAGATAAATCTATGTAGCTGTGGGAAATATTTAAATTTTTTAACAAAATTAGCCTTTAAGAACATTGAATGTTTGCTGTACAACCCCAAAATCTGAAATGTTAATAATAAAGAAGATATATTGTTTTCCTACAGCTGTTTGACAACTCACCAAAATAAAATTTCTTCAGCAGTAAACCCCAACTTGGAATAATCATGTTCACATTTGGTGAGAAGTTTTACAAAGGCATTCAGATAGCTCAGTCGGCGTCTCTCCGATGTAACTCCTTGCTTTTTACAGATATTCGTGAGAATCTCTCGGATACTGTCGTTATGATCTGAAAAGTATGATTAGGCCTATTAGGATACAAAATTAGGCCTATTTTGAAAGTACAACCTGACTTAAGTTAAAGCTTAATTTTAAGCAGAGTTAGAGATCAAAGCAGGTTAGACTGGCATGTCCTTAGATCAACATGAAACTGTTGTTAATTACAAAAGGAAATGTATATTAACTTATCCTCGGTAAGCCCAATATATCTAATGACAGATTGGCCACTATTCTCTTGCTATACGGTACCTATTGTTGCCGATCATTCCAACTTATTGTAGGCCTACGGACAAGCCGGCGATGCAATTATCTCAGGTAAAAGCTCTGGTAGGCCTACTGGATCATATTTTCAAATTGGGGTACTGTACAGTTTCTTAACTGGGCTATGATAATACCGATTGAAAAAGTTATCGATTCGATTAAAACTTAGTAGCCTAAACCCTTCATTTGATTTTTTCACAATCAGCAAGTTTATGGCTGGTTACCTGATTACCTGATTACCTTCCTCTTCACCAAGACCAGCTTTGCCGGATAGGTTGTGTCATGATAAAATAAAAGTAAAGTACTATTTAATAAAATCTATTTACAATATATACATTCAATCACTTATGGCGGTGGATCAACCCTATTTATTCACTGTTTCAAAGTATTCGTCAAGGCTATAAAAAGGTTTGGTTACTAGCCAGGACCTAAGGGCAGTGCTAAATTTCTTTATTTCCAGGTTTTTTATATCTTGGGGCAAGTTGTTGTAGATCCTAATTGCTATGGTCGGGAAGGCATTCTTCGTCTTAGCAAGTCTACAGAAGGGGATGTCAATTTCATGGTTTCGTCTTGTCTGGTGTTTGTGAACGGTATCTCTGGTTGGAAACTTATGGATATTGCTTTTAACATATGTTGCACTTAGTAGAATAAAGTGGCTAAAGACCGTTAATATGTTTGTTTCTACAAAAAGAGGCTGGCAGTGGTCCAGTCTTTTGCTGGAAGTTATAGCCCTGACAGCCTTCTTCTGCTGCAAGAGTACATCCTTACAATTTGGCGCATGCCCCCAGAGCAGTAGGCCGTAACTCAGCACGCTATGGAAAAGAGCGTGGTAGACCACCTTTAAATATTGTGGAGTTACTAGCTTGGTAAGCTTGCGTAACAGGCACACGACTCTTGACAGCCTTCTACAAACAACTTCGATATGATCTGCCCACGTCAGTTTGGGGTCGATGGTGAAACCTAGCAGATGGACTTTGGTTTCGATTTGAGGATATCGAGTTAGGGTGCATACGATTTTTTGGGTCTTTTCCTCGTTCAGCTTAAATCTGTTGGCTGAGAACCATGCCTTAGCTTCATCAAAAAGTGTTTCAGCCGTGTCAAGCGCACGCGCAGGGGTAGAGCCCGTTGCAAAGATGGTGGTATCATCTGCAAACCTGAGAGAAGAACCATTTAGCTCAAGGTCGTTGATTGATACCAGAAATAGCACTGGTCCCAAGACCGATCCCTGAGGAACGCCGTGTTGGATTGTCAGAGGTCTAGACTGGGCACCGCTAAGTGAGATTACCTGCTGCCTATTATCCAGATAGGACTTTATTAACGTGAGAGCCACGCCCCCAACCCCATAGCATTCAAGTTTGTCTGTAAGTATGCTGTGTGTTAGGTTAGGTTAGGTTATGACAGTTTAATTTTATTATTGATATTATTACCCAGTATTGTTACAGCTGATAACTCTCATCCCTTATTGTACTTGCTTATAATGTACTACTTTAAGTAGGGTTACTAGGGAGGCAAGTTAGGTTACAAATTTTACCTAGGTTAAGACATAAAACTGGTAACTCACCCTTTGATGGATCTAATTGGAATTCATCGTCATTGTTGTCATTCCAACCTGTCAATCAAATAACCACAGTTAGTTATAATTCGAATAAATTTATTAAACTATTAAATATGCCTAGCCTATATTGAATTCTGACTTAAAGTTGACTAAAACTTACTTGGCCGTAAACCGTGTCCTCTAATCCACATGATCTAGTTTTGAAATATAGCTCAGTATATATAAGATGAATAAAACATATACAGATTCTAAATTGTTATTTAGTGTACAAAAATTAACTGTTTACATTAAATAAGCAGGTATAATAATTGCAATAAAGTTTGTGACGGCATTGTTTTTGTGACATTCCTACCAAAACAAATCAAATAACCTAAAAACCAAAGACATTTAAATCTGCCTGCAAGTTAAACCCCAACCATACGACCTTCTCACCGCAGTATTTCACCTCCCTTTTTTTAGAACCTTTGGAACAGTTACACGGAACTGTTTGGGATCATGTTCAATACAACTGTGACAAAAAGTATAGAATAGGTTAGGCGAAACCGTTATATTACAAATAGCTCCGTTCCTTCTCAACTTTATTATTTTTCCTGCATAAAAATTTAATTATTATGAAATACCTTTTTTCCTCCTCCTCATAATAATAACAAGTCTTTTATAGACATGGACCTGTAAGTTAGTTAACTGGTTTCGTTTATTTAATTATTCTTACATTACATCACGAAAACCGGCTTATTCTTAAAAGACAATGATATAATAGCATATTAAGGAAAACTATTCAAAGAAATTGCACAGTTTTGTTAAATTTGCTAACAATGAGAAAGGTTATAAGGTATAAGGTATTGTTGATGGAGCAGGAGTCACAATGAAAAAGCACATACAAATTAAAATCAAAAGTTTTATTATTATATTTATAGTTATATTTTGGATACAGTATTGTGAAGTTCATAATTATAATAAATTTAACTTACCTTCTTCTGTTTCAAAATTCAGCTCCCCAACTATTATTTCAATGGCATGGGCTTCTTCCAGATGCTGGATCAAGTTCTCAAACCACGAAAATTGATGAGAGCAATCACCCTCTGGGCCTCTGGGCAAATAAGCCTTTTCGGGTTGTTTGAACAGTCAGATTGTTCACTACAACAACTATCATGCACATTACGTGTATGGCGCGTTAAATTAAATTTACTAGCAAAAGTGTTTGTCACAAAATGAACATTCAAACTTTTTTGTATTAATATCAGACATACTGATCCAGTATCTCTTTAACTTGAAATTACACCATCGATTTGAGATAAAGTTTCCAATCACTTGACAAAATGGAGGTTAAAGACAGAGATCCACTAAAAACAAAATGAACGCCTAAAAAGGAAATGGAATGGAACTCTTTGTTTGTAATGTAACGGTTTTAACAAATCTATTCCAAACAGTTCCGTGTAACTGTTCCAAAAGTTCAAAAAAAGGAAGGTGAAATACTGCGGTGAGAAGGTCGTCCAACCATATGGAAAATACGAATAAATAGCAATGAGTGAAACACGTATGAACAATGAGATAAGTGAGTTAAAATTTAAGCGTTGATTATATTTAAGTATGTAAAAGTATCAGTCTAAACAATTAATTGTACCCATTACCTATGTTAAAAATGTGACTTAAGGACGTCCACTTTGAATAACAAAACCCTTTAACTGATATTGTATTCAATAAATAAATGCATCATTGATATCAGTATGTCAAAGTCAAAGTAGAGTTGTTTGAACACAGCACAAGAATCTTTGTACAGCTAACAGCCTGGATCAGTTTATATCACATTTTGCTATAACTAGTATGCAATGTAAGAGTTTTTTTTTCAATGATAGGTTTTATTGTAAGTAAACAGTTCAAACCCATATATAATTTATTTAATTTTGTAAGGTGATTCTTTGCATAAAAATTGTAGGCACTGGTAAGTAGTAGGAAACGGAAAAATGCTCAAATTAAAGGTGTCTGTTCCAGGCTTGTTGGAGGGAAAAGAGTTGAACTTCCAAAATGTCAATACAAAATTAAATTAGATATAACATTAAACTTTCCCCATAAGAATTGGTTTGGAGTTCATAAACAGCTAATCATATTGAATATTGTTTTTTGGAAGAAGCTATTACCGTGGGTGGCACTGGAACACCTAGACCCAGGACTGATTTACATTTTTATTTTGGCGTCACAAGTGACCAAGGATCAAAAGCACTTATTTGTTATCGTTTTTATACATGCCCGTGAACAAGATATCTTGGGTAATTTTCATCCGATTTTGAATAGCATGAATATTTGTTCTGGACATAATATGTTTTTTTAAGGATTACTAAGAACACCAGAGGAAGACTGCAACGGTGGGGAATCGTTCACAAAAATGGCAGAGTGTACGATGACGAGAAAAAGTAGTCAATGTTAAATTTTACAACCACCATTCAGAAATCCGATAATAGACGAGAGAAAATATAAATACACATTATCCATAATTTAGTAGACAAGACAGCATACAATATTGTGCTCTCCAATTTGGAGAAGGTCCTACTAAAAATCATCTTACGACATGTTTTCATGACGGGCCTGTTTACTTTTTACAGTCAAGAACTAAAACATTTGTTTAAAGGGATCCCACAAAAAAGAAAAAAAAAATAGCGCAGGGCTTTTTGTTTCATGGACCCTATATATTGTAAAAAATCAAGGGCTGGCATATTGTCCAATCTCTGATTGGCTGCCGCTACATAATGAAAACCCGCCGAGTGGCCAACTATACATTATTGTTGTTCAAAGGTTTATTGCGGACATTTTCCATCACGAAAGTAAAAAACAATACACAACGTTTCGGGATCTGGAATCTGATCCCACATCTACATCTGTGCTACATCTGTGTTATCTATCTGTGTTAGTTAAGTTTTTTCACCTGAAGACGGGATCAGATTCCAGATCCCGAAACGTTGTGTATTGTTTTTTACTTTCGTGATGGAAAATGTCCGCAATAAACCTTTGAACAACATTAACTCACCATCACCAACAATGAACTTCAAACAAAGTATACATTATTGATTCTTCAAAAGCAACAGAAGGTACACAAAAATTGATTTGAAACGTGAAATGTTGTTGAGACAAGCCTAAGTTTTATCAGAAAATCCATATGCACAATCGTTTAGTTGAGCTTTAGGAGAAATGGTTTTGCGAGGAGTAAACAGTTGATTTAATTTTATTTTTGTAGATATCATCATAATAAATATCGTTTTAACCAACCATCGAGTGCGACTATAATAATTGTTTACTCCATACAAAATGAACTTGCACAGGTGCAAGTATAAGAGTTGCCTCCACTTCAATTCAAGAGGGTGGTGGTGCACAGAAACTATTTTCGACCCCAAGACACTACAGAGATGCACAGATGCATACAAAGTGGTATAAGAGTAAGTATAAGAGTGACCTCCACTCCAAGACAAGGGTGGAGATGCACAGAGAGTATCTTCCACCCCAAGACACTCCAGGATGCACAGATCCAAGTATAAGAGTGACCTCCACTTCAAGACAACGGTGGAGATGCACAGAGTATCTTTCACCCCAAGACACTCCAGGATGCACAGATCCAAGTATAAGAGTGACCTCCACTTCAAGACAACGGTGGAGATGCACAGAGTATCTTTCACCCCAAGACACTCCAGGATACACAGATGCAAGTATAAGAGTGACCTCCACTCCAAGACAAGGGTGGAGATGCACAGAGTATCTTCCACCTCAAGACACCCCAGAGATACACAGATGCAAGTATAAGAGTGACCTCCACTCCAAGACAAGGGTGGAGATGCACAGAGTATCTTTCACCCTAAGACACTCCAGAGATGCACAGTGCAAGTATAAGAGTGACCTCCACTCCAAGACAAGGGTGGAGATGCACAGAGTATCTTCCACCTCAAGACACCCCAGAGATACACAGATGCAAGTATAAGAGTGACCTCCACTCCAAGACAAGGGTGGAGATGCACAAAGAATATTTTCTACCCCAAGACACTCCAGAGATGCACAGATGCAAGTATAAGAGTGACCTCCACTCCAAGACAAGGGTGGAGATGCACAGAGAGTATCTTCCACCCCAAGACACTCCAGAGATCCACAGATGCAAGTATAAGAGTGACCTCCACTCCAAGACAAGGGTGGAGATGCACAGAGAGTATCTTCCACCCCAAGACACCCCAGAGATACACAGATGCAAGTATAAGAGTGACCTCCACTCCAAGACAAGGGTGGAGGTGCACAGAGAGTATCTTCCACCCCAAGACACTCCAGAGATCCACAGATGCAAGTATGAGAGTGACCTCCGCTCCAAGACAAGGGTGGAGATGCACAGAGAGTATCTTCCACCCCAAGACACCCCAGAGATACACAGATGCAAGTATGAGAGTGACCTCCGCTCCAAGACAAGGGTGGAGATGCACAGAGAGTATCTTCCACCCCAAGACACCCCAGAGATACACAGATGCAAGTATAAGAGTGACCTCTGTATCAAGACAAGGGTGGAGATGCACAGAGAGTATCTTCCACCCCAAGACACCCCAGAGATCCACAGGTGCAAGTATAAGTGTGACCTCTGCTCCAAGACAAGGGTGGAGATGCACAAAGAATATCTTCTTCCCCAAGACACTCCAGAGATACACAGATGCAAGTATAAGAGTGACCTCCGCTCCAAGACAAGGGTGGAGATGCACAGAGAGTATCTTCCACCCCAAGACACTCCAGAGATACACAGATGCAAGTATAAGAGTGACCTCCGCTCCAAGACAAGGGTGGAGATGCACAAAGAATATCTTCTACCCCAAGACACTCCAGAGATACACAGATGCAAGTATAAGAGTGACCTCCACTCCAAGACAAGGGTGGAGATGCACAGAGTATCTTTTACCCTAAGACACTCCAGAGATGCACAGATGCAAGTATAAGAGTGACCTCCACTCCAAAACAAGGGTGGAGATGCACAGAGAGTATCTTCTATCCCAAGACACTCCAGAGATACACAGGACAGGTGCAAGTATAAGAGTGACCTCCGCTCCAAAACAAGGGTGGAGATGCACAGTTAGTATCTTCTATCCCAAGACACTCCAGAGATACACAGGACAGGTGCAAGTATAAGAGTGACCTCCGCTCCAAAACAAGGGTGGAGATGCACAGGAGAGTATCTTCCAATCCCAAGACACTCCAGAAATGCACAGTACAAGTATAAGAGTATCTTCCACCTCAAGACACCCCAGAGATACACAGATGCAAGTATAAGAGTGACCTCCACCTCAAGACAAGGGTGGAGATGCACAGAGTATCTTCCACCCTGACACTCCAGAGATGCACAGGTGCAAGTATAAGAGTATCTTCCACCTCAAGACACCCCAGAGATGCACAGATGCAAGTATAAGAGTATCTTCCACCTCAAGACACCCCAGAGATGCACAGATGCAAGTATAAGAGTGACCTCCGCTCCAAGACAAGGGTGGAGATGCACAGAGAGTATCTTCCACCCCAAGACACTCCAGAGATGCACAGGTGCAAGTATAAGAGGGTGTAGGGGGGATATCGAGCGCAGGTTATTTTCGTGTCGCGAGAGCCGTGAGGGTGTAGAGCCAGCTTTTAGTATTCGACACGTTGCGGTGAGTGTCACGATTGTAAGATCACGACTTTACCTTCGGTTGTTTGTTAGGTAAATATAACCTCAATTTTATTATGTATTATTATTTAAATTTGTTTAAAGGAAATATAAGTTTAAGTTTAAAGTTATTGTGTGTTTACTGTTTCAGCAATTCAGAAATAAGAAAACCATAAATAATTTGCACAAATAATAATTTACAAGAAAAATATTTCTATACAGTTTGTAAAAATAGTAAAAATTGGGATGGGGTTTCGTACGCATGTTGTGTGCGTGGAAAGAAAACGTTTGGCTGTCCGTCCATATTTCTGTCTCTAATATTGACTGAAAAGTCGTAGTAGCACAGTTGTTTAAAATAATTTATAGGAAAATATTTAAAATGCAGTATGGTTATCAGTTCATTGTAGTTTAATAAAATGCTAGTTATTTTGAAGTATACTATTCTAGTTAATTAGCTAATAACGTAAATGTAGTCTGTGTAGTAAGCTCTAGGTTTGGGACCAGTATGTTTTTTTGTTATAGAGATAAAAAAAAAACACCTATATAATTTAATATGTCATAATAATTATTCTGTGTAGTTATGCTCGTAGAATTGAAAACTCTCGCAAAATGTGTTCAATATTTCAATCTGGCCTTAACATGAGTGTGGACGAATTGGTTTTGGCAACATTCACTATTAATTACTGTTTTAAAATTGGACTATTTAGAATATTACCTACGAACGTTACAGGATGATACTGTCTAGTGACTTTTATATCTAATCTTATACAAAGTAAAATTAAAAATGACATAATGTGAGCATATTTTTAGTTTTCAAGCTCAAAAATAAGTATTGAAATCAACAGTACAGAGATACAGTTTAATTTTGAATTATATTATGTGATAAATCAGACAAAAAGGGCTATTTAACAAATTATAAGTTTTCTTTTGGATATGTTAGTAAATTTTAAAGACAAGTAATTTCGTCGCTAGTTGTTGTCTAACCACTGTCGCTTAACTATGTTATGGATTTTAGAAAACTTCGGTATTATCATTAGCAAGTCTCTATAAGTTTTTAATAACGATAAATTTGGAGAACTATGCCTGTTTAAACATGTAATTGAATATACACTTCATCAAATATTCTAAAAAAAACCAAATCACAAAAATCTGAAGGGCAGGTCCAGAATTAGGGGCCTCTTAAGTCTGTAAATTGTATCCGTGTTGTTGAGTAAGTTCAACGCTAAATGATTTTGATGAGATCCTAATATCTTTCACTTAAGGTCATGATTTCGTGTTCGTCATTAACTGTAGACATCTTAGAATAACAAATGAATGAATGTTTTGTTTTATAATCTCCTTAGTGCTTTAAGTAGCTATATATGGTGAAACATTTAAGTTTCAAAACATCTTCTAAACTGAGGCCAACATTTCATCACATGGGCGTTGTGTTTTGACGTCGTTGAACAAATGAGTTTGACGATTCAAAACCAACACCATTCTGGCATCTTACACGACGAGTTGTGTTGTGACTACTCAACTAACAATATATCAGTTCTCACTTCTGTACTTTAATTATATACGTGGACAAGTGTAAACTTGTCGTACAAAAATAAATCAAGTACGGCTACTTGTATTCATACTTGGCTTAAAATACCAACTTTCGTATGGTCCCCATTTCAAATAAAGCATTAAACTCACCCCAGATTCAAATATAAAATTATTTAATTCACGACTTACACCGACAAATATTTGATTGGGTGTGTGTGTGTGCTGTAGCTTATCTCAGCTTAAAATGTAACATATAATTAGCTTATGGAACTTTAAAGGAGATAATTTTAAAAATGAGCGAGGAATGGATTAAGGTGCATATGCAGCGTTGTTCAGATTAAGGTTAACTGTTTCTCTAGCCAATTGCATTATATTAAAAGTAGGCCTACAATTATCAAGGACTGTTGGGTTCCAGTTTTGAAACATAAAAACCATCGACTTTTCTCGCCACATTTCTATTAGGCACACTCTAACCCTAAGCCACACAGCTATAAATCGCGAAAGTAAAAATATTGCTTGGATTGTTCATTATTAATTTTTATCTTTAAAATGCTAGTTCTGAACAATATTCAATTTTTTTCTTTTGATTTTGACAACTGATAAATGCATTATCTATCTATATATTAATAGGCAAGCATGTTTCTTTAAAACCTTTTTTCTCAGCTCGTGTGCATCGTAGGGAAAATCTACGCATACCGTTGGAAAGCTATTTTCCTGTAGGTGTGCAGAATCCCTTTATAAATTTAAATAGGCTCAAAGATAAGCACAAAAAATAAGTTTAAAAGTTGTAAAAAAATAACATGGATCTTATGCGTTGCTATGCTGGTTACGAAATAACAACGAAATATAAACAGAAAATCAAAACAAATGGAGGAAACTCCAATCACATGTTTTATTTACAGTGTGGGGTGAAAATAGTTAAGTGAGTACATTACATATTTTTGGTCGAGTTTCGACCACTGGACGACCTCTCGTGAATATTAATATCGGAACTATGACTTTGTGTCTGTAGCTAACCACCTGTAATTATTTAATTGAGTTTTATTTTATAACACATGTTTGCAATTATTGTTAACTTATTATTTACTTTTGTTGATTACTTTTATCAAAGATTACATATGCTTTGCTTTTATTTTATTTTATCAATGTAATAAATCTTCTAAAATGTTCATTATACTATTATTTTAATCATTGTCCAACGCCAATAACCACACTGGTGACCAACGAGTGAATCTTGAAGCAACATTGGAGCAAATTCTTTAAGACAAGTCAACCTCTATCGTCAAACCTCAACCATCGTCAGTCAAAACAAAACCCAGGTTAGTTAAGGCCTAACAATTTCAGACACTGAAGAAATTGTCACTGATCCCAATTCATCAACCAATTCAAATCATATTTCAAAATTTACTGTCAAAATTCCACCCTTTTTGAGGAAAAAGGAAAATTTCATTCATTGTACAACACCAATAACCTCAACTTCATGTAATATTGAAGACTAATGAACCTGTTGCTCTAATTCGATCAGAGCATATTTTAAGGGATTTTTACTGGGCGACAGTGGAGCCCGGGGTTACTGTGGGGCCCCATCAAAAAAGGGGTCCGGGGACCCTCGGAAAAATTTTGCTTGGATTAAAGTAAAAATCAAACATTTCTACGTATCTTGTAATGCATTTTTTGATTATATTTGCTTGTAAATCGTCCAACAAATTCTAGAAATATTTACACAATGTTATTTTTCTAATACTTTTAAAATCCTAATACATTTAAAATTTGAATCATTAAAAAAAATATGACGGCACCATCCATAGCCACTGGACGACAAAATCTCAGTACTGGGCTACACTTGTGTCTCCCAGTTAACATGTTATTTTATGCTCTGAATTCGATCAATTACTTATAAACGAATAACAGTCATAGATAGTTTCCGATGACTTTAAAGAGTCAACTCAAAGATAATGTAATCAATTACTCAACTCCAGTCGTAAGTGAAAACGAACTCACTCTGGAAACAAACCAACGCTCTTGTAAAATACATTGGGATTTCGATGGTCTGTGGGACAAAGCCCGAGGACTTTTATTATAGAAATTGGTAAAAGGGGACGACAAAAAATACTTAATTTTGACACATCGTTTGTAAAAATCCGTCCATTATTAACGGAGGGGTAGTGTTTCGTAGAAATCGTCTACACGTATTATATCAACAACAAACAATAAACATAGTAAAAATAGATAACAATACGATATAATATAATACTAATACTAACAACGTAATAGGCTACTAGATATCTGACAACTAATGACAAAATGGCAGCTAAACATTTTTAAGACAATGGTTATTAAAAGTAATTTGTAACTGCCATTTTGTTATTAGTGGTCCGATTTCTATTTTATTCGTGATAATTGTTTAGTTTTGTCAAGACCTGTAAAATGATACCAGGCTCAACCATACTTCCTATTTGAAATTTTTGAGCTACACCCCACCCCCACTAACCCTAAGGGCAAAATTTTCAAAATTCACCATCATTATTGTAGCCTCTTATAACTAAACAGGTTGCCGCAAACCGATTACAAATATCTCAAATAGTTCAAAAGTTTTAGGGTGCCATTTTGTTATTATTGCTCCAATTTTGGTTTTCTTTATGTCAACGTTTTAGTTTTGTCAAGATCTGTAAAATGACACCAAACTCGACTATACTTGGTATTTGAAAATGTTGAGCTACCCCTACCCCCGCTGAAGGTCAAAAATTTTCAAAAATAACCATAATTATTGTAGCCCCTCATTTCTAAGAAGGTTGTTGCAACCCGATTTCAAATATCTTAAAAGGTTTAAAAGTTAAGGGGGGTGCAAGCTACTTTTCAGCCACACTGTAAAAGGATGTTGAAGCAACGTATCTAAAAACAACAACTGGTGTATGTAAACAGGAGTCGGAGTCCAACCAAATGTAAGAGCAAATTAATGTTTAAAAGTAGGTACATTTGAGGTTACCATTGTTATCATGTGTAAGACGTTTCAGACAACAGTGATGAAACTGAACCAATTCGTGCATGTTTATTTTCCGTCTATTCTTGTGGTAACTGTTACTGTTTTTGTATATTTGCCCGTTCGCGTTGTATTTTTACTTCTTTCTAACAACATCGTGAAATCGTTGCAAAAATATTCCTTTGCCTATTTTGACTCATTTTAAGTATATGGTTGTTGCAAAAAGGACACTGTAATTTTAGCTTCTGTTCATAGAAGGAACAGAAGTTATATGGACACGTAAAGTTATAGCCAACCTCATGCCATTCCAACGCATGTGCTTCGTATGGAGCTATTCCGACATATATTGTTATCGAATTATCAATCAATCAATTATAGATGGGAACGCCACCTAGATGCGTATTCTAACCAAAATATGATGTAAAACATTGTGAGATGATCTGTGAACCTTTGTTACTGACTAAGATCAGCTGTTTCAGTATCCAGGATCTTTGCCCAATGATCAGGGACAGCTGGGTCGAGTTTCGAACCATCTAAAAGCTACTGATTTTTCTCAGGACTAAACTGTACACTGTATTATACAAAAAGTTTATAATACGTGCAATTAATAATCTCTGGTTGCTGTAGGGAAAACTAGTTTCGTTTCATGGGTTGAACCACCATAGTGAGTCTAGACTTTTACTTCAGCCCAGTCGCGTCGCTTTTGTCAATATCCTTTTCGTGTTTTGTGTATGAACATGTTATAAAAAAAACCATGTCTCGTACGTTTATTAATAAACCATTTTAGTTACACTTATGTTTATTGTAACAATTAAATTTGTGCTACCTTTCCAATTACAAATAGTTTTCATTTTTTTCGTTAGTCACTGTGCTCCTTGTGTCGGGCCAACGAGTTGTGCAATGGGCGAGTACTGCATGGTTTACTGAACAAATATATCAGGGTTTCGTCACCTTCTGAAGTTATCATCAGTTTATTACGAGATCCCATTAAATAGGTATCTATGTATTATAAAAATAAACAAATGAAATCACTGGTCACTAATAACCATAACAGATTGTACATGTTTTGACAGTTTAAATAATAGTAGTCACGTGATTACTTTCGCTCCAGTGACGTCATCTGTTTTTGTTTATAACCCATACTGTTTCTGCTCTAATATTCGTGCGAGGACCCGGGTTGCGGTGTCACACAAGGCAGTACCCTCGGCCCAGTCCCAAGACGCATATTCCCAGCAGAGCCACGTCACCGTGACTTGTGCCAACGCCAGATGAAGACCTGGCTATCTGCCCTTCCAAGACGTCGCAATGTTGTGACAGTCGCCACGCCGTCCCACTCCGATGTTGTCGCTAACTTTTCTCATTTCCGTTACAATTGTTTAGAAAATAATCACTGGGTTAGTAGGTCACTGAGTGTTTTCTATAGTAATTCGTCTTTACTCTCTGCTAAATCCGTCTCTGGATCGAGTGGATGTTTTCGTGTGCTTTGATTTGCCCTCAAAATTTTCAATGTTAGCCCAGTATTTTTTTTTTTAAATTTAGAATTTCCAACTCGGAAACCTTAGTGTTAAAATAAGACTGTTGTAAAATAACTGGCACTAACTCTCTTCTAAAAGTCATAGACAATACCATCTGGAATGGCGAGGGTGACTTTGTGGTAATCTGAAGAAATAATGTGTTCTTTGAAGTTCCAAAACTAAAGGTCTAAAACTTCTATTGGCCTTAAAAACATGTTTACTTAAAGAACTTGCCAATGATCATCGCTCAGGGTGGTAGGGGGGAGTAGAGTCGTGCTTTTAGAGATTTGGGGCCCAAAATGTGCCCGGAAGAGGATTGAAAGTGACCGAAGACCGAGAAGAAAGAAGATTTTTCACAGAAATCGGCCTGGCAAAAGTCCCAGAAAAGGTGGTCGGAACAAGGGAGTTCCGGTCCATTAGCCTACATTCTTAAAGAACTAATGATGAATCCCTGTAAATAACAAGGCCAAGAATTATCGTATGACTTTTGACTTATCCGTGACTCAATTACAGCGAACTTGAAGAAACTTTATAAATACAGAAAAAGTTGCCCTGGTCCGAGATACATTCAATTTAATAAAGCATGTAAGGAAAATCCATTGGAACAGCTACAAATTCACCTGGTCATTATAAACACGAATCCAGCCTAATTGAAACTAAATCTAAAATACTAACCAGTAGATCAACAGTAGTTCGATAGCTCTTCCATACAATATCGTATATCACATTGTCTACAAAGTGAAACAATAAAAGATAGCATGCCACATGAAGACCAAAGATTGACATGCATGACAAATTTAGTCATCTCGATTTCTTGTGATAGGTATGCATATGTCAAGTTTTTTAGGTTTGACTACAAATGCAGTTTTGAAATAAGAATTCCATTTGCATGTTAAGTTGTTATCACGGATTAAATACTCCGAACTGAGGTTAAAGTGAGACTTTGGCGTAGTGCTCTGCTTTACAGCACATTTATTGACATTTAATAAACACACAAATTTTTTAATATGAAGTTCGGTTGAGTTAACAAGCAATGCTCTTTACTAGCCGGTTATCTCAGATTCCAAAGTACCGGTAGTAGTTTAACTAATACATAGATCTTCTAATTGGTTTTAATTATTAAAAATTTTGTAAGATGACAAGAAATAGATTAAAAAACACGAAAATCCACTCTATATAATTCTGACAGAGAAATGCTTATTTTAAATTAGCTCATCCATAAGAATGATCAAGGGCAAATCTATCATGTAAAGTACATGTCAAAACGTTACTCGTAGCTATACTTATGATCGAACCGGCGACCTTTGAGACCAAAGTGAGCACTGCCGGCATCCCAAAGACATATATCTCTTTAACCAAGATAAATCCACCAGTTTGAGCATTAACATTACCTAAAGCGTTAAATGTGGAGTCCTACCACGGCAACATATTCATAAAAGTAATGACCTATTTAGGATTCTAGCCTATCTACAACTGTAGCGACTATTACACTATCCCACCATTACGTAGGCTATTCGCAGGCTATTTTCAATGAAGGTAATGCAAAACAAACTACTGGTTGCGAGGAAAATAGCAGTTTTATGTTTTAATTAGTTAAGTCGCTTGCACGCGAAGAGAGATTGCCGTGCACGCTACTACCCCACGCCACAACCCCAGACACTACTGTACACTAGGCTATTTTTAGCAAAGTGTTCATGTCAAGAACGACGCCGAGGCAAGGTCAAGGTTTTACAATATCGGGATATTGCTCATCTTTCCCAAAACTATAAACAACGCCATCTTGTTTTCCATTATTTGGAGGGCGCACGAAGCTGAAGATTACAGACTATCAGGATGAAAGACATTCTATTACCTCTTGTTTGAGATTTTTATTTTGCTACTATAATTTGAATAATCTAAGCCTGTACATTATGTACTATTTGTTATGACTAGGACTTGCCAATTATTCGAATCTTTTATTTGGGAAATATCACAAATTCTCAGAAAATAACGAAAAATAGCACAAGTCGTTGACTTGTGTAGATTCTCCGCAAAATCTAAATTCAATCTAGATGCAATATGCGTTGGAAAAGATTATTTAATTTGGCTCTGTACTATATTATGTGTCTACTAAAATCACCTGAAGAGAGCCTAAAAACACTGCAGCGTTGCCAAATATACTACCTGTTGTACCCGTGCTTTGCAACGGGAAGAGGACACAAAATAGAAAAATTTTGATCTTCACATTTGTTGTATAAAATAGTTACACCCTGTTGGTAAACCTTATAACTTGTTAATGCTATTCAATATCATAGATCCAACTTGTGTATTTGAAAGAGCTGACGAAATTATTTTATTCCTTTTAAATATGATTACTCATAAGGTTAACATGGGAAACTCCAGAGCCACTGGGGCGGAGCCCAAAATGACTTTTGCGATTAGAGTGCGTCTATATGTTATTCGGGAATGTGAGCTATCATCACACCAAATTTCAGCCCAATCCGACCAATATTTTTCGCGTTTACTTGTCACAAACATACATCCATACATCCAAACTTTCTCATTTATAATATTAGTAGGATAAATTGTAAAGTAGGCTATTATTAGATTAATTTATTACATGGAAAGGATTTAGTTATTGGCAGGGATCTAACAGGAGCAAGTGAGCTATTAGCTGAAGATAAACTTTGGGAATAATCCTTGGCGTTTGTATACTGAAGTTCTTTCAATAATCATAAGGTAAAATACTTAAGCTGACCAACGATTGTGAACTTTTCTTGACTTTAACCAACAGCATTTGATTAAACTAGTGGCTTGTAGGGACAATAGCCCCAATATATATATATCTAGTAAATATTTTGTACAAATTATTAACAGGACACAGCCATCCTTGATCATTGAACTCTCAATCGATGCTTCTGGCGGAAGAAACAGCTGGTCATCTTCAGTAACAAAGCTACAAAAGTCATATTACATCACACAAATCTTCTACAGTATTTATAATTAGGTTCAGGCATTAGTTGCACCCCATCTAATATAGTGATGAGACACTATTGATGTGACACTAATGATGTGGCACTATTTTAGTTAGGAATGTTCATCGTAATAATTCTACACATTAGAACTACAGGGTGGCTGAAAAGTTAAAAACCTATTTTCAATTAATAATTGTTGTGAAGTTTTATGGTGCTAGAAAACAAAGAAAAATGTACATTCATGCGTTGAGTAATACCATTTTACGTAGGCATGTCAAACATCAAAATATGCACCTGCTGATAACCCATATTCTTAATCCAACAGATACATTTTGAACAGATTTTTGGATAAAGCCCCATGGATCATTACCAAGAGCACCTAAAATGGAAACTTCCAAGCCATTGGAGAGTCCCAAACAATTTTTTTTTATTTTTCTTGCACTAAAAGATGCATTTATTATATACTGTGCCCTCTTCCATCTCTGGACCTGAACAAAGGACTGCAACACTGCATATCGTTAAGCAATTTTGGTCCTTTCCGTAGTACTTAAAACAGACGTAAAAAGCTTTAATTAGTTTACAACATGAACTAACCAACAATGGTATTAAATTAGCTAACAATATGAGCTAAAAACACCTTATGTGATTTTGGTGATAAACATTTAAAGATGCAGACTTTTCAGCCACCCAGTAGTTTATGTTTATTTCCTTGCATCAGGTATCTTACCTATTCTGTTGGTAACAATATCGTGTTTGTTGCAGTGTCAGTCGTAGCAGTAGTTATGTGTTTCTAAACTTCGTAGAACTTCACCCACTCATGTATCATGATAGATATTCTGACACTCTTAGGAACCGAAGATCTCTGACGTCGTCAGGTAATAAAATTGTGTTTGATTTGAATTCTTTTAAACAAAATAAATTATTTTTCCCCCTCTATGAAACTTAGTTTCTACCTAGATAGTGTGTTCCAGTTTTATTGAAGCTGTATCCATGATGGGGACATAAAATATTACATCATTTCATCGTTTACAGTAAGATATCCTTTCAGTGTAGTATGATTAAACAGAAAGTGTAGCCTTTAAGAAAGGAGGCGCTATTTTGCAGGAGCACACTCTATCTGTGTTTTGATTTAACTAAGTTATACTTACTCTAGTGTCTACTTAAAGAGTCTCCTTAAGTCTACTAAAACCATTGATTTTTGGATTCCGAAGTAGAAGTCCCATCTATATGGACAAGCTGTCGCCAATTCTTTATTAAAAAAAGAACGTAGTTGAGTGAGTCAGTCACAGAATGCGCTAGTGTTTAAATTCAATTTTTAGACCAATTTTTGTGATGATATAATTGAAATGAAAGTTGCTATGGCTCACATTAAGTGTTTCATCGGTTTGACTTGGTAAAACAGTTCGTGTATCAGATGGAAATCAGTAATTTACACAAGCAAAATCTGCCGACGGCTCACATTAACTACAACAATTTCTATAAAAAAAAAAAAAAAAAAAAAACTGGTGACAACTTTAATATGGGGAATGTCTAGTTGATGGTGGTGTATGCATGGATAATGTGGTATTCCCCCTCATAACTCAGTAGAATATCATGATTACGACTTCGTTGGGTAGTTAAAATTAATTACAAGTATAGTTTTATTTTTGAAATTAAGAGGCCATCACACCCCTTCGTATTTTGGAATCGAGCAGATAGACAGACAGTGGTCGAGCAACATATATATAGAAACTAGTGCGGCTATAGATTTAGAAAAGTATGTAAAACGTTTCTATCAACGTAACGCGTAAACAAAAAGTCAGAGAGGAAATAAAAATGCATATTCAAATTTGACATAAGTAAAAGATGTGCAAATGAAGCTCCAGTTAATTATGAGACAGCCTGGCATCACCTTTCGAATTGAGGCTTCGAAGCACGAGATTAAATATACCATTTAAGATACACTGAATGTACCTCTAAAATGTATGAACACATGTAGAAACTTATCAAACGGGCGAGTGCATCTAATTTGGCAGGATTTTCCTAAATGGCGGCCAAATGACTTTCATGTGGTTACTTATTTCTTCCTAAACAATCATCGGATTAAATTAAATATTGCACTGATATGCAGCATAGTTTTTCTTTAGAGAAACTCGCATCTAGCTTCAATGGATGTCGGTATCGTAGTACGGTACTTGGTAAACTTTGTGGCTAACAAACGGAATTTGCTGTGTAAATCTGGACTTTTAATTGTCTACTATCAACTATGTTGGAAGTGCATAGGCTAATCAAAAATTTGACAGTGTGACTTATTCGAGAATAATTTCGTCCGTATGTGACAGTACGAAAATAAGAATAATCGAATCAATTTATCATGTAAGATAAATCAGTCTGTTAATATTTAAAAATAACAAACATTCTACAATTTATTTGTTTTATTTGTGAATTTTTAAAAATATTTTAAGATAATGTTCTAGGTATTTTTTATTTCACTGTACTATACAAGCTGCAAATGAAATCAATTAAAGAAACATTTATTTTATATTAAATGTTAACAATTTAAAAACATTAACATTTTGAAAATAAAAAAATAAAAAAATAATTTAAAGTTTAAAAAAATTAAATGTTAAAAATGTTATCTTTAGTATGACATTTTTACAACCTTGGATGATAACTTGATCATACTAGCACAGATCTAAGATTAAGTTCAAACAAATCGTGTTATGTTTATATGCAATATATTTCGCGACAACACTTCCATAACAACTATTTTTAAATGTGTTAATTTATTCATACTTTAATGCACATTATTATGTTCATGATTGAGACGAACCAAAATGCTTAATTTTGACCAGCCGAAAAAGCGCTAAAATTATCGGTAAAATTATATTGGTATTTGTGTCTACTCAATTGAAATAATGTTTAAAAAACAATTGTAAGTAGTGGAGAACTGCCGGTTTTACCTCACTTTAGACACGTTTTTCCCATGTTATTCTTATGGGGATTATTTTTGGCCACCAAATCTAAAATCCTGATCTTTGCCTGCAAATCCCTATAAAAATTGTCAAACCTTATTTCTTAGTTATTCCCCATAAATATATTCGATATTAAGCAAAAATAAAAAAAAAACATTTATTGACCCATGTATGTGTATATGTATAGTAGTATAGTTTGTCGCTGCCGTTTTTTCCGCATCGAGGTTTTTGGGCTAACTCCCCCCTCACCCCTCACCCCCTCACCACTCCCCTCTGCCCTATGCACAATTGCTAGTACATCTACCATTCCCCTTTCCAGTTGATATATTATATTTCTATTTCAAAATCATGTATGTGCGTGGTTTGCACACGAACTCGGCTCATGGCGTGGGCACGCTCCGGGCTCCTGCTTCTTGCCTCTAGTGGTGGGGCTGTGAAATGGTATCCTTAGTGGAAATCCATGAATTCTGGCTACTTGGGAACCCAAGCCATTTGACATACAATAAATCACCTTTTCTCCTAATTACCTTTTCTACTAAATACATGTCTTTATATTTGGTCTTTAACAACTCCTCTGTATAGAAGCCTCCTCTGATTATATTACCATTTTCATCTTTCAAGATATAAGTCACAGGCTTTGTATTCTTAACTTCTGATATTGTAAATAGTTCCCCTGTCCAATTTGGGGTATATCCTTTACTAAAAACATATTTATACTTGGAAATTCTCACGCTATCACCTACCTTATATCTTGGCTTTTTAACTTGCACTACTTTAGAAGTCCTTTCATGCAACCTCTCATGCACATATTTACTGTTCTTAATATTCACTTGGTTAGGCTTCATTCCTATAGATCTATGCACTTTATTATTATATTTTCGAATTAACTTTGGAAGTAAATCCAACCATTTATAACTCCCCTGAGCACTAAATTCTCTATATAACCAATTCTTTAAAGTTCTCTGAAACCTCTCCACAATTGCAGCCTTAGTTGTAGAAAATGTGTGATAGTGATTAATATTTAATTTTTTCATTAGTTTGCTAAAATATTGATTAAAAAATTCTTTTCCATTGTCGGATTGAATGTTTTTAACCCCCTTTGGTAGAATGGTTTTAATGGCTTCTGTAACCACCAACCCTGTCTTATTCTTTAGTGGAGCAGCATAAGCTTTTTTAGAAAATGTATCTATTAAAGTTAAAATATATTTATTGCCAGAATTCTCTCTAGCATAGTTTTGCATATCAATTAAATCTATTTGTACAGTTTCGTTTATACCCAATACTTTAAAAGACCTTCTAATGAAATTCTTTCTTGCAGGCTTATGAAGTTCGTATGCAATTTCATTCATTTTTTATAACATCATCCTTTCCTGTAACTCTAAATACATCACCATTAGCCCCAATCAGTAGATTATCTTCCATTCTTTTAAATACATAGTTTTCTGGTATATATGGTCTATTATCTATATACTTAAATCCACTCAAAGATGTGGGGTCAGCAACTAATAAATCAGGATTATATTCCATCAAATTAAAAATTTTTTCTCCATATACAAATTTTGATCCATCGTAATGCATAGCTTGTGACATTAGACAAATATCATCCGAATGTTCCCCCATTGGTAGATTTCTTATAAATTGTTTTTTGGCATCCCAACATTTTTCTTTTTTATCAAAAGTTATAGTCTGTTCTTTTATAACACAGTCAGTTTCATCAATGGCAGGTTTAACACGTACTAACCTTTTATTATAAAAACTCCAATAGCCCGCTTCCATTTTTGGAACTTGTGAAACATTCACAGCATCTTTACTATCTGTACCTTCCATCAAATTGCTAAGTTTCTGTTTCTTAGCATTCCAAACACCATTCTCTGATTCTAAAAATTCATAATTATTATCATCTTGTATAAATTTACCATCTTCTTTTCGTATTAAAGTCTGTTGTAAAGTGGGCACATCATCTAAACTTTCACCCTTTTCTACATTAGTAATTTTCCGTTTCTTAGCATTCCAAACACCATTCTCTGATTCTAAAAATTCATAATTTTTATTGTCTTGTATAAATGTACCACCATCTGTTCGTATTAAAGTCTGTTGTAAAGTGGGCACATCATCTAAACTTTCACCCTTTTCCACATTAGTAATTTTCTGTTTTTTAGCATTCCACTTTTTATTCTTAGATTCTAAAAACTCATATTTAGTTTTACCTTGTAAAAAGACATCACCTTTTCTAGTTAATGTCTGACCCAAAGTTGATACATCATCTACAAACTCCCCATCTTTAACATTACCAATTTTACGGTTTAAACAATTCCAACTATCATCTTGTAAATTTAAAGTAGGTTCACTACTCATGGTTGCCGCCCTGGGTTCTGCAGGCTTATTATATGGATTATATAAACGATAAAATTTATCTATAAACATATTTTTATTTAATAAATAATTCCACTTTCTCTCAATTCCTCAATAATGGAATCTATTTCATTATCCACTCCTGAGTTACCGGCTTGGCGACTTAGCCAAAGAAGTCTTAACCTATCTACAAGCTCATTAGGATCATCCCAATAAATATAGTCTATTTTATTACCAGTCACTTGTCTCAAACCTTCACCAACAGATTTAAATAGAGGTTTAATTATATTAAGATATTTAGTATGTCTATTACTTGAAATTGGTGCACCGTCTTTGTAACTCTTTAAATGCCCATTTGTAGCTTCAAAAATGTCTTTATAATTTTGCAAATCAGCCTGAGTATAATCCTCAGGTTCTTTTAAAGTTAACAACTGCCACAAGCCTTTTGTCCCCTTGTAGGTTTTATTTGCAACTGTAACATCATCATTGGCAATATCAACTTCCTTATTTCCAATAAAAAATTTATTTGCTTCTCGTCTAATACCATATGTAGTGTCTGTCATACTACT